ATCACGGAACATTTCCTCGATAACTTACAATCTACCATAAGTAAGTTACAATCGCAATGATTCGAACTGTAAGTAGATGATTTGCATTCCTTATTATAACTATTAATTTCAGTATGTGTATAAGTGTCACTGTGATAAAAAGTCAGTGCTATATTAAAACACAGTATATCCAAATTAGAAGTTAACTAAATAAGGATAGTCTAACAGAATTATCCAAACATAGATAATTCTACTCTAATACAGTATATAACTCTGTCACAATATCATAATTAAATTTAGTAACTATCAACCTTTAGTTTCTCCTTGTGGCTATGTATTAGTAGCAAGTATGGCGATTTTCATAACAACTCTATCACTAGTACAATGCTCGTGATATTTGACAATTTTAGTTTCGGTCCGCAACTTCTTACGGCACTGTTCTGAATAATAATCAAACTGAGCTGTCCAACTACGGTACTGTGGCCGAATTGTTTGATCTTCTATCAGTCGTTACCTTTTCAACTTACAACATTTCAATCCGATGATGGATCAACTTTGAACGCATTTTAACTTTTATGTTAGTTATTTATTACTATAGTAGTTAGATTGATATTGTTTTCACGCTTTATTCTAATCTAAAATTAAATTATTTCATTCTCTTTAAGACGATATAATTTATGAACGTAAAATATATTTTTACTAATGGTGAAAAAGTTCTTTATTTTCAATTTCGCTTAGTATTCTTTAAAATTTGCAGGATTTTCATCCATTAGCAGAACGTATTCTGGGCATAGCTATAATTTATTAATAGAATTCAATATGCTAGGATGATTATGTCTAGATTTGTCACAACCCTCACTTGTGGCAAAGGAAAGTAAAGAACTCTAGTGTAGTTACTTAAAACTTGGGCTATTTCTCCCAGTACTTTCAGTTTCTATGAGAGAAGTATTTGAGAACTCGATTTCTCGGCTGATCTCCACAGACAACTGACTAATTATTACACTATTCTTCACGATATGAGTCTTGCCGTTTCTTGAGCAATTACCTACTTTATTCTACAAACACACGCGCTTAAATAGGTTTCTACAGTGAATTCCAATATTAACGAGTGAGAATTCATGCTTTGCAAGTTACATTAATTAGTATAATACCATTACTAAATATACATGTCGATATCCTCAGACTTAGATAGCTACAAGCTATCAGGTGTTAAGACGCTTAACCTTCGTCCATATACAGCTCAATTTTTAGAGATTAACATACCTTATAAACCTACAGTAAATTAACTGCTAACAACTTCTATTTTTATCTCATTCTACCATCCTATTATCAGCTACAAGCGCATTAAAACATAGCACATAACCTTATTTTATCTATTCATAAGCATTCATTAATTTATAGTTACTTAATTAGTAACGGTGTACCGTGACAAGATTATAAAACGGTGTTAAGTTAACTATACGGTTTCAATCGATAGAGAAAGAAATAGCTAACCAAATTATGAAAATCTAAAATGGCTTGTAGTAATTAGGCATGTCGAAAGACGGCTCTCATTTTCTAATCCATTAGTAGTTGAAGTGGTGCTTCCGTTCCTGAAAATATAGTTCTTAAATGTACTAATTAATGATTGTAAAGTATTCCGAGGAACTAGTTGTGCTTGAATTATATCAAATACATATCTCTTAATTAGCCATTCAGCTAAAATTTGTGCTATTGAAGCTCAAATTGCTAACAGAAACTATAGCTAAATCATGGAGGATGGTGATTAAATGATAGAAAGATTTCTAACACAAATAGATTTAGCAGATCTAACTGCTCTTACATATTTTCAATTTCTATACTTAGGCGACTCAAAAGATATATCACGAAAGATTTTTAATTTTTAGTATATTTATAGCATAGTTGGATACTGACTTCCTGTACTATAAAAGACAATCGGCCTTATTAAAATCCTATCCTTATTCATAAAATCCTTTTACTATCGAAAATTTATGATATAAAGTAATAATTAGACTGTACCGTGCTCAGCCAACACAATCTATTATATTATAGAATGCCTACTCATAATATAATACAAATTTACAACGGATATATCACTCGCTCAGAATCTATTTAAATTCCGTAGACGAATAATAATATACTCTTTCAATGACACCCATAGTTTTTTCAACGATTGAATTATGCAAATCTATAGGATAACATCAAATATGACCCAAAACCCTTTTAAAATAAAAGCAGGGAAAATCACTAGATTGTATTAATTTCCTCGTTCTCAGGCGCGATATATTTGTAGATGCTGTTATAAAAAAGTGCCTTTAATTTCAGAATTCGATGCAGAGCCAAATATAATACCTTAACTTTTTTCCATTCACGCATATCTTGCTGGTACTTACTATTGTATATTTGGTACCGTAGCTTATATCATGCCAATAAATCGGCTGCGATAAATGTCAATGACTAAGTTAATTTGAAAATTATGCTTAATCTCTTTTTATTTTGTGATGGAAATATTTTCTGTCTATCTGATCAAAGCATCCTTTCAAAAACCTTTTATAAAATTATACTAAACAGCAGATAGTCTTGGGACCGTTCCATTTTATTTTTAAATACACTGGTATCATAGAAATGTTTATCAAACCATACACGCAATAGTAACGTTGGAGAGCTTGAAAGTTATTGATAATTTATTTTGTTTTATTCAGAAAATATTACCCATATGTACAATTTAAAACTCCACTTTTATTTATCAAAGCATTACGTCGCACATGATGTAATTTGAAATTACTGCTATTTATAGTACTGAAAATGGATACCCATTTAGGAAATACTTTATGTAATTTCTGTGCTTGGATTTTTATGCTCCTTAATCTATAATTGATGAAAAGGGTTGAGATAATGTCTAAATTATTTCTAATTTCCATTTGTTGTCTTGAAAGCATTGCTACTAGCATGATTTAGAATATTGCTCCCAGTGTTTTATCATTCAACTAATACCTGAGATAATGTCTGCTATTATTCCTAAATATTTTTCATATCCGCGTATAATGAAAGTGTTTATTAATAAACAGGAAGTACCGTTTACACTTCATCCCATCACCTGAAAGTAATAAGACACAATAGTCGTTTAATTATTTCTAATTTATGTTATTGCATTTTCAATTTCATAGCTGTACGTAATCTAAAATATTGCCAAGAGCTATTAATGATATATAATATATCGAAGATAGTAAAAATTATTTCTACCTTTCTAAGCATGTACGTATCTAGGAAATATTCATTAGCTCCGTAAATAGAAAAAAGTCAACGATTACCGGATCCTTAAGTAGAATAAAAGCAATCGAAATATTTTTAATTATCTCAAATTACTATTAGTTAATTTTGAATTTACTGACTGCTATGCGTAGTCAAAAATTTCGAACAAAGTCGTAATTTTATGCTACCGATTATGATCTTGAAGTTATTCCTTCCAATATTTATATTACAGATTTGGAATGAATTAAAAGTATTCCTACACTGATCACAATTTGTCTCCCTAACTTAAATCTAAAACAACTTTTCGTAGTGTTTCATAAAGAAATAACCGGAATATCTTTTTAATTACTGCCACATTTTATACGTATACGTATTTTATAAATTATATTTTACTATAGAAGTTGCTGTTCGCATAGTTCGATCTATAGTTTAGTATATCACTTAAAGTTGTCATCTACTTAATGAGATAGACAGAAAACGGTTTAAGGTTATATTAGTTTGTTAAGAGATACAAGCTTATAAATATCTTTTAGGCTATTCGTCTCACTTTTACTCTACCTTGTATTATAGTACGCAAATCTGCTCAGTCTAATACCGCAATTTGATGACGATGCATTTATCATATACTTAGATTTCATTACATACATCGATGGCATTCTGCAATAGATTAGACAGAATTTAGCATTATTGGCTGCGGCTAATGATTTTATTAGCAGAGATGTCATTATATATTCAAATCGCTAACTATATGCGAACATTATGATCTAAAAGTATACAGAAATTTTTGCATTGCTTACGTTGCTTATCCTATTGAGAGATTCAATTTATGCATATTGTTTCAATATTACGTCATAATGTCATCTAGAGCACCTTAAACAAATTTTAATTTAGTCATAGCAGTGGTAGAATATTTATTGCACAGTCAGTATTTACAGTATGTAGTCACTAGCTTAATCCCGCACATAATATAATCGACTACCGATAATTCGTTAAGAGGTTACAAGAAAATGTAATTGCATAAGAGCCTAATCTATATATTTAGATATTAATAATAGCCGTCTGCAATTTTAGTGCATTAGATATTCAATAAGATCGTCGTTTTATTGTTTGTCTATGTACGTTATAGATTTGTTTTTCAGATATTAAATTCCATGTAGTTAGGGTAATACCTTAAAAGAAAGTCCAGTTCTGCAGTATACTTGTATTCTTAGTGGTAATCTCGTACCGGTACGCCCAATATCTATCTCTTTAGCTACTGTAACATGTCTAAATATTGATATGACAAAAGCATGATTATGATACTTAATATGATTAATGCTAGCACATAATGCCTTACTTAACCCCAGTATTTAAAATTTCGGTCCATACGTACATTTGACAGTGCAACTATAACAAAGTCTGAACGATAAAATAATAAAACTATTGATAGGTTTTCAAAGCTAAGGCTCTTTTCCAATAGTTAAGCCCGTATTTTTTCATCATTTTCAACTGAAATAATTTTTAGTGAGGCAAAATATCTGGTACAAGCGAAGTATGAAATCAAATCCTGAACATTTAATAAACCAAATATTAAGATTAAATGACTACATTAAACCATAAAGTAAACGAAAAATGAATAAACTTGTATCATTATATACTATATATCTGTTATATGGATTCGACTATTTTATTATGAAGCTATTAAGACGTGAATTTATTATTTCGAAATAAGTGCCCGCGTAAGCGAGTATCCTTGATCAATCAGAAAGTAGACAGACGATACTACTGGTATGGGTGTCATAGAATTGACTATTTTTAAAAGTAAACTTTGCAATATACTTTAGCTCCAATGATTGTAATAAATGAAAAAGTAAATTATTTTAAGATATTAAAGATTTCATAATTAGATACGTCATAATTTGACTATTTTGATATCTAAATCTTTTAGGATATTTTGGCTGTAATGCATTCAATATATGAAATAAATTTAACCATTGTAAGATATTGAAGACTTTTTAGATAGACACGTACAAGTCACTATTAATCTGGGTTTAAACTTTATACCTTACACATTATATACCATACTTCATGAAATTTTTGTTGTTTATTTTATTATATAATCTATTTGAGCTATCAATTAGTGAATTATCTCATTTGAAATAAGCCTATATAACTATGTTAATATAATTAGTATTGTTTTACGTTTATCATCAAGTTGTAATTTATTCTGATCACGAATATCATTGTAATCATATATTCCGATTAAATGATGATGAAATTGATTTGTAAGCTTTTTTAATTTCCTTTCAGGTGCACCTGATATACCTAAGGCGCTGTTAGAGTGTGATGATGGTGCTTGTATTTCTTATACAGACTGGTGCGATTACAAGAATGATTGTCATGATGGCTCAGACGAAAAATATTGCGGTATATATAAAAAGTTGTAATAAATCAATTTTACGTATTAATAGATTTTGTTCATTAGTAAAAAATATATAATCATAATTTATTCCAGCTAAGATGTCTAGTAATTAATTTTCCTATTTTCTTTATCAATGAACCAGCTTATAAATGGTTGCAATACCGACGGGTAAATGAGTCTCAAGATCTGGGTAACAAATATTTTTAGCTGTTCCATAACTTTAAATAGACTAGATTGTTATTGAGTAAGCAACTAGATCGGTCAGAGTTGTCATAATAATTGATTTATTTTGAAAATTGTCCTGCAATAAATTATTTGATAGGTTATCCAGAGAAAAAAATTTGTAAAGAAGTAAATTGTTGCTTTTCGTCGCCATTGTTTATAAATACTGATCCAGTCGTTCGCAGATGTTCAATATACAACTATATTGAAATGTGCGGTAAGGAATATCAGATTAATTTGATAGGTTTTAATATACTCGTAACAACTATTTTTGCTTCATCCACAGTTAATATCACTTGCCCGGCTGTATGTAAATGTGATTCGGAAAAAATAGATTGTTCATTACATGAACTAATCAACGTACCAAAAGTCGATTTATCAATTTGGAAAATTTAGTAAGTTGTTAAATTTAACATTTTAAATTTACCGTTGGCGCTTTGTAGAATGATAACGATAATAGTTTACGCTATAAGCATATTTTCTCCTTGTCGTTCGATTTTGTTACAAAATCTTGCATGATATATATCGTCACAAATGCATATAAAAAATATCTGCCAGCCATTCACGTATCTACTTAAAATACAGCTGTATATCTTGCATGTGGGATTCGCTTTGTATATCATCTATAATACACGTAGGCGATTAGGGTAACCTTCATAACGAAAAGAGTTTCAGTCAGTTTTGAAGGGATAACTTAGCAAAATAATATTCAATGTCCGTACATTAATACAGAAAAGGATATCAAGAGTGATAGCAATATTGTATTGATTCTGTGTGTCCTAGAATTATTGAATCAAATTCATAGCAAGATTATGTACACTTTCATGACCTTATGATATATTTGGATACTTTAATTCTATTTTCTAAAGAATAATCATCGGGAAGTAACAAGGCATCATATTAATTTAATTATTTCTGTTGAATTACACACTAGTTTGTTAAAAGATAATTTGATCAAAGAACTAAAGCCGGAAAATTTGAAAGCATTCTTTGGACTGAGGACTTTGTAAGCCAATACTTCTACTGTATCAGCAAAGCATTTTCGTATACACTTATGTTTCTAAAATAATATTTTCATGGCAACTGCCATTGGACTTTTGTAGTCGCTTGGACATGATTCCTCGTGTTTCATTAAGCACTTTTCATATCCAAGTGTTCAACCGCTTGATTAATCTTATTCTATCATTATAGTTTAAATTAATGAAATGGTTAATTTTAACTTTTACTATCTTACCCTATATTACAGCGATGCTGGCTCCAACAAAATTCAGCGTATAGCTCCAGATTCCTTTAACAATTTGACTCAACTCTCAACATTGTAAATCATCATTTATGTACCGATAAGAAGAGAAACTAATAGTAGCATAAAAAGTAATGATATATCTGCATTAATATTATTAATATAAATAGATCACTAGAAAGAAATACGATTGAAGAACTGGATCCTAGCTTATTTAGATATCTTAAACAGCTGAATTTGTTGTAAGTTCTTGAATTAATTATAGTAAATTTTTCTACATGTATGGCAATAATAAACGAATTTTTTTTATCTTTTCTATTAAATAACTTATTGACGAAAACTGATCTTTAAAATTTTACAATTTTTATAGACATTTAGGATATAACAGAATTTCTAAATTAGCTGATTATCAATTCGCTAATTTAACCCAGCTACATTTCTTGTAAGTTTTTAAAAACTAATTAGCTTTTTCAAAATTCAGTTCTGCTCCTTTAGTTATGAAGCTAAGATGAAGATATAGCCTATTATAATTGATATTTCGAAATATGCACATAATGTAGTTGAGGCATTACTTCTTACTCCATGCCACAAAACAGCTTTGCAACAAGATAACGTAATGTACGATCAATAAGTCAATTCCTTGAACCACGTATCAAGGAACGATATCTGCACTATCACAAACACTTTTGCTCTACTAGCAGTCTATACAAAGACTTAAACGCCTCGTATTTTACGTTAAACACTAAGTTTAAGAATTCACTTTATTTCACGATATACTGCATTTATATACTATTCCTCAATAGTTCATGAGTCATAGTTAATACAATTAACATTGGAATCATTTACTGAATTAGATATTAATTTTAGCTACTGCTCCCTTAATGCAGACAACAGTATTTACGAACATAGACATATAATGACTAATACAGAATAGTCAGATTACGATATGTCCTATCACGGAACATTTCCATGATAATTTACAGTCTACCATAAGTAAATTACAATTACAATGATTCGAACTGTAAGTAGATGATTTGCATTTCCTACTATAACTATTAATTTCAGTATGTGTATAAGTGTCACTGTCAAAAAAGTCAGTGCTATATTAAAACACAGTATATCCAAATTAGAAGTTAACTAAATAAGGATAGTCTAACAGAATTATCCTAACATTGATATTTCTACTGTAATACAGTAATAACACTGTAACACTCCAATAATGAAATTGCCAACCGATTCGTGTTTGAAGCAATTTTATCATTCTATGTAACGTTATTGTATCAATTTCAATCAGTTATATCTATATTTTACTATAGGATATTGCTTTTATTTGATATACGTACATGTTTATGTATTGCTTACTTCATAGTCTGGGATAGTTGCTTACCTAAATGTATTTAATTAAAACTTCATTTGATGTTTTAGCCGGCCTATTGATCAGTCATACAGGCTATTTATTTTACCATATAAATTATATTCTTACCAAGAATCCTTAGCATTTCATCTGGAAGTTTCATAGCTTTTTCTAGCATTCATACCTACTTTTTAATTTACTGCACTGCTTAGATTCATTTTGAATAGCATTAGCTTACATTAATGATGCCTACTTCTAACTATCAGAAGGTTCTTGCCAAGAATTAATAGCGCATTATTTACAAAAATAGTAATGCACTTAATTGACCGCGTCATTCTTCACTTCAATGCTTCTTAGGTTCTTGCTAAGTAATCGTTTAAAGTCTGTCGAACCTCTACACTTCAAGGGATTATCGTCGCTTTTAACATTGTAAGATAGTAATAGCGTATTTAAAATCGTTTACTAAAATATATTTAGAACTTTGATTAATGCGATAGCGCTGCAGGATTTATAGGACTAAGTCAAGACCTTTTACGGATTGATAAAATATTCAGATTCTCATATGTATTTTAAAAATTATTGTTAATCAGATCGTTGATAGAAAATAGTTATTGATTAATTAGCGGCATAACCTAAACTCCTTTAGAATACACATGTACTAGAATTATATTAGAAATTTTATTTCCACATTTCACAGGGTCCATAACTTTAACAATTTATTCATATTTTGATCTTTTAAACTCCTCATGTCTGAAAGCTGTATCAATTCAAAGAATACATTATTGAAGCCAAAATATCAAATTTAACATTTGATAATATACAGTCACAAACCAGCTTCGTGACAAAGATAACGTATAGCAAATCTCTAAATCACTATAGTCTTGGGAATTCAGTATCCCTTAACTATCTCACAAGAATTTAGACGCCTTTGCTTCTACGTTAAACAACTATAGAACTCTTCTTTATTCAACTATTTGCCGAGCTTAAATACTCTTCAGCAGCAGCTATCATGTATCAGTCATAACAGTAGTTCTTGAAATTTAGTTCATATTGTATAGCTAAATTAGTACAGAAATTATTCATAATTTTAGACATGTACTGAACGATTCTAGATAATTAGATTACAGTATGTCCATACTCAGAATTATTTATAGTATCATCTGTAACTGAATATCTTCAGGATATTCATCACAAACGTTACATGGCATAACATTATAATCAATTAACATTAGTTACCGTATAAGAACTCTTACTACAGTACAGTATAATTTACTGTAATAAAATAATAACTATCGTAGTTCTTACTGTAAGTCATTATTAGTTTTCTCCATATATAAATGTTTACCACTAAATTTAATCATTTACTCTTTACGGTGATTCGTACCATGACGTATATGAAATAGCAAATTATTGAAAAATAATAACCGGATCCTTGTCCTATAATCTGTTGAGAAAAGTTTCATGAACAAATTTAGTAATATTGTAAAAAACTCTAAATACTACAATATAGACTTTAATGAGCACAGTTGCAATAGCTATTCATTAATCGAGATTTTAATCAATACAAGTAGCATTCCAAGAAACAATATAGATTGATTATTTTTTGCCACCATAATTAGCATCATTCTGATCCGAAATTCTGTTACAGAGATTTACAAGACAACCAGATTCAATATTTACCAGACAATTTATTTGAAGATCTTCATCAATTGAATTTTCTGTTAGTTTGAGAAATATGGAAAAAAATTAATAACACTACCTTACATGGGTACATTATTTAATTAAATAGTTACTATTTGTTCCAATTGATCAATTTCAAAGGCATTTAGATGCTAATCGAATTGGAGAAATTGGCGAAGGATTTTTAAATGGCTTGTCAGGCTTACTGAATTTGTAAAAATAGCTAATTTATATCGATGTGTGATGTCAGTTTTAGCTTATACTTTACTAACTGCGCATAAAATTCATATATATATGGCATTAAACTTTCTAGAAAGGTTTCTTTAAATAATTTAACTAGCCTGATGGCTTTAAAAGGGCAAGCAGGAGCTATCAGAACATTGTAAGTTTATATACTCTTTAGTCCATAAGCGAGATTCAGTAGTGGTACCAAGCTTTTAGATAGATGTGTTCTACATTATCTATAAACATTAGTTAAAGTATACAATTCTTTGCTATAACAGAGAACTAACCACAAACGAAATCAAAGAACTAGAAAAATTCAATTTTGCCAATATGACTAAACTATCAATTTTGTAAGATCCTAGATGACAGCTATTAAGGACTATGTTATTTAATTTATTCTATTACTTTCGTAAGAAATGTCTTCTTTAATAAGAATTCTTAGCAACAACTATCTAACGGAAATTAAAAACGAGACATTTACAGGATTATCTCAACTAAATACGCTGTAAGTACACGTAATCAAAATAAGTTGGTATTCAGTTAAAATTTTATTTGAATAATAGTGTCGATAATCTCATCGATAATTATTTCTTAAAAAAACAAACAATTTAATGTGCAATGCAATAATTGGTTGCAACGTTACACTACTTTAATTAAAAAATAAATCAAGTTAAGGATAATTTCTTCGATCTGAAATTTAGTTTTTATATGCCTGACGACAATATTATCGCTTAGACCAAGCTTTATATACAGTACAGTGCTGACTTCGAATGTACATGCAACTGTTATTGAACAAAATATCGAAGGATAAGTTACACTCAGCTTAGGCTGGAAAATATCATTTACTTAGTTTACTTATTCACTGATTGAATTCAGTTCGAAAACACCTGTAAAGTACTCCATTATCCCAGACTTGCAAATCTGAAATACAGGCAATTCTTATATTGCAAATAGAGCTATTACTTTGGAACTTGATCATCTAGCCAAATTGTTCTGGAATCATTTTTAAGCTATTGTCTTTAATGATGATTTACTATAAATCTTTCATTATCGAAATATCTGATCATCATTAATTTCTATAAATATTAAATGTGGTTGTCTATAGTTTGATCTTTTCATCACAACGACAATTACAGTAGAGTAATTACGATCCGTTGTGATTAAGGTTTTCGTTTTTTGCTACCTATGTGAAGAAAACAAATTACATTGATCTCGAAAAGAGCTTATTTAATTATTGCATTTATTTCTTAGTTTCTTGCCTCACAATTATATTGAAAAACTAGAAGGACATATATTTAAAGAATTATCCTCACTTGAAAGATTGTAAGTATAAAAGAAAATGTTCTGCCGATATTTTTTCCATTCATTCTTAGTAAAAGATATATTAGTATTTACATTTTTATAATTGTTGTCCCAACGAATGTAACACCGTAGCCAATCTCTAGTGGTTTGCATGTATACCGTATGATGATCATATAGTTATCCTACCCGTTTGTGCAAAAAACTAATGTCGAACAGATATCTTAGACTGGAGTAATATCGAGATAGCAAACAAGATATGAAACACTGAGAATTTAGATTAACTCTAACGTTGTATACTGATAACGAACCTGTTTTACCCAATAATTGAAATACCTTAATTTGCATCATACGAGTACAATATGGCTACAACGCGAATGAATAACAAGGTTTCATATCCATTTAGGGAATTATTCTCCAATCGGATCAATTACATGGATAAGAATGCCTTTTTTGGTTTAGATAGTCTTCATTCATTGTAAGATTGAAATTTGATCTATTAATTGTTTTAAAATTCAACTTTTAGCTCAGTTAACAAGATCCATTTTCGGTCATTATCAAGGATATTATCATCCAATCAATTGAGCACATTGCAGCAGGAGCAATTCTATTATTTGCCAAAACTAACGACATTGTAAGACTACAAACTTAGCGGTTGTTGAATATTTTTTACAAATTTATGATTGTATGCTAAATGCTTTTAAATACAAATATTCTAATTTTCTATCCAATCTACTGAAATTTAATGCCAATTAATGGCTTTAACTACAGAATATTTAATCGATATTATCTAATAACGTTGCTAATTCATCGGCAACGATAGAAAAATGTCGGCAGCTTAAAATAGTCGAATGTAATTGCCTTCGTTTTAGTTCGAGATATATTGTGAACTGTAGTAGCATGGTGTTACGGAGCAAAGCACCGTACTTGCTAATTAAATAGATTTTGTCAGTATTTAGCTAATGGATCATACTGGTAAGCATAATTGAAATTAAGAATATTAATGTCTAGATTGCTAGACGACAAAAGGCATAATTGTATTTGCAATTAATTAGTAGAGCCTATATACAATAGATATTAATAATGGCGATACGTTAGCACCCGCTACTGAGTTCCTTATTAGATCGTGTACGAGAAGGTACTCGGCTACTCTACTAATAAAAACTATACTAATCTTTTAGAACAGACTTATCCCTGTGTGACCGAAAGTAGTAAAGAACTACCTACAGTAGATCTCCAGGTGTAGAGGAGCAAGGCATAAGTAATCTATTAGTTTAGTGTAGTAGTTCGCAACATAAGTTTGTGACACATGGATAGAAGAATAATTTGACTTTAATATTTGAAACAGCTTGGCTATCTTTTAGATTTTTAATTTACCCTGGATTTGTTACGTATTGACATTAAGTCTAATTTTTACTTACCATTAGGGATCTATCCAGGAATAAATTGACTACCTTAAAAGATACTTTTTTTGAGGGCTTACACAGTTTGTCGACTTTGTAAGATTACTAAAAATATAATTTCTTTGCTGATTAAACCTCGCTATATTCTAGTGATAAGATGTAGACATAATTATAGAATCTGTTCGATTCGTCGGCGTTTGTAAGATTATGAAAAGTTTCTTATGAAAGTACTTGAATTGTTGGTTTGGAGCTGAACATAAAATACATGAACCATAACATACAACATTCTATCATTACTTAGCTATCGGATTTTTTACTACCCGATTCAGTTAATCATATGATTTTGAAGTTATACAGTAACCATTACAATGATATACTAATTACGAATTGGCACTATATGTGAAGATAAACATTAATAATACTGATTTATACGATAATAATCAGTCACAATGGTACGAACACCATATTCAAATATCATCAAATTAACCGTATTTTAGACTCTGATTCAATTTGGTAGTTGGCTATAAGATAGTAATTATTCGATCTTATCTACATTTAAAACAATGGTTAGCTTAGAAAAATATAGGAGACGGTGCTTCATCAGATTAGATAAATTACAGCTTAATAGGCATGTGCATTAGATTCTCAAATTTGCACCTGATCAATTTAAAATGCATATTATATATGCTAGTAAAATGATGTAAAGTCAGCTCCCTCTTACTAAATGTATTACTATCTAACACGCAACAAGATGAAGATTAAAATCTATTTTCTGGCTATTTTTAACCAAATTTGGAATATACAGCCAAATATTACGAAATAAATGATTCTTACAGTGCTGATATATATTACAGGGTTAATATGATAGCGTCGGATAACAAAATTTTAGCTGTTTCCTACTGTAATAGCTTTAATATGCAAGAATAGACATTATCTAAATTTGCAATTCTTAACATTTTAATCGAATATGAATATTTGTAGCAAAATAATAAGAAACATTTTCTGGAAAACTATTTAGACGGCTTTCCAATAATCAGATTCAAGATTTTAATGTAAAATGTTTTACTAAACTACCTACATTGACAACCTTGTAAGTACCTTTATTGACTAAAAGCTTTCTTAGTTTCTCTAAAATTATACTAGTCTACACAAACACTTTCTAAAATTTCTCTTTATCCTAAATAAGATCGCTCTCAAACAATCGAATACATAGATTGCCAACAAGTGATTGTAGCTTCTTACAAAATTTAACGGAACTGTAAGTTGAAACTTATCCAGCTATTGCAAATACCTTAAATTTTTTACCTGTATCTTCTATCGCAGATGGTTTATAGCGTCATTTCTAACTTGAGATGGATCAGTAACAGTTGATAATTTTTAAATGCTGAGCGAAATATCAACCGACCAAGTCAAAATCTTTCAATATTAGAAGCAGTGCCAGTCATTTCATCAGCAATAATTTATTGAGATAGATTTATTAAATTAATTTTTATTGAAGCAACTTTGGGCAATCCAGCTTATGAGTATTTGCTCTACATTTATAGATAGTTATTCTTTAGTATTTCATTTTAAAGTCTAAATGTTTTATCTGTAATAAGAAAATAATCCTAGTGTCCTAAAACTATTTCCACTTGTGTCTTTTTTTGTCCTTTAAAGCATTTATATTTACGGAGTTTATTTCAGTTTAAAAACGAAGTCAAGATAGCCATTTACTATTGCATACTTCTGTCACAAACCAACTTCGTGACAAGTATAACGTAAAACAAATCTCTAAATTACTATAGTCTCCGGGATTCAGTATCCCTACTTACAAGAATTTAGACGCCTTTGATTCTACGTTAAAACAACTATACAATTGAGAACTGCTTTATTCAACTATCTGACGGGTTTATATACCCTTCTACAGCAGCTAACATTCACAAGTCATCTTATAATAACACTTGGGTGAGAACATCTACTAACTAGTTTTTCACAGTCGGACTACAATATGTCCATTCACAGAATCATTTCAGCACATATTACAGCACAGCAATAAATTTACTGTAACACATTTATAATTAGAGTAACTCCTATTGTAAGTAACTAGTTGTAATATAATATCACTATACTATATTAACCAAATTTAGATAGCTATTTCTTCACGGTAGTTCGTACCGTGACAACTTCGTGCCGTGCAGTTATCCTAAACTTATATATATAAAAGTAAAAATTTAATATCTTAGATTGTTAAGAAGACGTATGTCAGGTAGAGATTTTACTTTTCTTTCGCAAATGACAGTCTAATATTGTAGCCTTTTCTTGGTATTAAATTCACGAATAATTTGGGGTAAATCTTACTATCATATTTGATCATAAATTAATTTCTTTTTGATACATTATATCATTGGATAAACATATTAATTTTATTGTACATCTATACCGTAAGTATGCAAAAAACTCCTTCCTGAAAACTAATTTAGTAGGGAAATATTAGCAGTGGCAAATTTGTACAGTTCTGTTATCAGAATGTTACTTGTTAGAGCCCTCAGTTTTACCTAACGGAACCGAATGCGCACAGGATTTATTTGCTTACTGTTCCTAAGCCAATGATTTACCGTCGCAATAGAAGCATGCTGCCCCTCCATATATAACTATATAATCGGTCTAGAGAAATATACCATATATTACCATTTTACGATGTCTAAAATGAACTTTCACACTTATATTCTAAATTGAATTCAAATACCATGATTTTCATTTCGCATGATTTCAAAAAGAGAAATGAATTGAAATATATGATTCTGCTTGCATACTAGCGTTCAACAACTATTATGCATAAGTATATAAAATGATAGCTTATTAGCTGATAATTATCCCACAGAAGCCTGGAAGGAAATAGGATGCGTGAGATACAGGACAATAGTTTTTTAGGTTTATCAGCGTTACTGAAATTGTAAGTTACTACCTTAACATCTACTGTAATGCAGAATTTAATTACTGGAATGATGATTGCTAGGAAACATGATAAAATTACATCAACTTGATCTATTGTAACGTTATAAGCTCATTTTGATTATTGTAGAGATTTAAGTAGCAATCGATTGAGGATTATTAGCAATAAAGCATTTGCTGGTTTATTATCTTTGAAAGAGTTGTAAGTGAAACAATTGTAATCCATTTTAAGCTATAAAATGGTATGATAAGTTAACAATTCCAACTAACGATTTGAGTTAAGAAGCACTATTGGTACTGAATCTTTATTAGGATTATCACACGGAACAACTTGAAATCTATTAACGGAGAAATCTGTAACTTTTCAAGATTGGAGAAATTGTAAGTAACTAGTTATATTGGCTATACAATAATAAATCGAAATTGATCTAGTAAAGAAGTTAGTATCCATTCAATAATAATATAAAAACTTAAAAATGAAAGCTTAGAATAGATATCTCACAAGTTACTTCAATTAAGTGTGTAACCGTTGATAAATTTGATTCTTCTGCTTTTATTTCAAATAGAAATTTAAATGATAATGCCATTGAACGTATTAAACCGAAAACTTTTGATCGCTGTATTCATTTAAAAAATCTGTATGTAGCCTTCAAGAATAGGTTTTATAAATTTCGAATTTGTTTTCAATTGTGATGTACGTAAGACCGTTACATCTTCTTTATAAGAAATTACTGATTATAAACATCTTTACTTTAAACACACAAGATTTATCCAAAATAATGGATTACGGAAGTTGGAAATAGACCAATTCTACACTTTAAATAACTTGACAGAAATGTAAGCTATACTGTTAACCTTAGTGAATAACTTAGCGGCTCCCATTCGCATAGCAGCTGTCAAGTTCGAAAGATCAGAGTAATTAAGTCTTTTATAAACTTCCCTAAAACCTTTATTATAAATCGTCCAATGGTTAATCTTTATTTCAATGACGTACTTATTGCAACTTAAAGTTAGAGTTTAATTATTGCTTATCAATTCTAAAAGGCATGATTTTTTTGTAAATATTGTATCTTAAAGAGTTAATACTATTCTAAAAAATTTTTAAATAAACAAACACGAGCAAAAGTGTTCAATCTTACTTTAGTTGCAATTGCTGACTGGATTATTTATTATAACCTAAAATGCCTATAACTTTTACATTTGCAGCACCTATTAACACTAAAAATGAAGATTATTATTATATTTATAAGCCATGAATTAAAGCTAATATAATTTTCTTCCTTTTATATCAGACGTTTAAGTAATAATGCCCTTAGAGAGTTAAAAACTGGAACATTTAAAGGCCTAAAGCAGTTGAAAATTTTGTAAGCTGTTTCTCTAAAGATTGCAATCGTGCTTGATTGCGTTAATGTATTAAATTATAGTTACATATTATTTGATATAATTGTAATTTGATAGCACTACAGTCGGTCTAGATGTAACTAGTTATAAAGAAAACAATAACTAATCATTTTTTATTAATATCTGTATACATTATAGGGATTTATCCAATAATAAATTACTAACTCTTGGTGAAAACCTAACTGATGGAATGACAAAATTACATACCCTGTAAGTAGCTTCAAGTAGAACTAATTTTTATAGAGTAGCTTGAGCATAGCTGCTGTAAAATAGGTTCCTTAACATTACTTATCTAGTAATATATTGATATTAATTTTATCTTTGACGTAGCTTCTAGTAGAACTAGTTTTTACGGAGTAGCTTTAGCGTAGCTGCTGTAATATAGTTTCCTTAAGATTGCTTATCTAGGAATATAATGACATTAATTTATCTATGACGTTTGATATGTTTTCAATAGATTAGTACATAGTTTTCTAATATTGTCTCGGTGCCGATAACTCATCTTTTTGTCAGTTTACTATGAATTGACTGATTTTCAATAAAGTTTGGGCTCAGTTTGTCTTGAAAAAGTTCATAATGAAAATGTACCTTAAGAGCGACTAGAGATAGTATCCTTCCTCCTGACGATGGTAGATCGTCAGAATTTGGAGTCGCACTATAGGTAGACATCGAGGAGGGCAAATCAACAATACTTTACAGTATTTACAAATTTTAGATTTGTAGCACTAGCATACTAGTATTGGTTGATATCGATCTGCTATCGATATCATCTGTTAATTTCGAGTTTATTTGCAAAACAGTATGATCGAAAACGCAAAATAATTTTAAGCCAAGTCACATTAATGCTAATTTATAACATTTTTATTTATTAGCTTGCTGAATAATAACGATTTGCAAAGTATTAATGGAATATTCAATCAGGAAATGCCAAAATTATGGGAATTGTGAGGAGATTAGTGAAATTGATGAAAAATTCATTTACGATTTAATCCTTTATATAACTCATATCAGTTACGATGTTATTGTGTTTGTACCCACCCTAATGTCCTTTTATTATCACATCATGAAATTATAGGGACCTTAGTAACAATAATATTAAATTTAACCAGTCCAAACCTTTTAGTAATTTAAAATTTTTAACAGTTTTGTAAGTAGAATACTCCAGCAGTTTGGATGATAATTATTAAGCCGCTACATATAATATTACCTGAATAATATTTATCCTTATATCATAATATGCTATCTCTCTATCAGAAAACTAGCTGAAAATAAGTTAGACTATTTGGAAGATGGCTTATTCAAAAATATATTCTCCCTTTTCGAATTGTAAGTCTCACATTTAGATAGATTGTCTAGTACTTTAGATTTAACTGACTATAGCTTTGATTTTGACTTAAGAATTTTATTGCAAATACAGTTTGGAATCATATTTTAATTTTCTCGAAATTCCTTATATCAAGAGTTACATAGATCAAGTTGTCTCTTTGCAATCTTCGTCATTAGACTATTATTGCTAATAGTATTTCATAATAATTTTAAATTATAGATAAAGCTAAGAATTTAAATCTTGTTCATTGTTGTATTTCATCACCAGAATTTTGTTGCTTACTGAGCAATAACTTTTTACTAGAAGAATCAAAATAACTTGAGTAATGTGTTCCTTAAATAATGCAGAAATTTAGCTAAGAATAGACTATGGAATTTACCATGTCACCTGCTTAGTCATTTATTGGTCTTAACAAAGCTGTAAGTTAAAGTACATACTCTAAAGATAGCTCAATTATGTAGTTTAATAATTTCTTTACTGATATGAAATATGCGCCATTCTTTATCTATATTATCTACACCGTATTTTATGATAACAGCAAACAGCCTAAAAGCCTAAATGCTAGCTTTCTGTTTTACAATGCTTTTATGGCACGAAAAGGCTTTCAATCTTCTTTAATAGACGAAATATATGTCTCTGTCTATCTATATTAATAACCTATAAAAATGATAAATACTAGTCCTTTAATTTTGTAACGGTAAATAGTTATTCAAATTATATACATCTATTAATTTTACTGTGACAGATACGCTTTGAATACTGTCTTGGCTTTTGAATCTAACTTATGCACATTATTATATGTATTTTAGAGATTTCAGCTGGAATAATGCGATTACCATTGATTATCGATGCTATTCTATTTTATCACGGCTCATGCAATTGTACGTGTCTAATTTAAAATGATAGCTATATTATTCTAAGTGAGCACTTTTAAATGAAAGTCATTTGTCTTGATTAAGCTAATAAATAATTTTTTCAATTTGAATAATAGAGATATCAGTCACACTAAAGTTATATTCGGTGAAGATTGGTATAACATTGTTCATTCAGGATATTTCAACAATTTGAAGGCCTTGTTAGTAATTATCATTTCTTAGGATTGGATTTTATAGAGATTGTATGGAAGCATCTTCCTACACAAATTTTTACTTATTACTAAATTAATTTCTGTTAATACTACATTAGGGGCTTAGCTGATAGCAACATGACTACACCTGATGATCACATGTTTAAGCATTTTAAAAAATTGCAAATTTTGTAAGAGCTGTTTGTTGGTCTTACTTGTTACAAATTTGAATTTATTTATAGCATTGTAGGTTAAGATGTTGGCATATTAATTCATTTGTCCAATATTACAGAGACTTAGCGGATAACAATCTCAGTTTAATCTCCGCTAAAGAACTCATACGTCCGCTACATAACCTAAAAATTCTGTAAATATGCATTATTAGACTTTTTAAATTTTTAACTGTTAATAACATTTTTATAGCGGTAGAGCAAATATTAGCCGCTAATCTATTTGTATTACATATGTAGTGATGTGTTAGCTGATCGCATTTAAGATATAGTTTAAATAAGGAGATTTATTTGATATCTTTTCTTATTTGCAAGTATTTCGTTGAAGTATTAAGTGACAATTAATACTTGATTAGGGATTTGAGTCGAAATAATATCCAAGAATTTTTGCCGGAAGTTTTGGTCAATCAAGGAGAATCATTGATATCACTGTAAGTATTAATATTTCCTTAAATTTTTCTTCCAACAAAATGGGATACCTTTTTCTAATTAAATGGCACATAGATTGCAGCTAGAAAATATCTTTGACCGGTAAATTTAAATTAGAAATTCATATTTCAAAAGCCATGTAACCATTGTAAGCCCCTTGGAAACTGTATTTATTTTAATCCAAGAAATTTATAAGTTCTTAATTTTGAAATTTATTATTTCAATTGATATTTGCTTTTCTTATTACCTGATATTAAACTCATATTTTTAACTGATAATTTACAAGACTTCCTCAAACAAAGTGATTCATCCTCTGTTTCATAGATTTAAAGCTGAAAATATAGAGCAATTGTATATGGATTGGATTCCTGTTTTCTTACCATATTATTTTACCATGTTTTATTAATTATAGAATCCTAAACGGTAACGATCTTCAATCATTTCAGACCTATCACTTGATGAGGCATTATCGATTGCGAGAACTGTAAGTATACGCTAAAACTATTCCATATATCTACGCAAATCTTGCAATAAAAATGATTTTAAATAAAGCTTTAAATTAATTATTAAACTTTCTTCATTAGGCATCTAGCCAAAAATAAAATAGAGTATTTTAATAATGAAAATCGATCAGATATTAATCGAATTCATATTTTGTAAGTTTATTCAATTGATCGAATTAGTAAAATGAGGAATAAGTTTTTCGATTTTAGTAGATTGCATAGCTAATGACATATGCTTAGTTTATAATATTTTGATATACGAGTAACCATTGAATTTAAGGCTAAAATCTTATTAATAGGAAACTAGTCGAGGTTACAATGTAAATTAATACTATTAATTCATTGTTAATGAATAGATTGATTTATTTACTTTTGGGTACCTACCCGTTATAGGAATCTGGCTCATAATAGGATATCTAATGTTTGTGGTTCCTTCTTTAATGGTTATCAGTATCTTGAAAATTTGTAAGACAAATAGATTAGCGTTATTATGTCTTTTAAGAATTTAAAATATATATTCGATTTATTCTCGAATGTTAATACCATGATTTCTGTTGGGCTTTAGGACCTTAGATGAAAATAACGTACGGGTTATTACTCATAATTGTTTTTCATCTATGTCTTTACTAAGAATACTGTAAGTTTAGCAGCATTAATTGACTTCACATTGTTCGCAATAATTCATAATTACAAATTCCTTTGTCTAGATGATAAAAATTTTGTTTTGCTGATGAGATAAATTGCTAAATTTAACAACACCGGATCTCATATCTAGGTCATTAAAAAATAATCCTTTGGTTGATCTAGCTTCGGAGCCATTTTATGGATTAATTAGGCTACAGAATTTGTACGTAATTATCCTATTGTAAATTAGTGAAATCAATTGCATCGCGTAAAACTGACACCTTAGATACTTTATTTTTTAATTCTTATTCTAGAACTGTAAAAATGTTACTATGATAGCTAAATACGCGTATATGGATAATTCTATTTATAGTACTGTCTGTATTCTTATTTTAAAGATTTTACGAAATCAATAACCGTATGGAAATTATAATTTCAGCTTTAGCTGTTCATCTTTTGGAATCAATTTAAAATCCCTACTTCAAATTTATCACAAACATTCTTTATTATAGAAAATTTAGTACATTAATTTGCTATTGCAGTTAATTTCATTAGAAATTACCACGCATTCACTTATATAATAAATTTATCTACAACAGATACCTTTTGATATTTAACTACATTTACTCAAACAGGGCTTCACTTAGATACGATATCCATAATTTCCCTGAATTTATTACATCATATAGGTGCAATTTTAAAGGTTATCCACAATGTTGAGTGTATTAACTTTTTCAAATAAATTTCGACCCTTCCTTTTAGGCAATCTACTCGCGAATACTTATGTTGTCTTGTACCTGGTACTGTGGAAAGATGCAAACCTATACCCAATCAGGAGCAATTATCAACTTGTGAGAATTTATTAGCCCATAGATCGTTACAAATCTTTGTTTGGATTGTAGGTATTTTAGCTCTTATTGGCAATACGTCGGTCATAATTATGCATTGGATATGGCGTCGTAAATTTCATCGTCACTTAGTGCCGACATTTCTTATTAGCAACTTAGCCTTCACCGATTTGTTGACTGGCTTTTACCTTATCATTATTGCTGTTGCCGATCAAATCTATCACCATAACTACGCACAATATTCTGAATTCTGGTTACGGCATCCATTTTGTGTCTTTGCATGTTTTCTTACCTGCGTATCCAGTATTATGTCGGTCTTAATGATGTTTGTGATCACCATAGATCGCTATATTTGCGTGGTTTACCCATTATCTGGTAAACGATTAACTATTAAGTCGGCAAGCGCAATTGTTACTTTCTTCTGGCTAGTTAGCATATCTTATGTAGCTTTCCCGCTAATGTTTGGCTTTGGTAAATCAGCTGATGATCGTATCTACCAATATAGTAGTGTTTGCCTACCTATGAATATTCATAATTCATTCTTTCGTATTTGGATCTTAACGTCCATCGCTATCACTGTCTTAATATGGATAATTGTTAGTATATTATACTTAGCAATGTTTATCTCTATCCAGCGTACTAGAATGGCCGTTGAAAATTGTCGTAATATTCGAGAAGATGATAAACGAATTGCTGGCAGGATGTTAATAATATTATTAGCGAATTTAGCTTGTTGGATGCCCTTCTATATTGTTATGGTGCGCAGTATGCTCGATTCGGAAGTTCAAATCTATACATTGCCTTTCATTGCTGTCTTTGTATTGCCCCTCAATTCATCCATTAATCCATACTTGTATACATTCTCGGGTAGTACTAGCATGACTAGAAGTCAGAGAACGAATAAAAAGTTATCCAAAGATTATAGCACAGCAAGTTCGAAACGGCTACCTTCTCTTCCGACATTTAGTACTATATTTAAGGAATTGTCACCACTATAAAATGATAAAAAAGCAATACTTAATAGTAGTTAGTTATGGTAACAATTCATAATTTATATGCTTCTATCTGATTGAGAATGTTACTCTTTATTAGTAAAGTGATACTGATTTATAATAAAATTTTTTAATTGGCTATAATGTTGAGTCCTGTTTTGCTTCGGTTTCTATATAACACTAGATAATAGCTTAAATAATAATATAATTCCGCGATATCGGTAGGATATTGGAGATTGCAAAGGTAATATACGTCAGATAAACTTAAACTCGTAGAGTCTCCTTAATAGAAAGAGGTAGTAAATGGGTAAGATTCGTGTTATTGCTTCATATCTTGCTAGGTGTAGTAAAATTGCGCCAGAATTGTCTTTATAGGTATCGATCTGTAATTTCGTGCATTTAACTTTATCTAATGTTGGATAGAAATTGATCAATTATCGACTCTTATACTGTTATCATCGGTTATTACTTTTGCAATCTACAGATGGTTTGGTTTGGTTGGATAGATAATTTCGTCCTTATAATAGTAATGTGTAACAACTATAAACCTATTCAAGACAAGATAACTGAATCACTTATCTATTCTTATATATGAGAAATTTTTAGTATGCAAACTTTTAATAAAATGATATCATGATATAGCAAGTAATCCAGTTTATCTATATATTGCCATTATTTTAAGCTCAAAATTTGTCATTTAGTATCGGTAATTAATGACTAGAATTACTAAATATTATTGAATTGGACGCAATAGCAGGTGGCAAGTTACTATGAATGTCGATCGAATCTTAACGTGCATAAAGTTGCACCAATGATAAAATAATAATAGTAATCTGATTACCGATATGCCATGCAGAAATATTTAAATTCTTTTTATAATGATTTGCGATTTAGAATCTTTTGATTTCATTACAATTATTGCAAGAATGGGAAGATAGTCGTGCACCTTTGAAGTATAACGAACATTAATGCAATGTAGTACAGTAAAGATGTTGTCGCCGTTATGGATACAAAGACTTACTCTTTCTTCTGTACTATGCCTCTATAACTTCCATAGCAACAAGTAAAAATCTTTATAGTACTACTACAGTACTTGTATGGCCATACTATGTGAGCCAATAATAGCGATATTGCTAAGTCGATATGACAAAATTTTAATTTTTTAGATCCAAGTTCGTCAGAGAACAATTTACCATTCAGAATATTTATTGAGAACGAGATTGTTTATTCATTAATAGTTACGATTGGTACTTTTAGTCGATATCCATATCAAGAGAGTAATAACGGAAAAATGGTATCTTTATTAGAAATGTGACAAATATTCTCACGATTTCAATAAACTTGCATTACTGTTACCTTTCGACATGGCTTAAATAGACAACTTATCATTAGTCCACAAGATGTAAAAAAAATATATATAACTACGTTATATAAAATTTCAGTAAATAGCGTAAAAAATTTGCAATGACTGAACTTCTGTAAAAAACACTTTGCTCTTTATGAAATCAGTAACAATGACGAGTCGTACCGATCTATCGTTATGAACGTCTACATATATATTCGAATATACGCGTATGTACATTATTTACGGCTAGGGATCAACTTAAATTATTTTGTCTCAGAAGTTGAAATCGTACAATAATTAGTTAGATAGTAATCGTGCATTAATGAATTGAATGGCAGCTACTTACGATTCACCAGCTTAAGCTTCGTCTTCGGCGAGATACAAGGTAGAAGTATATGTTATTCTTAAAAAAAATATGATAACAGCAACATATAAAACTATACCTATTATAGGGAGGTTTGTGCGAATATCATCAAATAATTTTCATTCAAATGAAATCCAGTTGAATATAGATTCATTTTTAGTCATTTCTAATGTAGCGAAATAGGATAATATTATGGAAAGCGATAAATTTTAATAGGATCTATCATGGCTAATCGTAGGAATAGATTAAAACAATTATTACATAATCCAACAATTGGGAACTAATAATTTGTTTGAGTAAAATTCACATCTTGAATATTCAATTGACCGTTATGGCTCATATTAGGGTGAGCAAGTGGCAGGCAATGAATATGATAAAGTTATACCGCAATTTTTCAAAGATTCATTTAAACTTCTACTTTATCGTCTTCTAATGTTTTAGCAGCTTTAACGTAAGGCTCGCGGTTTAAATGAGCACGAGCGGTTGTCGTATGCCACACTAATATTTCTCTACAATTAGGCGTTATTGTCTCTAGTTGAGTTTTGTCCTGTACTAAAGATGATAGTAATGACGATTCTAAATAACCCGGTGCAACGGATGAGCTAAAGTGTGCTTGATAATTTTCTAGTATCAATTCCAAGTTGATAGCAAATCCAGCCATATCAAATGGAAAGGGCCTATTAGGATCGAAAACAACCCGCCATCCAGTAATTTTGCCGTTGTTGCAGCGAGGCCCTTCGAATCGTAATCCCCCTACAAGTCCAACAGGCCATACGCTCACTCGCTTGGTATTTCGAAACTGCAACGAAAACATAAATTTGTTACCTCATCTAGTTTGTGCAAGATTGATGATATCATTATAGAAGTATATCTTCTCTACTGCATGGGCTTCTTCAAGAATACCTATCCTACACTCGATAGTTGGATTTACCTTATTGAATAAGTCTTTATCATAAGTATTGTCATCATCAGCAAAATAGACAACTCCATTCGATTTTTTTAGTTGTATATTTTCACGTAGCCATAATAAGGCACGATTTCTCTGAGCAACCCCTCGAGGTTTTTTCCATTTGGGTTCTTTTTTCTGACGTAATAAGAAAGCTGGTGTACGAATGCTGAGCTGTGTGTAAAGTAATTTGCTGCGTTTTAGCACATTGGTCACTAATTTCGAAGTTGCATTTGCATCCTGTGAAAGTCAATATTGTGATAAAAAAAAATGATGTTATTTATTGACATGAGCGACAAGAGAATAAACATCTATGGTGTAAATCTATAGAGGTGCAGAAGAATGTTGTATCAGGCTAAACACTCCGGATCATTAAAATACTTATCATATGTACTACATAGGATCTATAACGTCATTTCGTACGACTAGGAAGAGTGTACTGTATAGTACTGTACTTATCTATTCTGGATAATTATAAATCAAGTCCAATTAGATACTGTAACTGCTACAAAGTAAAATAGCATAAAATCCTAGAACAAGTGTTGTCTTCTTACTGGCAATAACATACAGTATCGCTAATTTCTTGTAAGCAGAAAATTAATAAATTAAACGTTGAATGTTGCTATTTTACATAAGTTTATTAAAGTAGTTCGTAACCTCAACTACTATCCAATGGACGTCAGTGATATGTTGTAATGTTTGTGAAAGCCGAATTAAGTCCGCTTTTTGAGTTGCTCTGGCGTATGTCGGTGTTATAACATAGATTGTAGTCATGCTTTTACTGAATTTCTTATGAGCAAGGGTATACTGAGGGTCATCTATGGCTAACTTTTGGCTTAAAATTTCAGATTTTAAATTGCGAAGCTCTCTCTCTTTACTCGCTAAAGAACTTAGCAAGACTTCTTTTTGTCTCTTAATCGCTTGAATTGTTGATTCCAACGTTTCAATGCGTTCATCTTCGCTTCTTAATCCTAAATAAATAGCAAGTATTGATAGATGTATTAGAATTGCGAATGTAATCCTTGAACTATTCTTCTTCTTAGCAATACTATTTTGACTGTTATTGCTAGTGCAAGTTCGATAATGGACATTGACGTCTAGTGTTGTTACAAAGATGAATTCAGGTTCGTCAAGGAAGATTCAAGTCATCACATGTCGTTTTAAAGATGGTACAGTAGATAAATCGTTTGATGTTTTGAACATATAAAATGCTCAGGGTACTTATGAATTTCCTTAATGTCGTAAATTACCAGATAAAAAGAACATGTGTACAGTACAGTAAAATGCATACTGTAGGATACGGGTTCTTCTTCTTCTTCGTACCAAGCTCAATATCGGCATCTTGCGATGATGTTGATTGATATCAAGGTTGAAATACTTTCAGACGTATGCAGACATTGTCAGCGATTGTTGACAATGGAATAGAGTCATGGTGGATAGAGGTTATACTTTAGAGAGCATGTTGTCACACAGGTCAAAATTAATTTCTAGCATTACCTTCTGCACAATTCTTATTGCCACTATGGAGAATCCAAATGGTAGAGATGAAAGCTATTAGAGGGAGGACGACGATCCATTGAGTGTTGCATAGTCGCCTCTTGTTGACGGCCATTGTTGATTTACAATGATTTTTTTTTATTATTTCAGTTACAATCCAACATTACTGTACAACAGGATAACGTGTTGAAGATTTTGGCCTAGTATTATCACTCTTTCCTAGCTTTTGCAACCCTTTCCAATATCGTTAATGTCTACTTGCTGAAGTAATATTCCAAGTCTTGGATCATTAATTCCCAGGACTAGTCAAGGTTGAGCTAGTAGTTATGTTCAACATTGTCCACTGTCCGTCAGTCTGTTAAAAGCGAATATTGGGCTTAGGCAAATTGGGCAAATATTGGGTGTGGGGAAGCCCAAACTGGCGCTTTTAACGCTTACTATTGTCGTGTACTGTATGTTTTAACGTAGTCATGATATTCAAGTAAGCAGATAATGAATTTATAATGAATCATTTTGATCATACGACTCTTCTTCTAGTAGTCTATGATTCAGTACATTGCAATGATAGAGGTAGAAGAAAAAGCAATTTGTTTTACTTCATAGGAACACGAGCAAAATTGATGTCACTATTGATGGTTCTTTCCGATACACCATTTTGGCCAACTCATTGTCGTCAATATGCTACAGTATCGGACGCTTGGTGGCATACAATTCAACTACATTTTCCTTGTTCAGTCAAATGAACAGTAGTAAATTTTCAAGGACCTGCTGTGCTGTACAATGACTCATACAATACTGCAGTACAGTCATCTTCATAAACTTTTTGACATTGTAACTAGACTAACCAGTCTGGCCTTTCGTACAGTGTACAGTACAGTAGAGACCCTAGAGAGTCTGTCGTGTACTGTACACTGTAGACTTCGCAGGCAGTGGCTGTGTCAACCACATGCACACGCAGGCGTATAATCGACATTGACGGTACACTGTCCATTGTACGCGTGGTTGGTCATATACAGCACTGTACTGGTACTGCTGGCACAGCAAGGCAAAGTAACAGCAGCCGTGACGTGCTAAAGTAATACTACTGTACTACTTTAGTATCACCTGTCACTGCCGATAGAACTGACGATACTGTAGTGACGGTACTGACGTAGAACTCAACCTACTGTACACTCACTAGTGTACAGTTGACGCGCACCACAACTCAATCGTGGTTTCATTTCATTCCCACAAGCTGACTCCAACGAGCTAGTGACGTCCGCAATGGGCGACGTACAGAGTGAAAGTCAATCAAGCGTTCCTCAAATTGCGGTCACTGATGATGACAAGTTCAAAGCTGAAGAATTCAAGACCCAAGCTAATGAAAATTTTAAAAGTTAGACATTTCAATGAATTTAATTGCTCCAATCTTTCTATTCAATTGACAACATGATAGAAGATGGATGTCCTGATCGGATTATATTCGTTTTCGGCGGCTACTTACTCTATCAATCATGACAAGTGTCTACTAGTTTTCCCTCAGTGTTATGTCTTGATGATAGTCGCGTGTTGTAGGAGTACTAGTGCGTGCGGCCTATTTCAAGCAGACATGGCGAGTTGGTTGATTCAATTTCATTGCTATACCAATCTTCTCCTCACGATATTCTCTTTTCGCTACGCTATAATGTAAACAATCATTCACTTTCTTTACATCACCAGTCAATGTGGACAGTAAGAATAGTAAAGTACTAGGCCATGCAAGGATGATCTTTTGAGTTAGTAGTACTGTAGTCACCACAGACAAGACACGTTGCATCGTTGAAACTTGCTATTAACATTCTTTGCTGATAACCATTCGTTATTGGAATGGCGATTAATAGACTGCCATGAATAGATCCATTTACCTTTTTGAACAGAAATGCTTTGGAACTTTGTCTACTGTAAAACTATTACTGTAGTGTCGATTACAACTGTAGTCAATGGTAGAAATCCACCGATGATCTCTTGTAGATGAGAGAGTTCATTGCTACAGTACCGACTAGCGTAATCTAGATACGATATTTTATGATTAGTTGGTCAGTAATAGTCATAATATTTCACTTTTGTGACTTTTCAGCTAACCAGCTTGAATGCCATTATTTCTACGTGATCGAATATTAACCTTGACGACTTTTCACCTGACTAGCATAACGTTGAGTATACAAGTGTTAAATTTCTACATTAAAAGGAGTCATAATCAACCTCGATAGCTTTGAAACGAACTAGTCAATGAATATCATAATGCTTGTAGAGGTTGGCTTGTGCTGCCGTCTTCTAAGCCATGCATTGATTTCTATAGAAATACAACCGGAAAAATTCATCGTGAACATTGCAATATTCTCGACGTTATTCTGAGTCAATAGACTGTCGTCGACAGTAGTCCATTCCTACAGTTTCATACAATTCTTAAAACTAATGGTTATAAAAATTTCTTTTTCTAAGAGCAATATTACGAAGATGCTATCCGACTTTATACCAAAGCCATTGAATTAAATCCAACGGTACCAGCTTACTGGAGCAACAGAAGGTAAATGGAACAAGATACGGCTAACTTTTGATTCGAGAATGCATTGATATACGCGTATTATATATTCTTACCTCACTCTCGATGCTATATCTGAGTTATGCTGATGACTTTAATCCTTACCTAATCAATAGATGATAGATTTACTGAGTGTAGAAAAGTATCGCCTAATTTCCCGTTGTAGTTCATTCATTTCAATGTATAGATAAATTGCCAATATCTCAACGTAGAGTAAAGAAAATTAAAATTTTTTGATTAGCTTCAGTTTTATCAAGACCGAATGCTTTGGTTATGCCTTAGCAGATGCCTCGAAATGTATTGAGCTAGATAGAACTTTCATCAAGGTAAATAAATCAGTAACCAATATTCCACTAAAAGATGATATTGAATGTTAAATTATGGCTCTAAAGCTGTTGGATCTTTCCAGCATAATTGGCAAATCTGTTTTCCCTAATTTGTATTGTTTGCGCTCGGGTAGGGGTATTACAGAAGAGCCTCAGCCAACATGGCTCTTGGCAATTTTAAAATGGCTCTGAAGGATTACGAATTTGTTAGTCGAGAATTCCTTACAAATTTTTAAAATAATTAACTTGATATTATTATACTATAAGTTACTTAAAAATCAAAGGTATCCAATTTTAAAATTGGCTAGAATAAGTATACTGACAGCAGCTTTAATGCTATTCATAACACAAATTATTTTCTCGTAGGTTACCAAATCGAGACCCAATGATAAAGATGCTAGGCAGAAGTATAATGAATGTAACAAAATTGTTCGACGACGGGCATTCGAAAAAGCTATTGCTGTACAAGATTCTAGCAAAGTTTTGACATCAGAGTCGATAGATATCGAGTGCATGGGTATATTATAGATTATTGTTAGCCAATAATCGTCATTATTGTCATAAACGTTGCAGTCCAGTGCAAAATTGAGAGAATATTGGTATAAGATACATTATTATGATTGCAAAGTAGCTATACAGAAGTATCACTAATATAGGTTACAACTTATTGCAAGATTATTATGTCTATCATCGTCGTCTAGTGCATTTGGTTATAGTTTGTATTATATGAAAATAACAAATTTGGGAATAACTTACATAGCTGCAGAAATTGTCTGTTTGCTATCACTAAGTTCCCTAAAGTGAATATCATTCAATCACTCAGATATGACCAACTGATGATGAGCAAGAACAGTTGGACAGATACGGAGTGAACATTTGTTAACGTTATACGTATTTACTGAATCTTTAGCAATGTAATTTAGCCACAGTATTTGAATACTATCATTCAGTAAGTTGTTCTTGAAGTGCGATGTATCATATTTATTTATCTATTACTTGGATTAAACTGTAGAAATTGAACCTGGTTATGATGGGCCATCTTTTCAAGGCAATGTTACCCTTGAATTTATGAAAGAACTTGTAGAAACTTTTAGAAATCAAAAGAAATTACATAAGAAGTTTGCATATATTATACTACTTAAGATTAAAGAAATACTTTTAAGTCTGCCTACTTTGGTAGATGTAACAATACCATCGGTAAGACTGGTTTGGATATCTCGTAAAAGAATCAATGTTACTACTTGTAGGCAAATAGTCAAAGCGATTGCTGAATTATTTATTAATAGAATGGCAAATTAACCGTTTGCGGTGATGTTCATGGCCAATTTTACGATTTATTAAATATTTTTAATCTGAACGGATTCCCATCTGAAGATAACCCTTATGTAAGGAATATATATCGTGTTCGAGCGTCTATAGTCTATGGCATGTATAATGTTCACATCAAAAATATTGACTAAACTGAAGAGTCGATACACTAATTTCTAATCTTACCTGCTAGCTGTTTAACGGTGACTTTGTCGACCGCGGATCTTTCTGCGTTGAGGTTGTTTTTACGTTATTTGGCTTTAAAGTGCTATATCCAAATCATGTTCATTTATCAAGAGGTAAGACTATTTACGGCGGTCGTATTATACTGTGTAGCGATGATATTTAACACTAAATGAGTGCTCCTGCAGTTTATATACTGACATGGGTAATATTGGGAAATTCTCTTATGAATACATTATTTAATAGGTAATCATGAAAGCCCTACGATGAATAAAATGTACGGTTTTGAAGGAGAGGTCAAGGAAAAATATTCAGCAAATATGTGTGAACTATTTACAGAAATTTTCAACTACTTGCCTTTGGCACATTGTATAAACAATAAGATTTTGGTTAGAAAATTTTCTTGATTTAGATATGCACTGTACAATATTTAGATGGTGCGCAAAATATGAGCGATGTTATATATTCGATATTGTAAATTTTGCTTACTTTAAAGACAATTTTCTATTTATGTTTTTTTACAAAGTGCATGCATGGTGGACTTTTTAGTGATGATGATGTAACCTTGAATGATATTCGAAAGGTTGATCGTAAAAGGGAACCTCCAGAATCTGGTATGTATTAGGCTCACCCTATTGATCTTTTGTGTTGCAATCGGTTATTTTAATGATTTGAAATAACTCATACTATTAATTACTAAGGTATTATGTGTGAATTACTTTGGTCTGATCCTCAGCCGCAGGTGAATATCTTTATTTTACCTTACATTGATTGAGAAATATTAAATGTTGAATTATTTCTACTGGTTTGTAGCCTGGTCGATCGCCAAGTAAAAGAGGCGTAGGCATTCAGTTTGGACCCGACATTACGAAAAACTTTTGCGAAAGAAATAATTTGGGTAATGCGTATTAGTCCAATCATTGACCGTTATCAATCTTTAAGACTCAGGTGTTTCCCTATTAGACATGATAATTAGAAGCCATGAGGTCAAGAACGATGGGTATGAGATAGCTCATGATGGCCAGTGTATAACAGTATTTTCAGCTCCTAATTATTGGTAAAGAATTACGTTTTGTCCTTGCGCTTATAAATTTGATATAATATTAAGATACTGAACCTGATGTTATCTTAATAGCGACCAGATGGGCAATAAGGGAGCATACATAACATTAACCTCCAATCTTAAGCCCAAGTATACCTCTTACGAAGCTGTGGTAAGTCAAGCCGAGTCATTTTAGCTGTTTGTCATGCAAAGCTTTTAGAATGCCGATTAAGTTCATTCTACCGGTTAGTAAGGTAACATTATTATTTCAGCCTCATCCGAACGTTAAGCCGATGGCGTATGCCAATCCCATCTTTGGATTTTTCTGAAATCGTGATTAATGAAAACTATGGTGAATTGTATCCGATTAACGAAATATATAATTCTCCCTCCATAAACCGTGTTTTATTAGAAAATAGCGTAATTGTTATATCGCAAAATGACTGGCGCGATACGCTAGTTATATATCAATTCATTGTTGATCTAAATATTTTTCGTTATTGTACTTAATAAATGAAAAATCAGAATTAAAATATAACAAAAAGAAGTGAATGCTGGAAATTTCAGTCTTATTGTGTAGTTTATGTTTAAATTATTTTTATTATTCTGTGGCTAGAATTTTTCGTTTTAAATTTATCAAGCTTTAGGTACATCAGTGCAATGGAATTCGTCTCAATTACGTTAGCTGTTGTAGTTTACAACGAAAATAATACAATGGTTATCTAGGATATGATGAATTACCAATAATGATCAGCATTCAATTTATATAGCGGTAAAGAGAATACCATGCGGAAATTGGTCAAGTATACGAGTCATTCATCACAATTTCCAATAAAGTTTCTCTGAATGAGCAATTCTGAAATTTATAATTCTTAATCTGTTTAAGGCTACACCATGACACTTAATAGTATAGAGATATATATATTATTATTTACATGCTTATAATTCAGCTAGCTTTCTCTTACCGAAAAAGGATCACACTGCTTTTCTTCAGTGTTCACCTAGTACCGGATCTTACTATTACATATGAATTAATTTATATGTTGTAGAAATTAAATATTGAAGCGTCGAACGAGTGTGGTAATGTCCTATCGCAATACTGAGACTCTTAAATTTGAATACGGTATAATGTGTTATATTTTTTAAGCTTTAAGTTTAATGAAGCTCTAGATATTAAAAATTTTCTCTTTCAAGCGTTTACGTAACAACGCTCTACAGTATATCTTGTGAGGTGATTATATAGAAAACTTTCAAATGTTGTGCGATATTCGTATATAAGATACTGTACCAATTGTCGAAATCACATTAGTCCGTCACTGCAAATATTACTAGAAATCAAGGTAAGATTATGCATTAACAAGATCAACAATTAAGACGTCATCTGCCCGATATCTTTTAATTTTACAATTGACTGTATCGCTGCTCAGAAATGTTATAAGATATGACAATAACATGCCCCCTACTGCATCTTACAAAAAACTTTTGATAGGTTCGAGATACCTGAAAATGGAATAGTTAGCTATTTTACAACCAGCAAAAAGAACAGTTGGAACAGCCTATACGGTTAATGTACCGAAATCTTTTATTAGTACCTATAAAAAACTTAGTAACGTCCATAATATAATTAATTACTTAAATATTAACGGTGTCTGTTTACAAAGTTAGTCTGGTATCTCAGATGCTAATGCTATCAGAAAGCGCGCTTAACAACCAATTTCATACATACGAACAAATTTCTGATAGATTATGAGTTAAAGTTAATGTTCCTGCAGTATCAAAATTACCGTTGATAATACAAAGCTGTGCCTTAATAGCTACTGTAAAATTAAACCATTTCCGTTGCTTTTTAGAAGCAAATTAAAATGTTAAGCTCTTGTCCTTTACGAAGCAAATCGTCAGACTAATTGCTTTTCGTAACACAGAGCTCCAGTAGCGTTAATCGAAACGATGCATCATCAACTGTTGTCAAGTACAGTACAGTAGGTATAACAGTAATATTTTCGTGTTAATTCTTATAGATCCAATAAGCAAAAATGTATAAAATTGTTAGTACAGTCTTAATCAATTAATATTCTAACCGATTGTTAATCGTTAATCGAGAACTTACTAATAAATTAGAAGCTATTCCAAAATGTAAGATATTGCAGGTGCTCAACAAGTATTTGTCTAACGTAAAAAATCAAGCTATATAAATCTAGATAACGGCATTACGGCCTATCTACAACTTCTTGTACAACTAGATGTTTAACCTAGATGAATCTTATAAGTATTTTGGGTAGAACTGCATTTTGTTGGTTTGTATGAAGCATATGAATATATTGTGTTGGCTGTCGGCCTGTATTTAAAATGTATTCCGGCATGCTTCGATGCACTCTTCTCGCATGAATATTTTACAGTCAGAAGTAATACAAATAAAAAAGAAAGATGGGCAACAATACAGCGCAATGATCAATGCTTTTCAGTCTATATTTTTACAATTATAATGCCATCTAATACATTCAACTAGCCCCATTTCTAATCAAGGATGACATGGCAGATCTTCGCTGACCATCAGGAGAATAACTAGCAGAATTATTAGAACCATTACCGCTCTTATCATGCATTAGCTCAGATACATCGTCTTTATCGGTATCATCTTGACTTGATTTTCGGCGTTTAGTCGGAGATCTCGATAAATCCTATAGATTAATGGGACCAAAATACATTAAAGTACAGTGTTTTCAACTATAAATTACGTTACTATAACATACGTCATCAGTTCCGTTTTCTTTCCATTCAGATCTTCCTTTTTTCTGAAAAAAAGATTGCCAATAATACAGTAATTCAACAATATGATCAATTCTAAATATTCATATTTCAGATTTGTCTTACTCCATGAGTTGCTTCGAATTCTTCTAAAATTTGCAAGAGATTGAAACGTCGTCGATAATTTACAAAAAAATTCCTACACTGATTAACAGTCTTGTTGCCGACAACTTCAGCAATAGCATGGTAATCTTTGCCATATCTTCTTACAGCTAATATATAACAAAGTAATCTTGACATTAAACTGCATTCATTCCTTATGTTATAAATACTTGTTGCGACAATATAGTCGTATAGCTATAAGTTACATCTACCTTCAACAGCGATGTTAAGCTCCTCAGTGGTCCATCGAGCGTTACTTCTAACTCCACTCTATTATTATTAGAAGAAAGCTTAGTACTATTGACAATAATATATATGATAATAATTAAATACACAAAATTGACCTCTGGCAGTCTATATCGTTCAATATCTTTGACAGATACTTCATCAAGTTCAGACAGTACTTGTTTGTTACGCTGGACCTGACTTTTTAATTTTATAATTTCGTTCTCAAATATTCTAGAATCATTTTCGTGATTCCCTTTCACTATTACCATAAGGGCTTCTCTAGTTATTCTCATACCCTAGTGATAGTAGACAGCAAAATTTTATTGACTGTATCGAAAAAATAGTATTTTAATTGCATACCTTAGGAGGACGTCTTTTATGTTTTTTCAATTTTCCTTTTTCATTCTCAGTACGGGTTTGTATCCTGACGTTGCTTCTCATCATTCCAGTACGTCTACGAATATCACATATTTTTTAGTTACTATAACGTTAATATATTTTCGCCGAAAAATAGATTAAAAACCAAGAAAATTTGTGTCACCTCCAGTACTGATAACATGCATTACAAATGGAGCCTTTTGGTGTCGAGTGTAGATGAGTTACACACGATCCACAATTGGAGCAAACTCTGCTATCACTAGAAATCTGTATCAAATAAGAACAATTAAAAGTCATACTAGAAGTCTGGTATAACACTGACCAACAATCAGAAATGTGGTCATACGGAAGTGCGTATTTGCAATCTTACTCCGTTACTTCTTCCCTTGGAAGGTTCAAAATCAGAATCACTACTTTCTTCTGCCGAATTTTCACTGATTAAAATGTTCGGTTTATTTAATTTCTTAAAAACGTATCGATATATGAATAGATATATAAACAAATTACTAACCACGAAGTAGCATCTTTTGGAACAGCGGGTTTTCTTGCTTGTCGATCTAGCAAGCTAAGTCTACTCTTCCTTTTCTTCCACGAATAGTAATAGCGAACTAGGCTACCAACGGATTTATCAGGTAACTAATGTAAGAAAATATCAAATTTCGGGCATGAAACAAGATTGCGCTCATTTCAAATCAGATCTAATAATTGAGCAAATAATAGGCATTTCTTACCATCGCTTTTATCTGATGAAAATGTTTGCCGTGAAAATCAAATGCTTGCTCAAATAGTACTTCATCTTCCATACTCCATTCATCTATGTAATTAAAAATTAAAAAAAGAACCAGAAATGCGTGATGTATCAACTTGAAAGTAAGTCAATTAGCGAAATATTGACCATAACTAATAAAATTTTCTGTATAGGTGATTACTTCATGAGCAATAATTATCATGAAAACTTGATTACATTGCCCTAAAAGATGTATAAATAATTATGTGCATTACTTGGGTAAGGGGCAAAATTGGCCAAATCCTCCTTTGACTTTTCTATGTCATATTCATGCCAGTAGAGCATACCTAATGCCTAAACAAACATTAATTCAAAGTTACAATACAAATCTTGATAACAAATTCAAATTTTCTACTATATACTTATAAAGATATGATTTAAATTTTACTATAGTAGCTGCATATTAAGATGTGAAAGTTATGCTACAACTTTGTCAGAGAAATTAGTACAATAACGTATACAATTATGTATACTCGTATTATGTAGCACCACCGTTTGATAAACGGACCGCGGCATTCATAAACAATACGTTTATGGTATTTAAACATAATGTACATATAAATACATATTTTACACAATTTTATATTAGTAATAAATGAAGTACAATAGAAGAATTATTCCTATATCCTTATGAAGAATTATGAATTATGGACTTACTTGTTCTAAGGAATATCCAAAATTTGTTTTTGCATAGTGTATGAATTCATCAACTATATCATGAGAAAAAATAAAGCATATATTGCATGTTGCTTATTGATGTGATATCTACACAGATTACTTTAATAACTATTTTGTGCTATTAGAAATATTAATGCAGAAATGTTTCAGAATTTATTATAATAATTTTCACGCTGACTTTTGGCATCGGACATAGATACTTCAGGGGCCCAAATTCTAGTTTCTTCTGCAATTTTAGTTGTCGCTCGATCCTGTGTTGCTTTACCACCTATTAGACAAAATATGTAATAATTCGTATGTGAATAATTACAAAACGATAGGCGGGTACCCATATTTAAAAACTGAATCATTTGCTATCGCACTTACAGTATACTACACGTGCATTACGTTTTATTAATGGATTGTCTACAATTCTTAGTTTTTTTCTTAGCGATAAGTATTATCACACTGTTCATTAGTAAGTGATTCGATAACATTTCTTAGTTATAGTAGAGTAATATTTTATTTCGCATCTATGTAGCGATTAAAACCATACTTGTATACAGTAATACGGCACGAATGGGTCTACTCTTAATTAGTACATAGTAATATAATAATTTTAAAAAATAATGAATATACGTAGGCGTATGGGTATGTATAGAATAATTCTTAATGAAAATTTCTGCAGTGTACCAAGATGTAAAATATCTAAAATTAAATCATTTGAAGAAATTGTTCATAATCTATATTCGCGTATATCATATCAAATCGCCACGAAGGTATTATGCTATACGGTACGAGATAGCACATGATTACGCACACGTAAATCCCTTGCCGGTACTAACCGACTAGTTCAACTCAACAACAAAAATATTAGATTGGTACGCGTATGGATCATCTACTGTATATTATACAATCGAGCGTTTTTAATAATTTAATATACTACATAATCTATCGTGTTGACGGTATCATTTAACGCGTTTACTTAATTGAAAAAACTATAAAAATTGTACATGTAGTCTGCTTTACCCGGTATTAAGCTTTAAAACAAAGTTAACCTCAAAAATGAGACGTAAGAGATGTAAGCAAAAGAGCAGTTTTAATCGGGACAGATTTTCTTGCCATTATAACTTGGTAAATGACACAATTATGTAGTTATTGTTTGCTATCAATACCAAATAAGCATCAACCATGATGCTTATTTCCCAAGTAGCAATTAATGTCAAGGTTGATATTTGTATTGAAAATAGAAATTGCAAATTGTGAGTATGAATTAAAGTACTGATTATTTCGTATCATAAATAAAAATTGCATTTCAGCAATATTTGGCATCAGAGTACATTTAAGTAAAAAAACGAAATTAATTAGGCAACCGCTAGTGACCTATCGTGAGGACTGAATATTATTCGAAAGTATCACTCTCTTGTCGGCGATGCAATTACTTACGACAGCGACATTACCGTCTATGAATTCATACACTACTATATCTGCTGTGTCTACTCAAACACGGCACAAATTTCAATTGTGCCAAACTGTTTGCGGATCCAATACAGTTACTACACGGTAGAGTAGACGAAAGCTTAAAAAAAGTCCCATCTTATTCTATTCGTACCTACAAGTATTCTTATCTGAGTACTACGATACTTTACAGTAGAGTACATTCTTTTTATTCTCCATTTATTGGCTAATAAGATATGAAATTGACGTTTACAATCATTCATTTTAAAGGATGATGTTTATCGCCTTAATTGAGGTTGAAGTAACGAAGGAAATTTTTTTATCTAGAATGTACTTCCGACAAATGAAAGCCTGGAAAAACATTGCAGGATCATCTTGCATGCATCAAAAACGACGCCATGAATAAAGGCAAACAGTCATGGTATTACTTATTGGATTGGTTTCCATTGATACAGACATTTGGACGCAAGGACTAAAATTAAATAATGCATCTCTAACAGAAAATACGGTAAAGCGTAACCGTGTCGAAGAGTACACTGTCTAGTACAGGCCAAGAGTGCAGTGTATTTTAGCCGACTGTACTGCACGCTTTGACATTTGACTAGAAGACAGTAAGCTCGTAGCGGACATAGTACTGTACACAACGTGCAACACAGCAAACGTACGCCTGATGTATAATGGCCGATCATCGAGATATGAAGTAGTGTATAAATGAAGTAAAGCAATATCTGTCGTACAAAGGCGAGAAATAAACGACTTAATATGATATATTGATAGATTTAGATCAGTTCCATCGGATGGTATTGATATTTTAGCAATATGACCTTTTATTATTAAGTTTTCGATCAATATGACATACCGGTGATAACATCAGGTATAACAGCCTGGTATTCTTTACCAACTCTCATGCCCGGTTCTGTCCACATTTTTCAATCATTGATTTATAAAATTAGTAGATAATATTAGCGTTACCTTACCATTTTTATCAATAACATCAATAATAATCTTTATATTGCTCGAAATCGATAAATGTACCATAGTCACTGTCGCTTTCATTTTCAGAGGAAGAGTTATGTGTTAACGGCGGTGATGGTTGCGGAATCGATTCTTTGTTCCTGATCATTGAACGTAATCCCATACTGGTCCTACTATACTGACTCATTCTGCCTTTTGACACGATGAAACTTCTCCGTTTACCGTATTTTACCGTGCTAATGTGACTCCAGTGTGAATCAATGCAACCTGTGATGGAATATATCTTTGAAAACTTCTTACGCAGATTTTTGGTCAATCATTCATTGAATTTAAAAGCCAATTAACTCAGTTATATGGCACTTATGACAGAATACGTGATGCTTATATATCCTACTTATAAAAGTGGAAATTTTCGAGATGCGTAAACTTGCCGTACGGTAATAGCGATAAAGATTGACGCCTAATAATAAACTACAGCGGAATATATCAAGGGAAACAATAGTGTTCAGTGAACAGCATTGTACTCTAGTACAGTGAACGGTACTGTACTAGGTGCCTACAAGAAAAGATTTTGTTGCTTGATTTACAATAGTTTACTACTTTCTAGAATTCACGTTCGTGCATCTGACCCTGCGTTTGTATAGAAACTACCGTGCATCGTAACAATTTGCACACGTGATAAAGCCAGAAACTATGAAAGCGTACAGTACGCTTTCATACGGTACAGTACTGTACAGTGCACAGTACCACGTTTTACCATACTGTCCACTGTACACTGTACAGTATCACGGTACTGTAGAATCGAAAAACAAAGCCGCGGTTTCTATGGTTTGGCTCATAGAGACAGTACAGTACAGTACAAAGCCCGAAGTGTGATGAAGGAAGTACTGTACTGTACTGTACTGTACTGTACTGTACAGTATAGTACTGTACTAACTAGTGACCACTGACCTTTACTGTAGTAATGGTAATAACTGTAGGGAGTGTAAGGTTGATGAAAATGCGGAAATGTAATTCACTTCTGTACTGAAAGACTCTTACGTTCTCTCGTGTGATTGGCACGCACACAGTATAAAAAAAAAATAAGAGAGTACACTTGCATCATATACAGTACAACATCAACTCATGATTGAAGTCAAGAGTTAAGTTTTCGACCTCCTAAAGCTCACTTTTATTGTGATACTGTGCGGTATTGCACTGGATAAAAGCAGCGACTAAAATTGCACTTTGATTGTGAGTGACCGAGTGTCAGTTTGACGTTCCTCGGATGTTTTGTAATGCAGAAGTGTGCAGCAGTAACAGCTCATTCCATTTTTAGAGATCATTTCAGCATTGTTGCAGTAAAAGAAACTGCATATATTTTGTTATGCAATATGTTACATTTGGCTAAATATACTCATATACTGTACGTTTACATATATATGTCATATATGCATATAATTATATACTGTATATATATATATACATATATGTTATATACAGTATATATCCACTGCGTATGTCCAATTGTCCATTGTACTGTACAGTACTGTACGTATAACATATACGAGTACTGTACGCGTATACGCATATAGGTACATTGTACAGTACAGTACATAATAACCGTTGTAAAACGGATATAATTCAATTTTACCGAGTCCAATCAGATCAAATTTGTCCAACTTAATACGTGTATTGATGATATGTTGAAAGCAAATTCGAAAAGAAACAGATCAATGATTATAATATGATGTTCAGCGTCGTATCAGTCGTATGACTCGTACGTGCGATAAATCTCCAAAATTTCTCGGAGCCTGTCTACAGTACGCGCACACGCAGTACAGTTCTGTACAGTACAGTACACTGCTACAATCATGATCTACAGTACAGTACTGTACAGTATTTCTTTTACCTCTACGGTACTGTACCGGTATACTGTACTAAAGTATATTGTTCAGTACTAAAAACAGACTACTGTACTGTAGACCGTGAAGACCTCTACCGACATTGCACAATGTTTACTTATTGCACAGTACAGTACATGTACTGTAGGTTTTCTGCATATCTGTGACGCCTTGGAGACACTCATATTGACACACTTGGAAGACTTGTCTATTTACAAGGTTTCTATACGTACTTTACCTGTACCGTCTGCAGTGGTCCTTGACTACACTCCTACGTACTGTACTGAACCATATCGAATTGTACTGTATAATGGTATAGGGCACACACTTTTCTTTTCATTTTTATCCTTCTACGATTAATCACCAGCTGTAACCAAATTAATTTCCTAAAATTTAGATAAAGTCATCCCAGTGCTTTGCTTTTAAAACGCCATTTCTAGAAATAGATCTTAGAGCTATTGGCACTGTACAATTGTAGTATTACTGATTATTACCCTTACTAGCATTCGTACCATAGGCTCGATAGTGCTGCACTTTGTAGAAATTGAATCACGTAGAGTCGTGTAAGTTGCACTAATTACCGCTATGATGGAGATACAAAATTAACCATAAACAAAACCGGTGTTAATGTGAACAATGACTTAAACTACGACTTAAACTACGATACCAATAATAGCCATGCGAGGACGGTATATCCATAAAATCCTAGCAAATATAATATAGTAATGCAATGCTATGATTGCTATTTCAGCGTATAGCAGTAGGTATAAATACACTCGAAAATGCGTATTGTTAAAAAGTAAATCGTAAATTTTATTATCTGGGATACGATAAAAATATTAGCTAATAAATATCTAAAACGATCTGTAGTACGATAATAGAATAGTTTGAAAGTACAAATAATGCACTGGATTACGCTTTTATAAAATAAATTATATTATAATATAACACGAAGTAACACTGTCGTGATTCAGAAACTGGTTAGACTACCTTTAAGTCTCAAATAATCATAAACCGAAAAAGATAATTACAACAATGATAACAATCATTACATAAAATAGTATAACGCCATCAAGTAGGATACTTATAGGCTCCTTATGAACTTAGTAACATTCTCAATCAGTTACCAAAAATTGTTTTTAAAACCAAAAATACCGTATAGCAATATTTAATTATTTATAAAGTTGCAAATAAATTAGAGTCAAACCATTAATTCAACTTTAAAATAAATTGCATTCACTCTAGCTAAGAAAATCTACTGTAACAATAATACAATATGCCAGTAGCAACAAAGTTACTAAATCGCTTAAAAATATTCCGATCACTGCTGTACCAGCAGATGCTATTCCTTATACATAATGTACTTTTAAGATTAAAACTTAACATAACCAAACATCATATATTTTAAAATATATTAGCTAAGAAATAGTACATGTATCTCGTGTGCGTACTACTATATAGTTTGAGCTGCCATCACGGTAATAGCTGTACATAAAATAGGAAGACTACGCACTCGCATCTATGTTTGTAAGATTAAATTATGATTATTATTATTATGCTTATAATTAAGTAGTATCGACGTTACAAATACACAACTAAACTGATAAAATACTGGCACACATTTAAGAATATCTCACGCTCGACCGCAACAGCTAAATGCGCATCATCACACTTCACAATTCATTTCGGAAAATTGCTGATAATTATAATTAATTTATCGATGCTAGGCTAGATAATTATCCAACAATTCATTAATAGGGATTTGAAAAATTTCTACTCTGCTTTGACCTTTTTAGTATCTGTCTTTTGTTCATCGTTACCGTCCGATTGCAATTCTCGTTTGGCTTTATTCCTTGTTGTTCTACCACTATTGGTAGTAGTCGTAGTTGAACTATCGATATTCTCAGATGTCGCCGTACCAGTTAAATTATTGCGCGTCCTCTCTAAGGTTTTCACTAAATTGTGTAAAAGATGCCATACAAGCATTATGTTATAGAATTAGATTTTACTGTCGGCTTGCACTTAAAGCGGGTAACGAACAAGCCTATAAATTCTATGCTGGTACAAGTGAATTTGTACGTATTAAAGCAGATTGCCATATAATCAGTAACTAACATTGTAATTCTAACTGATAATTCTCTTTCCTGATATCTTCTATATCTGACTATTAGGGAGTAAATTCCAAACAGGTAAACTTAAATAGCAAAGCACCTTACAAAATGAGATTTGTCCTAAAAGCACATAATCAAAAATTTATGGATATTCGTATAAAAAGGCAAACCTGATGATTCTGATTTTTTTGTTTCATAAACTGAATGTAATCAGTTGCCTTATTCAGTATTTGAGCACGTGAAGCCTAAAGACCGTTTAAATTCGAAAAATATTAGACAAATTTTCATTCAATATGCTATCACTTTCTAGTTGTAGACGTTTACGATATATTTTAATCTTAAAAATCTATCCCTCAAGGTCTGTGTACTAGTTTATAGTAGAATAAGTGAATATTATATCACTGGAAAAGCCGCAAAGTTTGATGTTGTTGTATGAATAATGTCATTCCACTTACTGTTTGTATACAAAGTAAAAGAGAACTAGCACTAGCATTTACGACTTTAAGCAATTACAAATGCTGTAAAGAATCGTAACCTTTTCTCCTTGTAAGGTAGGAACTGAATCGCGTAAGCCAAAGAAACAATCTTTAATGTGATCACGCCTCTTACGCTCCAAAGCGTTATGATGGGCTCTTTTATCCGCTTGAGTTAGACCGGATGTTGACTTATCAGTATCTCCATTCTATAATAAGGCAAATATAAAACGATTTCAACTTGGATTAACACTCATTGTTACAAGATCAGCTACATAACTTGTACGATTGCAATGACAATGCACCCGATAATAGTGTTAACCTGCTTTATTAGCTCGGTTTGACACGAAATATTTTAGACTAGCCTTGAATACTAGCTTATTAAAGAGCCACACGTGAGGCATTAATGATTAGCGGTCAGCGCTAAGGAACGATGTAAACTTGCAAGAATCGAAATCCTTTAATATATAAGGATAACTAACTTATACACGGGATATCGAGGTTTTGCCTTCTTACGACATACAGTATATCGCTAGATTTATAGATCATAACTTTACCCGATCTTAATTATACTGTTTATACTAACAGAAAATTAAAAGCTAGAGTAAAGATCTCCACCTTTCTTAAAGCATTTTACGGTAAAATCATTCCCTTTCAGAGTGAAATAGGCCATAGTCATCCTTAGCATAGTTGTACACATGCAATATATTCGTACATAGTTTGCAGGCATGAGAAAAGTTCATTAATACTAACACACTAAGCTGATTATTCTCGGCATATTAAGAACAAGTATCAAATAGATTGCTACCTTTACGCATTGCAAACGCGACTATGCAGCTGAGCATTGGTGTTTATAAGGTGTGTTTTATAAATAGTATTATAACTTCTATTATCGCATGGATGATAGTATGTGAGAGTACATTTTATAGCAAAGTGGCCAAGTGCTAGGTGTGATGCTCGTTTCGAATCTCTCTCATGATCGACAGTACTTGTTAAATGGGTGCCTAGTCCAACGTTTTCATTCATAATAATACACTGCCTTACTGTTTTGCTATTGGAATTTAAAATAACGATCCAGCGTGAAAATACATGCTGGACCGATATTACGTACTCCTGTACTGCATATATTGCAATTATCATGAAATAGGTTATTATAAATATATAATATATATCTTCACTTACAACAATGCTAGCACTATTACAGCTAGTCCACTAACCATCAGCGATTGAAATGAAATTATTGATTTATAACTGGTAAAATAGTCGGGATATACTATTGTGCATTAGTGAATGCGTGTTCACTATGCCGATTTATGAAAACGTCAGTGATGCGATGATATAGTGCCTACGTACTATACGATAACGCATGTATGGCATACTGTGGAAAGAAATGAATTTGATAATAAGATAACTTCGTATTTACAGTACCGAAGTTTATTGGCTGTTGATGGAGGAAGGAATTTAATGTACACAGTGCATGGTCGATAGAATCAAATCTTTCTCTAAACACTCAATTCATGCATTGCATGTTAATAATGACCATGCAGTAGCAATACTGTACATAATTACGAGTATAATCGAGGTTCAAAAGGTTTGATTATTACAATCATTCAATGTATGGCCACAGTTTACGGCACAACTGTAGCGAAATGTAGAAACTAGCGGAAGCAATTCAAGCGTAGAGTCGTACTCACGTCATCACTGTCAATATCGACGTCCAAGTACTTATCTTCGTCACTCATGAATGAAGGCCAATTTGTTAACTTGTCCAATCTCCAGCACAGTGGTTCACTAATCTACAAAGAATTGTGATAGCATCAAAATTCCGAAAACACTCACAATATACGCGTATATTATACTGATCAGCACTTAGCAGTTAAGATTAACCGGTAATAAAAACTACAAACCAAATCGCTGTACAGCAATTCAATGAAATAACTTGGAGAGATCACACTACATGAAACTAATAGAAGCCTTAGTAAGAAGAAATCCAGTCAAATCGTCGTAGTCATTGTACAAGTGAACCACGTATAGACCGCCATCAACAAGATGATGGACAATAACAAAAGTCCAATTTATTACCATTAGTACGTACTGTATGTTCGATTATGTTGATAATAAATGATGTTTTATTAAAAAGGATGATTGAAAATGTCTCGCCATAAGCATTGGTTAAATTAGCTAATCTAAACCGGAATTTAAGAATTCAATTAAAAGTCATATGCTACATACCACAGCGTAGACTAAAATGTTTTTATTTTCGAGCTTTCTATCCGGGAAGGGAAGAATTATAAATACTCAGCGTTCAGCTAGTCCCAGCGATTGCTTATTGGCAGCACGTGAGTAACTTCAATTATTCCACGGAATAGCATGAGGCCAATGTACTGTACATTGTACATTGTACTGTACAATAGTAACGTAACACGTATAGTACAGTATGTACTATTGTATATGGTACAGTAATCGCAATGAATGACACATGCACGCATGACAAGAGTAAGATGTTTTGTACTACTACTGTAGACCAGATTTCGGATTGCTGTTGTTGATGGATTGCCCAAATTCGTGAATCCACTGTATTGCGCAGTCTGTAACTAGCATTAATTAATTTATTTATTTCAAAACAAGATGATAATAAGTTAATAAGTTAATAACAATATCAAATGATCATTTTGGACAATTTGTCGTCGCATGCTTGAACACGATAGGACATGTGCCTTAGGCCCCGCTAGTTGCCTCACTATGATGATGAAACTCGACTGGACTTCTGCCATAATCTTGATTATTTCTGTTGAAAATGAGCAATGACGTTCTGACCGGTATATTGGTTTTGCGGTGTAGTAGAAGTAGAGTTTCATCAACGGATGGGGGAACTAGCGGAGCCTAATATGTATTGCTGCAACGATGCATCTTGTACGCAGTATGAATTAAAATTTTATATTAAGGTGATTGATGCGTAGCCGATGTCATGCACAGAGTACTGCACTCTTGCATGGCAGTAATTCGTCTAGGGAACGTGTGCAATTTCACAGGTGAACTTCACCACCGTGAATTTCAATGTGAAATGTGAAGATTTTTGAATGGTCTTGACTAAGGGTCTCTAGTCTCCACATTTCACATTGTGAAGTTGCTAAAAATTGCGCGGACGCAATACAGGGAAGTACAGCACACCCGAAGTTTCTGCTAGTAGTACTAGATTGTACACTTAGCGAAATCCACATGAAGTTCACGTGAAGTTTCAAAATCCAACTTGCCACGTTCCCTAGTGACTACAGAGCACTGTACTATTCTGTACTTAGCATAATACGTACACTAGTACAGTATACAGTAGTATGCTGTACGTATATCAGAAGCTTTTCATCTCCAATGTTTAGGCCTTGCCAGAGACTTGTAGAACTGTATTAGCTTAGAATCCATGAACAAACCAGCATGGACTTTTATTATATTAGCCAACTCACTGAAAGGAGGTTTGTGTAGTTCTCTTGCTACTTGTAACTGTTGTGTACAGTACAGTGTATTTCCTTTCAAAGGGTAAAAGTCACTAAAGTCCGGAGCACAGATTTCTACAGTACTGTACTGTACAGTAAATACAATACAGTGTACTGTAGACTACGATACTGTGACTGTAGCCATCGAATATAGTAATTACAGTACAGTAAAATTCCTCTTTTAATACAGTGTACGTACTGTACAGTAGACTACGATACTGTGACTGTAGCCATCGAATACAGTAATTACAGTACTGTATTATGATTACAGTAAAATTCCTCTTTCAATACAGTGTACTGTACTGTAGACTACGATATTGTGACTGTAGCCATCGAATGCAGTAATTATTATGATTACAGTAAAATTCCCCTTTTAATTCGTGTACAAGCCACTGCGCAATCGATTGGAAGAAGCAAAACAACCGCTATGGGCCAAATAGTTCCATGGATTTGGAGGGTATCGCTACTGCTGCTGCTTCTTTTTGATATATCCCATGTCAAATGTAACTTTGATCCTTTTAGCGACACCAAATTATATTCTGTCAATTGGCCTGGAAAATGGATCGCAGAAAATCCTGCAGACGCCATTGGAGTAAGCCATTACAATCACAATAGTAGTCTACCTTCTGAGTTGACGACTAGGCTACTTGATGTAGAGTAATACAGTATAGTACAGTACTGTACAGTGCAGCACTATGCTATACACTTCTGTAGAAGACCCACAAGACCGGATATGGATGAAACCATAACATGATCATGTCACTGCGATACTATATTTCAGTTTGCTCGTTAGTAAATTCTCATGTCTGATAAACTTTTATCTCCATAAATTTCGACTATGACTGTACCGATCTATTCGATTATCGTTCCCTTTAACCCTAACTTGGCGTGAAGAAATTAAACTTCAAAGAAAAATCGATTACAAGTTTTTGACTACAATGGATGTCAAGATAGCGTTTCCGTCAACTTTTCGCTAGCAATCCATGAATGATATCAAGTATTGGAAGCTGTACTTTCATATAATTTACTATCAATAAATGGAGTAGATTAAGTAAACGTATCCTGATAATACGCCACTATAACATAGATACGCTAGTACCGCCATAGATGCGATCTACTTGTTTAACATTGATTCAAAGTTGAAACTCGTTGACTGGTACTTGTCATATGTCCATCGGTTTCTATCGCAGTTTCATGCAAAATAAATTGCATTAATGTTTGTCCAATTTTGTACCGCAGTGTTATACAACAACATTGGAGGTGGATTATGAGCAAAGTAATGATTACAACTTTTGATCGGTCTTTGAAATTATTTTTCCTCTTACATTTATAAACTGGATTTTATGATGTTAATATACTGTAGTACGTTGAATAGCAAAGGAATAGGGATGCTGAAAATCACAACATCATATTATGCGTTCAAAGCAGTAAACACAGCACATATTACGCCTTCGATGCTGTACATAGACAGTGCTCGTGTTCAGCATATAATACGCATATAACGTCTTAAAAGGTCATAAACATTCTGTTCAGTAAGTCATATTAGTTCGTAATTATTATTATCATTATTACCATTAGAAAGGAAATGATGAAATCGAAAAGATGTCCATGATAACATCGAATAATGAACAATACGAATGTGTTCTGCCGAAGAAGGAGAACCAAAAGGTATATCAAAATGAGAATATTTATATGTGTATTACTGTATATAGGGTTTACCGTGTCGTTATTGTTGGCAATAGTCGAACCGAGATCGTTGTAAGAACATGTTTGCTAAATTATTGCTATCAGACCATTAACATGTAAAGCCAGACAGTAACGCTGTAAGTCATCACTTCTATTTTGATGGTAGGCAACCAAAGAATCAGATAGAAGTGATACTGAACCACCTGAAATTTTATTATCGACGCTATTTAGTAAGAAACGTTGCACTTACAGGGTAAGTTTGTAAATGGACAGTACGTAACGACATCATCCCAAATGTAGGATTATGCAATATAGCAGCTAATTTGCTATATATTTCAATGATATTTTCATCTTAAGAATGAGATACTTGGGTAGAAATGATACTCATCACTCTTCATTAGTAAGGAAATGATAGTCGGTCGAATTAGTTTGTACTTTGCTTAAAAATAAATAATTTATAATTAACGTATCAACGATCTTTTACGAATAGATGGAAGGATACTGGAGTTATGAACTTTGTCATGGACGACATGTAAATCAATTTCATGAAAATAGTAAAGGGGTGAGTAATTACTCTAGAAATAGTACCTATGAAAATCTTATCTTCATCGACACAGTTGTAGAATGTCTAGAAGAACTACAATATAAGCGAATACGGTACTCTAATTTTTTACTCTTTGCAGAGTTTCGATCATCACTACGTACTCGGCGCGTACAAGAAAAGCAGTACGTAATTTAGCTTTACTTATCGAGATATGCAGTAATTCATAATACCTCTAATAATGAATACATCTTTAATTTCAGAGTTGCCAGTTACGCCAAATGATGAAAAAGTAAGATCTTTAGTATTCCTTACTGCTATTACTTTCAGTGATATCAGAATTGGATTCTCCTTTATTGCGGTATTCGCGTCAGTTGTTAAGAATTTTGAATCTTAAATTAGATTCCAACAAAGACCATCGCAAGTAAAGATTTCCCATACTATAAGTTAGTTATGACGGATGGTACACCTTGTGACCTAGCTAATGATAAACCACGTCAGACAAGCGTTTACTATATTTGTGATGAAAATGCCAAGGACGAGGTATTCTGTACTACTAACGTTGCATAACTAATGCGACAAAGAATGAAATATCTATATGTAAGCTAAAGCACTTGGGTAAATTAATTCTTGATAAATCGCTCTGTTATTACAGATTATAATTTTAAAGGAAGTTATAACATGTGAATACGAAATTGTAGTCGCAACACATTTAATGTGTAAAAATAAGAACTACAGGTTCGAGAGGAAGAAATAGTAATGTAAAATGTTGATAGATGATTCGATTATATCAAATATAGCATAATCACGGCCTTGTATCATATGAATTATTGTAATAGGCCTAAGGAAGAAGTTATCAATCAGATTCATTGTCACAGCGTTAGTGATTCTCCTAGGTAAATTTAAGTCCTAAGATTGTACGTTATTGTTATCTCTATTAAGTGTAACTATTTGAGTTTAAAGACTAAACTTATATTCTGTAACTATTAATGGCCGCTAGTGTTCCTAAAGCAGAATTAGAACTCAAAGATAGTATTCTAAAATTGCAAAATAGGAACGTTATGTACGAGGTCTCAGTAAGTATTTGCAAAAATTTTTAAACTATCAGCAACAGATTTCATTAAACTTTAGCTAAATCTTTACTATTTTTATTGACATTAAATTAGAGCAAGCAAGGTATTCCTAGCGTTAGTGGAAAAAAAGATCCTGTTGCTAGTGCCGTTTCAGGGGAAGACCCGATGAAAAGCTTTCTGAAGGGCACCTTTTGTTTAAATGGCGTAAGATATATATTTATTCAACGTACTCCAATGCATTAGCGTTAAGCTTATAGTTATTGCCATTTTCAAGGGAGAAGGCGGCTGGTGGAAATACGAGTTTTGTTATGGACGATATGTAAAACAGTACCACGAGGTTAACACAATTTAATCAGTTGGGAATATCGTACTATTTTGTCATGCGCTATCTAATATAACATTTTAATTGTTGGAATATCTAAGGATCAAGTATCTGGTAAAACCGTCATTCTATTGGGAACTTGGGACGTAAATGTGAGATATTATTATCACATGTGTAAGGTTAAGTTGTTGTTTATATTACGTTTACTAAACTTATTCTATTGTACTATCAATTAGGAACATAAAAGATGGTTCATTAATAGTAAAAAGGACTCTGCTCATAAAAGGTATTGTAGTTAAATTATTCGACTGGAACTGTATACTTAAAAGAAAAAACTTGTCCACTCCACGGCGATAAAAAATTGAATTAATTACATGGAATTAAACCATTGTAATTTATTTATTAGCACAATGGAATTATTCTTTGGTAAAGGCGATGTTTGTGATGCTACCGCTATGCCAAGAAAAGTTGTTGTTAGATTAAGGTAAGAAAATCATATGTTTCCAACATTTTCTGTGAACTTATGTAGCAGATACCTTCTATGGTTCATGTAATGGTTGGAATTAAAATATAGCGTAACAATTTTAATTTATATAATATACATAGATGCCGAAACGATCTCACTACACCCAATGCTATTGCCATGTATCTCCTTGAACCAAGTACATGTTCCTATATTCTTGTGGTAAGTTGTGTCAATGTAATAGAGAAGATACAGATAGCAGATGTTGAAGAACTCACAAGCTTTATTTACTGTATTGGAATATTACAGATAGAATCCGTCGGAATCTGTAAGCTTCTTGGCTCAAGGGACGAATTCGGGATAATAAAATCACCATAAATACGCCTTGTTTTATATGGCCATTAACTTAAGCAATAGTGAACAAGTGGGGGATATCGTATTTCTAAAATCATTGATTTTTATTTGGCAACGACGTTGTCATGCTCTACCAATATTTAATACATTGTACAGTCGAATGTTATACAATAAATGATATGAAATGTTAAATTTCACCGAAAATTATAGTTCGTAAAATATCGATCTTAGCATTGACTATAAATTTATCAATCATCATTGTTAGATTATGTGTATCATACAGAAAAATTATATACTAGTCGTTCATTCCGTAGTCGATGTCCTTAAAATTAATTAACATTTTCGAACTAGTAATCTTATGCAATCGTTAAATAGTGCCATTTGAAATAATGTTACTGTGATAATATAGTAGATACAAGAGGATTTCCAAATCCGATCACTTTCTGCTGTTCATTAATCTCTTGAAGTAATTCTTTATTGGATAATCCAACCTAATTTACGTTTTAAGCAGTCTAGGATTAGTACATTAATTATCACCTCGACATTTTGTTTGGAATCGTCGTATAAGCGAAATGCGTGTACTAACATAAGCTAGTAGATGCATACCTACATTAGCAAACAAAATTGAGAAACTTACCTTTAGCGCATATTTATAAGCCTGTTCAGCTTCCTCTTCCCGATTGGTCTATACATCATAGTAACAGTTGAAATTAGCTTGTATGAAACAAAATGCTATTCAATAATTTTAGCAACTTAGTGCTACGCAATTTGCTTACCCTTAAGCAGACCAATGAAAGATAGCCCCATACTTCTGCATCATGATTGTTTAAAACATTAGCTTCAGATAAAGCTTCTTCTGCTTCCGATAAATCTCCCATCTAATAGTAGTAAAATATAATATAACAGCATTTGTTTTGGTTTAATTAAATTACCATAAAAGAATTATAGTACGAAACCGCTAATGCAATATACAAACCCTGTAACAAGCAATCCCAACGCCTAGCCAGGATAAGCAGGATGGCGAATGCTTACAAGCCAGCAAGAATGTATTCTTGGCATTTTCATACTGTTTGTACGATGGTCATTACGAAGTTTTGAAATTAATTTCATTAAAATAAATCCGCAATACTATTTATCTAAAAAAATTACGGTGCTAATACTATAGCGTTGCTACTAACCAATTTTTCACCCAGATATATTGATGCCAATCTTAGATAGATAATATGCATATTATCTGCAGTATCTATTAGAGCTAGAGTTCGTTCATAAGCGCTGCGTGCCTCCTTATAATTGCTGGTTAAGTATTTGATATGGCCAAGTATAGCCCAACAATTGGAGTTCTATTTATAAAAATGTTATTATAGAAATAGTTAATTTACTTATTATTCAATTTTCAGTTGGACTATTATTCCCATATGCCTACAGTATAGTCATGGATTAAAGCTTCTTCAATATTTCTTTCAGCCACATCGTACTGTTTCATTTGAAGCTTAAGTTGAGCTAAATGTAAGTAATACTGCGTTGGAAGATCGCTTTTAGGATACTGAATTAATTCTGCTCCTAAGGCTTTTTCGCACATCTACAGTCATTGCAATAGAAAATCGAATGAAATTATTTAAAGAGTCATAACTAGTTTTGGCGGATCTTGCTACCGAAGCAGTGTTTCTGATCCTGATAAAGTTATGCTAGGAAAATGTACAATTTAAGAATAAAACCTGTTATACCTGAAAGGCATTAACTCGAAGAAGAAACTGTGCAGCACGCATATACGTGCTTTGATCAGGTATAGGGGTTATAGGACGTGGTGGTGGTGGAGGAATCTCAGTCGGTTGAACTACTCCAGCAGGGAAAGAACCAATCTCAGTGTCTGGGTTAGACCACCCGCCACTAAGCGCTGATTGAGCTCTATTTTTGTTAGCGGCGATATTCGATAATCCAGATTTTCCCTGTAAGAATGTTGATGTATTCCCTCTGCTTACTTGTCTACTACCTCGTTTTTGTGTTGTACCCTTCTTGCTCGTTGTATTCGATACTTTCAATGAATGCGATGGTGCTGCTTCCAAGGAATGAGTACCTTTTATAGCAAATTCAAATTGTGTGAATGTATAAGCTAAAATCATTGTTGGCTTATGAAAGGTTACCGAATCAATACTTAAATGATATTAATTCTAATTACTTGGGATTTGATGATCGCCGACTGGTGATTCGTGCTTGTCACTTTCAGCTACAGTTCGGCTTATTTCTGCTTCTATGCTTTGTGATTCCGTAGCTTCAAGAGCAATTTCTTTATCCTTATCTTTATTCAATTTAGCATCACTATTCAGCTGATGATCATCACTGGTCGTTTCCAGATTATTGCAATCGATTTTTTCAGCTTGTAATAAATTTAATCTACAAGCTTCTTTTAATGCCATTTCGGCGAATATCTCCTTTTCGATACTGTTATAAAATAAACCTAAAGAATATTCCCATTAAAAGAATGAATGTATCAAAATTTTGCTTATGTATTTATACGTGCACTACTGGTTGATTACGTAAAAACTAGCTACAAGATTGCAATCGGCAATTATACCTAAGATTGTCCATGCCAAGATATTATCATGTTCCACGGTAGTCGCCGCTTCTAAAAATGTTTCTGCTTCGTCGTTTCGCTCATCCATATGACAAACAATGCCATAAAGGATTAAACTGAAAATAGAGGTAGAGCTTAGTTTTCTATCGTATAGCAAGTAACTATCGGATAGGTAATTATGCTATATTGTACCCAGGTACAAATTGTTGATTAATTGTTAGTGCTTCTTTAAAACATTCTTCCGCCTAATGATTGAAATTTAAATTATATATAGTATGAGATAAAATCAGTTCAGTTATTGAGCCAGGCTACCGTGTAGCATAGTTTAAGTGTTAGAATATGTAAATAAATATAGTTAAATACCTTATTGATATCGCCGATTAGTAAGCAAAATGTACCATAATCGAACCAGTGACAGGGATCATTCTTATTACATGCAAGTCGCTACGGATTAAACAAATTATTACCATTATTATAGAGCAATTACGTATCATCCATTTACGCGTTAAACATCATGAAAAATGATAATCATTTCGCATGTAAACAATTGCCATTCTTAAAGCTAAAATGTGATTATAAAGTATTACTTCTTGATAATATCTTGCTGCTAGTTCATAATTTCCATTCTCCTATTATAATAAATTATAAAGGAAGTAGATCATTAACTATTGCAAATGCGATTTTGTATATCACTTAATTTCGATACCTATAGATTAAAATCTATAATTTACGAAAGATAATATTATATCTGTAAGCATACTTCAGCTTCCTTAGCAAAGTGTTTCATCATGTTTGCATCAATCACAGTAACTGGAGGTGGTGCATCATCTTTCATTGATAATGCCTAAATAGTTGATATAGGTAGTATAAAACTGAGTATTGCCTTGCAGTTTGAAATTTATGCCATATAGATATTTAATAGAAATTTTAATTTAACCGTCTATAAATGCTTTGTCAGCAACTTTTAGATACAATGAATATCATTGCTCATCATAACAAACCTTGCTTAAGCCAACATGCATTTCATCGATTAAGTAAGAATATAGTTCACTCAGAAAATTCTAAAAAATAGTCATAATTAATCAGAGACACAAAGTTAATAATTTTGATTCAAGAAATAAACTGGCTATCGATAATTTTTATGGATTTAAAATGATTATAGCTTACATTAAGTTGATCTTTATCTTCGAAAGGTTTCGTTATTAGAAACTTTTCTCGTACAACCTTCACTATTGCATGCTGTAGTGTCCAAAATGCCCGAGTAATTAAAGGGTACGGTAATTACTTAATTAATTGAATATCAAATAAATAATATAGATAAAATTGCTAGATCATCTAACGCGTTTTTATTTTAATGTTTAGACTACCTAATATTATCTCACTATGTTTGTGAAGTAAGATAGTACTAAATAAATTACGTGCATAGCTTTCTTAACTTTGTTTACAGAGGATTTATTAAAGATTATGAATTGGTTGATTTAAATGCCAAAGTAACATATTTTACAATAAAAAATATATTAGATATTTATGATATTGCACGTAAGATAATATCAGAAGACTTATAGCCTTAAATGTAGATGTAATTAACGTTTCTATTACAATAGATTATAATCTGATGATTTCTAGTTAGGTTAACGATATCATTTACTCAATTTCGTGTTCATAAACAGGATATACGAGTATACCTTCATCTGTTCTTTGAAAGCAAAATACTTTCCAGAAGTATTTAGTTCGTAAAGTAGCTCCTTTCGCCTAAGATGAATGATTATACATCGTAAACTTATGCTGTAAACTTCAATTTAGCTGTACTAATGTCAATACATGGTTACCTCTCATCCACAATTTCTGTATCTTGAGGCATATGATGATTTCCTAAAATGCCTTTATTCAGAAGCCGATACTCATTTAATATTAACTTGGCAACGTGATCAACTTGTTTGTGATAACTGTCTAAAGTTTTTTGAGCACTTCTAATACGCGTTGGAAAAATTGATCGTGGTGGAATATATTCTGAAACTCTATGCAAAGTAAACATAAGTTATTGGCATTTAGTTCAATTAATTCTATCTTTACTAGCAATAATTTATTATTAAGCACCTCTTTGCTAGAGATGAAGGTGGTCGTTTAGGTACAAGCGGTTTGTCTAAGCATATCTCTATCATGATGAACGTCTTATTTTCAAGATAAGCCTGTATCAAATTATAAAAGGTATTACTTATTTAATTAGGATAAATTCTAATGATTTAACGATTGTCTTTGATTGTTAGAAATAATATCAGATATAACACATACTTGTGCTTCAGTTCCAGTTCCATCACCATCAGCAACAGTTCCGTCGGATTGTTTATTGGTAACCGACTAAATATTTATGGCAAGTAATAGCATCGTATATCAATTAATGGCATTATTATAACTCCAATTAATTTTAACTCAAAGATCGTACCTGTGTAGTTTTCTTAGTTTTTTTGCCAATAGCAGATGTAACGCTGCGATTTAAACCGCTAACAATTTGTGCCGCTTCATCAGCAATACTACGATGTTCGACCTACGATTGAAAAATATTGCATGATTAAATTACAGAGTCGTTACATAATTTTAAATTCATATTTTCATTTTTACGATGAATTAAATTACCTTATCCTGTATTTCACTCTCTGAAAAGGGTTGTACTAAATATGCACCACGAAGTCTTTGAGCTACGAAATAGAAATTAATTACATCGATGCACGAAAGTTATTGACGGCTACATGTAAATGATTAAGGGTACGGCTGGCTTACCTCCAGGGTATAATAAAGGAGCAAAATCAACGTAAGCAACGCCATGGAAATGTATTGATAGTTCTTCTTCATGAGCACCCTTCCTCGTCTTTGTTTGTGTTTGTGGTAAAACTTTCATAATTTCAATAGGCCAAACCCGATGATGAGCAATCCTAGTTTTAAAGCTAAAAAATAAGTAGAATAGATAAGAATTAAGTATACAATAGTTTTTAATACCATCTGTAAGATCTTTTATATACAAGAGTGTAATTTACATAGAAACGGCATCTGAATCCATCCAGCAGCGTCTCTCTGCGTTCCAGGTAACGCGTGATCTGTCGGTTTCGCATTCCACTCGAAATTGATGATCCTGATACATATGTATATATATATGATGATATGTTAATAACTTCAGCCATAGTCACATAAAATACATAATATGATTACCTCTCTTTTTGTTAGATCGCCGTCTTCATCTTTGAATGGAACGACTGGTAAGTTGCTAAGAATATTTATAACTTTAGATTAATATTGACGTTCAAGCTATATAACCTAACTATTAGTAATACAAATCTAATAAATTACAATATATGAATCGACCGTGTTATCAGCTATTAATCCACCTATTGATAATATAGCTTGCATGATTTGTTATATTGATGGTACTAGCCCATTTTCTCTGAGCTCCAGGCCCTTCTCTTTCCATGGCACTTTTCAAGTTGCCGTTAGCAATTGTAACGTACACTTCTTTATCTTGACTAACCGGAATAGGGGTTGCAGTTACGTAATGATACGCTAAATTACTCTGATGCCATACTTCAGGAACAGCGTAAGCTGACTCAACTCTAAAGCTAAACATGTTACTAATTTCATAGAAATAAAAGAAATTATAAACTTAAATTAACAAGTGATCAATTGCATCTATAATATAGTCAATTATTTCAATTTTTAAACGAAATCTAACCTTCCAGCAATTTCTGACTCAGAAAGTAATGGCTCAGCAGTTGATATTTCCACTTCTATCTGTGGAAGCTAGGTTGATTGAGTAGTAGCGTGTACATGCATACATGAATATATATTAAGAATTGATTATGATCATATTGTTAGTCAGCGGTTACAATTTCTCAACACTTACATTGGAAAATGTATCGGTGTGACCATCAGCATGTGGATTGGGTGGAAATAAAGGTTGACGCACAGTAAACCTTTCCTCACCTAATTTTTTATTGAGCGTATTTGTGATTATAATTTAATATTGATTAATCTATTGCAGCTCTTTGATCCACATCAATTGACCAACCTTTCAATAGTGGTAACAAATCGATGCAAGTTTGGCCTAATAAAATACTTCGTTCTTCCTTCTGTTTTCTCTCTCGTGATAAAACTTCCGTTACGCTAACTATTAATATAATGATGAGATTACAACAAGGCATTACCGTCTTTGAGTGAATGATATTATAGTTTAAATTATTGGTACACATTTCATGATAATTCAAATTTCAGCAAAAGCGAAATATTATCGCAGATATTTTCATAGTAGATAGCTGCTCTTACCTATAACGGGCTTGTAAACTAAATCATCAAGAGCTAAGGGATCAATTAAGGAGCACGACCATGATGCATTATAATTATAATCGACGGTGTAGTCTGATTTTCCTTCGATTTTTGAGGATTCTCCAATTACATTATGCCCAAATTCTATTTTTACAGTAGATGTCAACGTTTCATTTTTCGTACTTTTCTAAGGTTTAGACAAAAATAGAGATTATAAAATAAATTTAAGTTACACAATGATTAGGTTATTTGCTATGAAATTTTGGCAGCATATAATCACTACCTATCATTAGCCAGAATTAAATTTCGTTTACTGTCACCTTACTTGTACAATTATTATACAATATATGTTATGGATTTTATGAAGTTTACTGATTGATTAATGTCTTTTCGATTAATAATGATAAATAATAGAGGCGAAGTAACCTACCAAATTTCTTCCTCGTACAACAGAAATGGTGATTGTTTCTGAAGTCCGTTGTCTCTTCTCGGTATCTTCTTGATTAGCCATTATTGATCAACGCTTTTGCGTATTGATTAATTTGCAGTGAAGTGTAAAAGGTGATCTGTTGTAGATTGGCTATACGAGTATTATTAAAGTAGTATTTTCTATAATAGTAATTTTATGCAGTATAGCAAACAGCTTAGCATCTACACCAGTACTTGCAGTTAATATTAAATGACAACAAGTCATCCTGTTCATGCTTGCAAAGTTACCTATGTTTCCATAGTAACTTTGTTCGCAGCTGCGCATAAAGGTATACTAACGCTCCTTGACCGTACTGTACTGTACAGTACGCGCCATGCAGCACAGTACTGTAGACTGTACAGTAGTACGATACAACATGACTCTTGTGTGTTACTTGTTGATGCAGCTGCTACTGTGGCCACTTGTTACTAAGTTCGACTGCAGTCATACAACGAACAGTATACCGCAGAGAGAATATTTCCATCGAAGAAAGAGCGATGTTGGCTTCATTATTATAGTGACGCCAGTAGCTATCTTGGCGTTAGCGTTCGTCTTTGAAGAGTTATCTTGTTCGAAATTGGCAGTGTAGTCCTCCAGGACGAAAGGTTCCAGTAGTTTTAGTACAGTACTGTACTAGAGTCTCTTTGGGAGAAGCATCTACAGTATGTACTGTACTGTACTGTACTGTATGTCCACTGAGTACAGTACTGTACTGTACAGTACGGTAGAATCCCAAGTGTACAGTACAGTGCGATGTACAATATACTGTACTGTACACTGTACACTATAACAGTCATTCGTGGTCGACAGTATTGTCGGCTAATGCTGGCGTATGCGACATTGTGCTCTGGCTTAGCTTTAACTGTAAATAATGGACGTTTGTATGAGACACCTCCATGTCTTAGTAGTGCAATAACCATCTCCATAACTATTGATGAAACCTGGCGAATCATATTTTGCATGCTATAAGCCCTCAATTCTATACAGTACACTTAGAAGCAAGGCAGACTGACCTGAATAAAACGAATTCAAAATTATTATTTATATGAACAGTTAGTAGAAAGACATGAAAGCTTTAATCCAGCGTGTTACAGCTGCTAGTGTGACAGGTTAGTTGTTAGGTGTTGGAGATGATATGCGGTAGACGACTGCTAAAGAAGTAAATGACTACCTAGATGTACTGTAAGGTAGTCTACAGTACAGTACAGTTACTACAGTATAGAGGACTATATGTTTCTGCAATTTCAAGGTGGAATGATTCCATCGATAGCTTGCTATTAAATTTCTTCTGTGATAGTAAACTACAGCAATATTATTTCCGTATCAGATATTTTAGTAGATATCGGTATAAACTACTGTATTTGCACGTTAGTTTTAGTTATAATTTCCCCCTGTGAATGTATCTAAAACGAAATTAAAGACGCTGTATCATAGCATGCATTTAAAAACGACCGAGTACAGTGACGCTTTTATCAAGTAGTACTGTAGTTAGACTGCGTAGTGAATGAATGCTTGCCTTAACGTAACTAATCTCATGTATTTCAAACATAATGCTATTCTAGTTGATGGTGAATTAATCAGCTCAATCGGTAGAGGACTCTGTATATTGATTGGCATATCAAGATATGACACAGATAAAGATCTTGATTACATGTTAGACGTCAGATAAAATCTCTTAATAATCTAATCATTTCTCCTTATGATTACCTAAAGTGAATAGGGTGTACTCTTAATATTAAATCAGTCTCTTGTTTTAAAATGTATGAAAAGGAATAGATTGAAATAATTTGTATATGCAGTTCTAGGAAGGTTTTAAGCCTAAGATTATTTGAAGATGGAGAGAAACGTTGGACAAAGAATGTCATGGAAAAAAATTTAGAAATATTATGTGTTAGCCAGGTAATGACAATATATAGATTAGTGATATATATACAGTACAGCGTAATTAGCAAAATGGCAGTGGCTGCCAATGTGTAGTGCCTGTTCGTGACACTAGTTATACGAAAGTAGACTCAGTGAGTGATACGACAATAAACTCAGTCAAGTATGTGATAGGCATTCTAGAAATGGAAACTGCAATCCTATTATGATGAGCTAAACTCGTTAGCATAGCAGGTATTTAATGCTAGTTGGATACACTTATCGTACTGTACTTTTACTGGAATTGAATGGGCCTCTAGGGCTTAGCTCATGCATGGTCTACTAATAATTATCATTTAGTGATAGAGCTCCGACCGAATAGATAGTTTCAACATATTCGCAATGCTAATAAGTAATAATGCAACATACACAGAAAATACGAACTACATCGACCGGTAATCGATCTTCTGAGAAACAAAAATTCCATTTATTGTTTTTGCTAGTTCACATTGTATAGTGTATTAAAAGGAAATAAGCTAGATTTCCATAACGCTATGGCTGCAGATTCATCGAAACAGCTCTATGAAAAATTCTTATCGCAGCTGAGATCTTCCTATAAACCTGAAGCAATTAAAGGTCGGTGGATGTGGTACTGACTGCATTATAAAATATTGAATATATGAAACATGCTTCGCGCATATTACTAAAATATTAAAAATATTGAAATCGTTTACTCCTGACTTAGATGGATTATTCGGTGCTTATATGCAAATTGATATCCGCAATGATGGACCTGTAACATACCAACTAGAATCTCCTCAGACCGCTAAGTAGGTCTTAGTTGTCTGTTGCCGTACGTGAATGATCTTGCGCATGTGAATTTTACATGTATATTGTTTTAAGGGCAAGATAATTACTAGGAATTTAAGGCTGTCTAGATAAGACATCATCTATATGGACGTATATTCACGCACGACAACCACCGTAGCCTAATTATCTTTTTAAATGAGAATAATCAGTACCAATCTTATCCGCGTGCAAGAATATCTTGAATCATCTTTAATAATTTTTGTAATATATAATTCAATTTGTAACAACAAACATAGCGATTTAAATAAATAAACGTGTATCCCTATAATTATAGTGTTGCTACTATACTGTAAACATTTAAAATCATTCAGTTAATAAGAAAAGCTGTATATGAACTTAGAACTACCTAGATTTATCAATGAAATTGAAACACCTAAATATCAACAGCGCAGCAAATAAATAATGATTACTAGCATAGTAGTAATAAAGGAAGTTAATTTTTTAAGTAATCTAACTAGTCTACGTATTTTTTCCCTAAACTACAAAAGCGCAAGTAGTTTTTTGATTTTACTACACTGATCCTTGTTCAGCTATTTAAGACTGCAGCAAATAATTATATATGACAAATACTTAAAATTTTCTAACCACATCATTAACTAGTAATTTCAAATTGGCTATCTAAGATTTGTCGGATTTCTAAGGATTCCAAAAAATAAGTCAATTAGTAATGTAGCTGGAGTTAAATCATCACCATTTCTATATAACAGTGTTAACATTGTATCGCAATCAACGATGTTCCAGATGAGGCAGCATAACGATGTAATAACGTCCTCTACAGATAGTAAGGCATTATATCAACATTGTAATTGTCTAAATAATTAATAAATTATTTGCTCTTCTACAGGCATGTTACCTTTTCACCTCAGTAAAGTATTGGCACTGCAGTGTAATAGTAGTTTTCAAGTTTTGACTGTAAACTAATTGCTTGAAAGTAGTTAATCGCAAAAGAGTTCCCCAAAAAGCTAATTTAAAATTAATTAAGCACATACCGTATTATGCTACAGTATTGCCAATTGGCTGACGGTCTATTAAATGGCATAATACTTCGAGCATTGAAGCTTAAATACCAACTGTAATATTCATTGTGTTGGTGTATAACGCATCTTATTAGTACGAGTAGAACAAGTCTGTTAGCGATACAAAGATATGGCATGTCCCTATGAATAATTTCGTCATTATTTAAAAAGTTTATAAAATCCATGAGGAAAGCTAGGACTTGCATGCAATAATAGTAAATAGTAAAGTATGCTTAATCGTAATAATTCGATATACTGTCAGCCATACTCAATAAGATAGGATTTTTACCCCCATTGTGTTATGTCGATCTTGGAAGTCAGGAGACCTGTGCCTTATATTATTCAATTGCATTACTGCATGCTTTATTTTGCTCACTAGCAGACTTCAATCAGATTTAGTGATCGAAGTCCATATTAATAATGTTGAGGACGGAAATTAGAATCGTTTAAACTTTCTACATATTCACAAGTATCACTCAGGCAACTAATTTCCCCTCTGAGGTATCATTTTCATCGTATATTTTTGCCTAAAGTTCACTGTTATAGGTAGTATCTCACATTGCTTTAATGTTACTTTAATCGCTTCCATTAACGACAAATTTATTTATCAACTTTGGAATAAATTCGTTAACGCCATCTTTCAATACGATTTAATAGCATAACCGTACTGCACATAACTTTTAAAATGTCTTAGAAAGTATTTAAGTTATACATAAACGGCACAAAAGAATGAAAATATTAATCAAGCGTGTCACATGTGCCAGTGCTACAGGTAAGTTGTGAAGTAAAAGGAGATTACTTATTGCTTGTCATAGTCATAAAATTTTTTTCATTAATTATTATAATGTTGAAACACCTCACTAGTAAACATACGCTACAAGTAAGGTGATTTCCATAGCAATATAGCATGCTAACTGTATGTCTCAAATTGGTAGTTAAAATATAGTATCTGAGTTTGAAAGATCGCTTACTTTCAACTCTTACTTTGATAGTTCAATATCAATAGTAATTTTACGATCGAAATATATTTGTGGAGCAGGAAATTTGTTTATGTTGATCAATAGGATATATAACTTAGCCAGCTGGCATTAAATTTAGGCTATGCGTGATACTACTTGGTGTATATACATTACTTGCATCAGACTTATGATGATTCCGAGGATAAAAGTTCAAGCTTGCTAAGAAAGTAGCCATATAGATATCCTAAAATTAATATAGTCATTTTATTTACTTCTGTATCACAAGGGTAGTTGTAGCACAGCTAAGTTACTAACGCAAAATAATTTCGTCTGCCTTATATAATTAAAAAAATAAAATTAAAGTTATCATATCCGTAACTGTGAATTAAGCATCTTCACATAAATATGGCAAGTAGCACCCGTCTACTATCAAAATGATGTGTTCCTTACTTCTGTATAGCCTAATAAAAACTAAATCATACGTAAAATGTATACACGGAGTATGCTTACTGCGTTTATTTAATACAGTCCTTCATAGCATATCTGTTTAATCATATACCGAATTTTAACTAAATTCTCTTCTAGTTGACGGTAAACTGATCAACTCAATGGGCCGAGAGCTCTATCTAATAATTAGCATATCGAAAGATAATACAGATAAGGATATCAGTTACATGTTAGACATAGGATAAAGTATTTATAAAGTCAACAGCAAATGTTTTACTTTTCATTGCCAGCAATATCAAGCTGTATTTACTCTTATAATTTTAGACACTAAAGTATTTAATGATAGCGTACTCTATGTGTAGGTCCAGAAAAGTTTTAAAACTACGTCTAATTGAAAACGGACAGAAACGTTGTGTAAAGAATATAGTGAAAAAAGATTTAGAAATACTATGTATAAGTCAGGTGTGATAATATTTTATACTGGAGTAATGGCTATCGTAGCGTAGTTATATCAATGCACAGTAAAGTTTTTTGCAAACCATTTATATAATGCATTTTGATTAATTTGCTGTACCATGTGTAATAATATCAGCTAATTACGGTAGTAATGTATTTGGGAATGCAGAATACAGTGATAGTATGTAATATAGAGCTATGTGTTTTACTAATTTAAATGTTGATTGTGGTTAGTATAGGGCACGGATTACTAAATTTTTAGTAGTTCATGCATAGGGTTAAAAGCCCATACACGGTACCATAATATAGTTGTCATTTATTGATCGAATGGCCAAAGTAAATATCTATATTCTCTTGTCTTATAGATAACGTTGCATGGGGCATTAAAAACGAATGTGTTAGATTTTCGAAAATCTATGTCTGCAGATTCGTCAAAAAAGCTATACCAAAAATCTATTTATCGATTAAGATCGTCATATAAACCTGGAGCAACTAAAGGTAAGCGAATATAAGGCACCAAAATACGGGAGTTTTCTTTCTCGTTTTGTTAGTAAAATTTTACTAGCTATACATATTTCTGGCTTTAGATGGGTTATTCGATGCTTATACGGAATATAGCGTCCAAAATGATGGATATGTGATTTACCAACTAGAATCTCCGTCAAAAATAGCTAGTTGGAGATATTGTCGTTTACTAGTTATTGAAATGTGTCACGGTACAACTACACCATGAATGATACAGTAGAAATTAAGTATTTGTGTCTTGATAGATTTCTACCAATATAAGTTGGGTCGACTAAACTTTTATGATTTAACTTGTGACTACAAATATTGTTCGTTAGTAGATGATTTCTGTAGTCTTTTACGAGTACATTACGTTGTTCGAATTAGTTGAAATAAAGTAAAAGTAGCTCGACGTTATGAAATTTATCTGTGTAACTACAGTCTAGAAGGGAAGTTCTAGGCGGAAAGTAAAATAGTGGTTGACAGTAGCAACTTAGAGGAACAGAATACTTTACTTCATCCCTTGTCAGGAGAGTAGTCCGTGACAAAATGTTACGAAAATTTTAAATATTGATAAAGACTATATCAGTAATCGCATATTTACTTTATTTTAATAAGAACGGGAATTGCCAGGGAGATTACATTCACATGGCAGTAATCGGAATCAAACTATCTCGTAAATAAGGATGATCAACAAATAACTTAATTGTCTCAAAAGTACATTACAGCTTATTAAAATCCCTTTTAAACTTGATAAAAGTCTACTATACAAATAAATATTTATACAAATCATTATTTTGCAGCAATATCAATCACATCAAGAATATTGTCTGAAATTTTGTAGCAAATCCGTAAGCACAGTCTTAGCGGATTATCCAGGAATTAGACTTTAAGCATTGCAAAGAAAATAAGCCTATTGCTGTTACTGGCTTAGCGCAGTAGCAGATTTAGTAAATATTTGTTTGAGATGCAAATGATAGTTAATAAACAATGATAAGCCTAACTGCCTTTCCTCGAATCTGAAGCACTTAAATCTTTCATTGATATTGTAGCGGATCCTCGCTCAGCTGGCTGAGTCTGCAATAAGACCAGATTTGAAATAATTGTAATGAATATGTAAGGATCTCTTAACTATCATTATTACTATGCAATTTCGTAATGAAGTTACCTGAGACTTATCGGGTTTCCAAGCAATCCATGAAATGACTCGAAAAGTGGCCGGTACCGAACCGTCATCATTTCCGTACATTGCTTTGTAAATGGATGCAGCCGCCATCATTGTATCTCGATGAAGGATGTTTGTTCTAGACCAGGCGGCATTACTTTCACCCATACCTGTTACAAGCATAAAATGAAATTTTTGTTGAGATGCGACTATAGAATGCAACCGCACATATATGTGCTCATGTACTGTGCTCATAGGCCATCGGTTAAGAGTAATGATAGTCAGTATACTGCAGTGTAATAAGGAAGCAAAATATTATACTGCAACTGAGCTAAACAAAGTAATTGTCCTTTCCACGGGCATGCTACCTTAGCTACAATAAAAAGCATTGGCAGTGTAAAAGAGAAAGTTTTTCAGTTTATGGCTGCAGCTTGACTCTCTTAAAATTGATTGATCATAAGAGAGCTCTAAGGAGCCAAATCAAAATAATTGTGTTAAGGTTAATTAACTAAAAGTATACATGAGGACGTTGAATACCTTTCAAGTCATCGAGTAGTTCGAACATTGATGGATAATTGACTATAATATCATCCAGGTCAATTGTTGTAAGAGTATACCCTGCACGTGTTAGTAAATTGCCTACATCTCTCACGTCTGCAAAAGGCGAAACGCGAGGAGCGAAGCCTCCTTTACGTTCGATCTCTGCCAATTGCAAAGAACAGCGTAGTTCATAAAGAGTATCGCCGCCAAACATTGCTCCAATAAAGGCACCATCATTCTTTAAGCATGCCAAAATCTAAATACAAGTAATTGCAGGAACTCAAATTATTACACATCAATTATAATGTACTTTACTACGATGCTTATCCCAAAATAGTAAAGTGCCTTTGAAAATTCGCTGCAAGGAAGACGATAAGCTATGATATTTCACTTGCCTGGGCAAAAGTTCCGGGTAGATCATTCACCCAATGTAAACTTAAGCTACTAAATAATAGATCTACAGAATGGTCGGGGAAAGGAATGAATTCCTCATCGGCGATAACTGAGATAGCTGGAACCTCAAAAGATGCAGCTCGCATTTGTGCGATCTTTAAGGATTCCTTGGAATGATCACATTGTACTAAGGTTCCTATTACTTCCTAGTATAACAAGTTTGCATTTATCAATAAGCTATTTGATTAGCAACAAGTTCATGGAATAGCCAGGTTTTAAATACCTTGTCAAGATACTTGCCAATATAGCCCCTTCCACATCCTAGATCGACAGCCACTGGAAAGAATCTAGGAATTCCATTGAAAAAGAAAGAGTTGACAAATTTATCAAAGCATCCATTTAATACTAGCTTTACTTAAAAAATAAACCAAAACACTATCCTAACTTAGATGTATCTAATACAGTTTTATGTCGTGCCTATACACTGCACAGTACATCAAATTTTCTGTGGCAGCGATCTATCTAATGACCGACGATATAGTCAGAGAATTTTAAGAGAAATTCCCAATCAAGTTTGACAATTTAACATGAATGTTGTTAATACGCGGACATATAGTAAAGACTAAGGCTTTGCATATTTTGTCAAAATGCTTGAAAGGCAATATGTGTATTTCAGAAGTTACCTTTTAATATCAAAGCTCCTATCAGCGATGCGATCGGCAACCTTAATAATAGAGTAAAGAAGTTACATTTAACAGTACGCTAGTATAACAACTATTCTATCGTATATAAAAATACACAGTACTACACTATTATAATTAGTCAGAAGATGCATCGTTAAGGAGGGCTAGTAACACTTTACAATTAAAATTTGTCGTATGGTCGCATGCTACACATGCACTCAGAGGTCTAGTATGAGAAAAAAAAATCTGAGAAAGAAAATTGTCATTTCACCAACCTCCTCTCGAAGATAATCGTAATCCGAAAAATTGATTGCCTTTGCAGCTCGATCTCGCTGAGCTAACTTTGTCGAACGATCGAAAACGTTCATTGACTGATTTAAAGGCATATCGTTCCATCTCATATGCGAGATGGTAAAGTATCGAACATGTTGTACAGAAGACTTTGTCTGCAGAAAACGCTTGGTTGCGGCCAAGCTGCAATAACCAATTCTATAAGCCATTAAAGTGTGGCAAACTTCACCTAACTAAGCTCAGTTAAGGGGTCAATTTTTTCGATTTCTTCAAGTTAAGGAACTCAACGATCTGACCACACCATGTGCAAAAAAAATTGAAATCAAAAGAGAACTTGCAACTTGGTAAACTCGTACAGGTAAAAGCATCGCATGTCCAACAGGGGCCAGCAAATTGAGATGCTAGGTGACCTACATTGGCTGCTGTTTTAGCTCTTCTCGATAACTACAGCTGAAAGAATGAAGTAAAAGGCCTTTCATAAGCTGATTTTTGATTTTTGTCTCTCTCTTTTCGACACGATGCTTCAACTTGGGCAAAACAAATTTGCAAGTAACGTAGCAACCGCCGAGTGGTACGAAGGGTTGAGGGCTGAGTTGATTTGTAACACGTTACGTCCTTTTGAAATTAACCTTTGCTACATTTGACTCACTCACTGGAGTACAAGTCCTGAACCTTACCGTACGGTTGTAAAGACGATTGACTGGGCAAATAAGGCTCTCAAGGCGATAGTCCATTATACAGTAGACTATACAGTCTAGACTCGCGGTGGAGAAGCAGATGCAGATCAAGTGCTGACCGGTCCGGTACGGTGCGGTACGCTCATTGTACAGCAGTACTGTACACTGTACACTGTACAGTGTACTGTACACGTAACACAATGAGTGTGACACAGGAACTGCAAAACTGTGCGTAACACAAATCATTGATAGACTGCTAGCAGGGACTTCAATTATTCATTTATTTATTTATTTATTTAAATTTACGGTGGTTTGCTGTCAGTCTGATCCGTAGAAATGTAAGAATAAGATTTTTGTCTTATGTCTCTATGGTCTGAACTTCAGTACAGTGCCAAAATGATTTGTCCATCTATTTACAGTCCGAATTGAAAATCAAAATTTTCTACAAAGCCTAGATATAATCGCTTCTGATTCCGACTTGTTATTACGTTATGTGTTGGGTGGTGCAGGTGGATTTACGCAAGGGTGGTTGCAATTTTGAATTGATTTGTTCGTCTATTTACGGTCCGAGTTCAGAATGAAACTTTTTCTACAAATCCTCGATATAATCGTTTATGATTACGGCTTATTATGACGTTATTTGTTAGGTGGTGCAGGTGGTTTATGCAACGGGGGTTACAATATTTAATAAATTAATTGAGCCGTCCGCACAACATGCTGGCTTGAAAATGGTCGAGTTTTAAAATAACACAAATACAGTATCACCATCATTATGACTGCGTATTGTTGAAGAAGAAGAGCATCGTGTACACCCGCTGGTCTACGACAGATCGACAGTCCATTACTAACAGTACTAGACTACCAATTCTGCGATGGTTTTCTTTTTGGTTAATCCCATCCACCCGGGGTGCGGCTACTGTACCGTAAACTCCAGTACTGTACAGTACTGTACTGTACAGTGTACAGTATACAGTGTACAGTACAGTACTGTACAGAACGATTGTTGCGTCAATACTGTACTGTACTGTACTGCATATCCACTCAGACAGCTCAGTGTACGGCACAGTCAGCACCTCACATAGTGGCTGAGAGGGTGACGCCATTGAGTTCATGAAGTTGTTAACTCTATGGGTGACACTAGGTGACACCCTCAATGACGCGTACTGTAAACCGTACTGTACAGTGTACACACTTGTACTTTGATTACCGCTTTTACGCAGACGCTCATCAACTTGCATTGCCGTAAGCAATCACTACAGTGTACTTAGTAATCACTTGCAATATTTCCATCTTGTCGCTCTTTCATTCTTCACTTTGCCTATCCTAGCAAGCAATTTGACGCTTTCATTGAAAGTTACCCAGTTAGTAAATTGTTGGACTGAATTCAATCGATAATCCAGTCGGACCTCTTCGAGTCTACGCGAGCGTATAGACTTGGCAGCAGTGTAGGATAAGTCAACGTCAGATCGTTATGGATGACAACAGCACTAAGCCAAAGATGCAACGCAATAGTGACGTTGTCAATTTCCAACAGGAGAGCTTAAATTATAACCAATTGCTGCCATATTATGAAGAAATCGAAGCAAATAGCCAGCAATTATTCCAAAAAATCAAACATAATTTAGCCTTGGCTGTTGAGAATGGTGAATTAAGACCTGGAGCAATGCATTGGTCCATTCAATTAGATAAGTATGTATTGTCATCGATAACAGATTAAACTAAGGATTGGATACTTTTAATTCCTTTCCAGCCATTTGCCTACATCGACAAGTTGATCGAACTTCACACGAATGCAGAAAGATGATTTCATCTGTATAGTACTAGGATTAAATCAGTACAGTAATAATATACTGCTACAGGCAATTCGTATGTTATACCGTACAGTACATACAAGATAGCAGTGTCGTATATAAATGTTCATCCGGAGTAAGATTGACACTGTCGATATGACTCCTACCAATGAAGGAATTGCTCATGTTAGATTACACTAGTTATGATGATGAAAGCAATTCTCTTTACCAATCATGATAATACTTTCCTATTGATGTCATAAAATCATTAGACTATATCAATGAAAGTCAACACTCATATGGACATACTTCAATGTTATTCAATCGTATTTTAGCTACATCCATGCTTATGGCCGACGCTTTAGTAAGGATGACCATATCAAACTCGTCCAATTACTCTACAAATTATTAACAATTCCTGATCTGCCTCCTTTGCTTGTACAACAATTTGGATGTGTGCTCATTTCCTTGTTAAGGTAAATTATCATTATTATACTTGTTAAATAATTATGATACTATTCAATTAATCATAATTTTCCTGTAGCTCTTCTTTCGATCTTACTGTATATCGATAGACATCAACGGTAGTACATCAATGAATAGCTATATTGACTTGCGTATAATTAGCAAAATTGGATACAACTTTCTGCATAGGATATTCATAATGTGATAGCTCATAAGTTATCACTTATTTGATTGGATTACCACAATAAATAGGCATGCAATGAGTAGACGTCAACGATGCTACATCACTGAAAGACTATATTGACTTACGTATCAGTCGTAAAATGCTACACTACTTTTTATAAATGATATTTGTTGTCTGATAGTTTATAACTTATCACTTCTTTGGTTGATTTAGGATAATAAATAGGTACATAACAAGTACATATCAACGATAGTACATCAATAAAATAACTATGCTGACTTACATATCATTAGTAAATTTCGTACAACTTTCAGTAAATGACATTCGTTATCTGATAGTTTATAAGTTATCACTTATTTGATTGCATTACAATAATAAATAGGCATACAGCACTATTAAGATAGTTGAATTTATTTTTCCATTAGCAAAAAGAAATTATTATCTAGGGATGATTTACAGCTAGAATGGAAGCCTCTATATCGTTTATATCATGAAGTCTATTATACCAATTATGAAAATAATACCATACGACTCAAAAAGATCAAATCGTAAGTACTATTATACGTATAAGCCACCTTAGAATACATGAGTACACATATTTAATCCGTACTTGGGCATGCTTGATCCTGCCATTATTGGCAACACTAAATGCCATTCTAAAAATTAAACTTTTGAATATTTTGTAGTTGTTGCAAACCGGTAATATTTAGATTAATGCTGGCAACAAGAACGTAAGTTGATGCCATTGCTGTTATTTTTATTGGATTTTGTAAATATTTATGATGAATTGTATGGTTTCTAATATTCGTTGAATAGATTTAAATTAACTACTTTCAACGCTTTCAATTCAATTATATACTAGCTATTTTACTGCGTCTGCAACCGAAGAAATGCTACAGGAGTGGAGACCAATGATGTATCCGTTCGATACATCAATAATGCTGAAAGCTACTAGTTACTTTTGTAGCTTTTTACCGACAGCTTTACTCCCTCATGAGCACAACCAAGGCTTTAAGTACGGCAGTTAATAATATTGGTCATACTTTGCTAGTAAACTATATCAGTATTTTTGGATAATATTATGTCATTTCTTTATTCAATGCTAACACTGATTGAAAATAATCCAAGGTTGTGGTTTGATGAATTAATGAATTTATATATAAGCTGTTTAAATTCTCCATCTTGGGAAGCGGTTTGTATTGAATACCTTCGTAAATTTTACAATTTCTATTACCATTTATCGTACAGTATTGCAACATATATTGCAGTACGACATCATTTAATTTGATGATATTACTGTAATTAATTTATAGAATCTGGTGTACTTATTTGTTCGATTAGCGAAAGAAAATATTGGATATGTGCATTGGGAGCCATACTTAGCAAAGGTTACTTCCGGTTTCTTTTGATTACCTTATGAAGATGCTAATATTGTGCATATATCTTGAATGTATTCAGTTATAACTAATTGCAAAATAGAGTAAGTGTAACAAACTACAAGATTTAACAATAAATCCAATCATAAACAATTGTAGATATTTCAACGAATCCTTAATAGTTTCAATCTTCCTGTGGGTAAGCGTCAAGTCCCACGATCTAAAAATGCTATGTATAAAGCAAATTTATGCGCTGAATGGATTATTAACATGATGGTAATACTACATTGATTACTATTATATTGATATTTGTTCTAAAAGAATTAAACCGTTCTTTCTTGTTCCACAGTATATTGGAAAATAAATAAATCATACTAAAAGCAGATTCATTAATACTATGATAGGGTGACAAAGAATCCAAGGTCCAATTTTATCTTAATCAACTGTTACGAGCGATTGAAAATTTTTGTCACCCTTCAAATGTTGGCGCTTGGGTGGTATGTAGCCCTGTTTTTTATATATATATCTTTAATAAGCATATTAAGAAACAAATGTAATTTTTATTTATAATTTTACAGGGGAAAATTCAAAATTTTCTCGGTAGCTTGACATCAGCGTTCATCTACCGCCTACGATTGTAAGTGAATTCTTTTATAAATTCGTACTGTAGAAGACAATTCATTTCTGAAATAGTACATTGTAAGATAATGATTTATCAATGAATTTCTTAATTCAGGGAACGAAAACCGAAAAAGACTTGGGTACCCAAAATTCCAAAAGAATACCATATAACTGACGATGATATTACTACTTTTGTTGAGAACATTAGACCAATAGCGATGTTACTTTTATTTACTAAACACTTGAGCGATGAAGTTGCTCTGATAATCCAGAATTTATCCATTTTAAGACCTGAAATTATGCTGCCGCCTCTTTTAGATCGGTATGATAGAACGTAGAAAATTTATTAGTATTAAATTCTTTGTACGATATATCATTCAGAAAGGTGCTAAAATAGTTGCATTGTACAATTTCAATTAATATCATCACATTCTGTAGGACGTTTGCTAGTTTAACTACGCTGACTGAACCACACCAAGTGATTGCAACCATGGTATGTGCAGCTTTTGTATCACGACCACTTGCCAGTGCTGGTAGAACAATTGATGATAAAGAAATTCGATTTCCTTCCGGACCATCATATTTGATGAAATTATTGGAATTAGCCCTTCCTGGAATCGATCTAAATGATTCTTTAAAGACTTCTGTAAATTTATTATCGTAAATTATCTAGAATAGAAGCTTATAAAAATCTGATATTTTTATATTGATGTTATAATCTATTGACTAAAGAATTAATAATAATTCGTTACAGACGACATTAATATTCTACATGGCCGCCTTTGGTTTGATTCCTATTGTGGATTGTTCTATGTTGGCTAGTGAAGAGGCTCTTACAGAGGTTCTATTTTGACTGCAAACTCAGAAATATTTTGATTTCGGTTCAACAATAACGTAGTTTGTGTTGATATCAATAGGAAGAAAAGGAGCTGTGCTCGTTAACAGCTAGATTTGAAGATATTTTGATCCAGTTCATAGACAGGTATTGACCTTATGATAAATATTGCAGCATACGAACTTTACGTCTAAAGCTTAATCCCTTTATATATCAAACTGTATTGTACATAGGTGTTTCGAGATGATTGAAAATAGCTCAAACGTCGAAAGTTTAAAGTCGTACAATACTATTGATGGTGAATCCTCATTTAATAATGAAGACAGGCAATTTGCTGAAGGTTTTTATAGGGTATTCATGACAATATTAAGTCAGTCCTCAAGAACTTTGGCTATGGTAAATTTCTTATCTTAGAAAAGATTGAGATTTTCTGTAGAAAATTTAATTATTAACTAATATAATTAATTCAAAATTTTAGGTAGTTATTAAGAAGTTATTTGGATTTGTCAGAGGCCATATTCTTGGTGATACCATAGCTGGTCATATATGTTGTGCAATTGTTTCAGCTGCTGCTAATGTATGTCATATTCCAACTGTTTTTACTAGTACTCTTTTTACTCTTTATGCATTGTTCATAAATTGATATTCTAATAGCGCATATATACTACTCCAAATATTCAGCTTAATTTCATTGAAAAAATATATTTTAAAATGCATCATTTTTTTTGTACCAGGCACAACCTGAAATGACTTTAAAACTTTTTCTACCGTATCACTCAAGAAATATTCTTGAAATTATAGAAAGTAATACAATGAGATATAATAGCCCATAAAATTGAGTATAAAGCTATGTATCTTAACTTATATTCTCATAACTAATCGCATATATATTGATTTCAGCTGACGATTTTGTAGATGAAGAGCAAGTGGAGAGTGGACTTATCTGGTATTTACTGGTTTTTAGTAAAGTACGTTGTACAATTACTGTCTTTCGAGCCTCAGCATGCTCATCACGTTTTAGCTAGTTTATTTTTAAACTCTAATTAATTATTTGCTATTTATATACTAAACCTAGTTAATGACAGCTGATGGCCGATATATCATTCAATATAAGGATCATATTTATAAAGTTATCTCTATGTCAATACACTTGAAATCTAAGACGGCATCAAATTTTACATGTCAGGTACAATACCATTACTTTACCAATAGAAATAATCGGGAATACGTCACTTTATTACTTTTTATTCCTCAATTCTACTTAGGGTTTTAGTTCCTTATTGGAATCTTTAACCGCTGTATATCCCGGTGATAGATCTATGGCTAATGATTCTCCTTCACAATATAACTATCTTAAAGTAAGTGATTATTAAAGTGAGATTACTACAATTTATTCATTCAGTTAATTCTGTAATGTATGGGCTTTTACTTTCATTATCTCGAAAACGTGGCAGGATTGGGCAAAATGTTATGATCGTCGAGATGTAGTGATTGATTGGCACAAACCGTCAGAAGCTGAAATGGAATTTGCTCATGATCTCATGCATGATTTCTTAATTCAAGAAACCAACAAGATGCAAGATTTAACAACTGGCCCTATTAATATGAAGAGGTTTTTATGTTAAAGTTAATAATACTCAACTAAATTAAGTTATTATAAACGATTCCTTAATAATTTTTCATAGGGAAGAAATTCACCAGTGTCTTCATATAATTTATTGTATCCTCACTGGTGCTGGAGAAGCTTTACCGCCTTGGGACAAACCATATCTATCTCCATTGTTGGTTTATACAACGCTTATTAACCTAAAATTCTTACGAAATATATATACTTTGTATTTTGTTGGTAATTTAGGCTAATGTTTTTTTTAAAACAATTCCAGAGTCCCCTCAGTTGTTCCCTACAGCGAGGAAATTATACTATGTACAGAAAATACATCTAAATGTATGGATAACTTTTTTTGTAATTTATATGTTACCAATTTTTTCAATGTTATTTCATCTCTAATTCTTTTTATTACTAACATTAGTCTCTAAGAACACAGTATGCTTACGGGAAATTGTCGCTAATTGTATTCATACAGCCATTGGTATAAATTTTACTATGCTTCTCAATTTATTGTATACCCACATGCCCGATTATCTTAACACGCATGGTTATACTCTTAATTTTGTACTGTAGGTTACTTTTTGGATCATGTAACGGATGATACAAAGTCATTTAATCTGATGCTATCGGTAATTACATTTATTATTTCGATCAGATACTTAACAGATTACATTTTGTCTTTATGAGTAACTGTAAATTACATGAAATTAAAATGTATAAATTACGTCTTTATGTTAGATTTACGATCAAGTCTTATTTAATTATGGAGGACAAAATGACCACTTACAGGAGAGGTAGAAATTGTATTTTAATTATCTATTTAGCTAATAAAATTCCCTAGTAATTGAATGTCTTTATTGCATTAAAGAGAATTCTTGGCCAATTGGTGGAAGCGCCTAATAAGTAATAAGGTATTCACCTTTTCAGCATGATATTGGTTTGACTGTCTAGAATAGTTGCTTATGCCACAATATACGCATTTTTACATTGCTTTACAGCTCCTCGGACACTGTAACTGTATAAGGCAAATTGTGATTGAGAAAAGCTACCTCCAGCACCTGGTATATACATTATATTTTTTGCGGGAATTGAAGTTACCTTAATTTGACGGCTGTGAATTATATTCTATATAGAAAAGAAGAAATCATATCTATCCTTGCAGGATGACAGAACTCCATCAAATGATGATTAGCGATGTTTTAAAGTTATCCGTTTGCGACTATTGCGAGGTTATTATACATGTATAAATGATAGCTAATATTTGATCAGATATTATATTAATATTGAAAAACGCTTATTCCAACAGATAAGAAGAGAGGCACAAGGTCTGCTGTTGTTGTGTTACGAGAGCATCTTATTTTCTTGTACATATAGTCTTCCTTTCATTACTGATAAACTAAAAGCCGACAATTCAGTTAGCCATGATGAATTTAAGGTACTCTAGTGTATTTATTTCATTGTTTTTAGCAGTTGTATTGTAGCTGGACATTCCACTAATGAAATGAATCATATTTTTTTTTGGTATCGAAAGGGTGCCCTGTTTGTTCTAACGGATGCCGATACATGTAAATTTGTGTGTCACCAATGGGAGAACATGCAGCAGATTTGGCCTGCATTAGTTAAGGCTGATCATTCCGAAAAATCGTCTATCCTAATATTAATTAATAAAGTTTATCAGCAAATGTGTCGAGAATATGCAACCTTAGCTTTAAAATATGAGGTCAGATAAGTTAATGGAGTAACATAACAATATTTACTTGGTCATAAATCAGCATTAACACAACTAAATTATTAACTTAGGTTCCGGTAGAATGTAGGGAAGCAGCACGAGCTTTAACAGGAACTGTTAGCGTGAGTAATAAAGATGGTGACTTATTTTTGGAAGAAATGAATAACTGTAATCGCAGGTATTTATGAAACTATGTTCAATCTATTCATCGTATTATTCAAAAAAAGTAATTTACACGATTTCAAATAGGCAATACATGGAATTAGTCAACCTTCTCCTAGATTTATGTGAAACAGGGGACAATAATATGTAAGTTGGAAAATTTGTAATATCAAATCAAATTTCGACTATTCGCTAAATGAAAACACGTATTTTACAATGGCTGCTTATAGGAGGTGGCAGTTTCTACAGTACTGTATAGGTTTTATTGCGCAACTGATTCGAATCGATATCCCGTTGCTACCACGTGCAATAGCACTTTTCACGAAAAATTTAATCCACGATTCTATTGAGATACGCAAGGTGTACTTCCTATTTAATGTATACATAGGTAGCATGGTGTCTAGTTTTATTAACTGCCTACGCTATATTTAGATGGCTGTGTCCGCCATTGCAAGTATTTGTAAACAATTAAAAAGAAAGCATTTGAAAATTGAAATCAGTGTCAAAAATGCAGGTATAGTCAATTGTAAATTATTCGGAGGACAATTTTTACCGCCACGTGCAAATGCATGTCGAATTTAATAGAGTTACTATCAACTTTATGATATAGCATGTGCTGAAGCATCAAGTGAGGAGAGCGATATCAATAATGACTGGTTCGTTGCCTTGCTATTTCAATTGATTTACTTAAAAAACAGAAATATATTAATATTTTGATTTTTACGCCAACTAGGCTCGTTTTCCCATTAGAAAATAATAGATTTGACGTTAAAGACTGGAAAAGTAATACGCTTATCGATAAACCATACATAGGATATAATAACGTATGGCCTAGGTAAGATATTATGACACAATATTGTTGACATGTAACACTTCTAAAATTCTTTTTAATCGTACCTAATATATAATATTATCAAACGCAGGTCAATACTAACTCATGCCGCATTAGAACAGCAACCGAAAGTTGATAGGGGTATCCAGGAGATGACTGAGGTAGTGGCTGTACAAATATTTTTGATTTCCTGATTTCATTTTGTTAATTCTTTCACATATTGAAATTTTCTAATGTAGCATGAAGCAGCAATGTATGCGGTACTCAACAGTCATGAATTTATCGAGTCACTGATCAAGCTTTATTCGCTAGAAATTTCAAAAGATGAAGCCTTTAATATGCATAATTATGCTATGTTTAAGGTATTATATTATTTCATGATATCAAGTCTTTAATTTGTTCAGATACAATTTCGATTAGATTGCCTTCCAATACTAATTTATATACGAATATGTACAATTGCAGGGTATATTTCGCAATTTCGGGGATTCATTACTACCGCTGTTTGAGCGACACGTTGAAAATCTTTTCGCAGATACTGAGGTAGATTTAAGCATGGAGCATATGGTAGTAATACTCGTACATTACTTGACATTACGATACAAAAAATGCTAACGAAAGGTTATGAATGTTAATGATAGGTTATTATTTATAAATCTATATAGCATAGCAGTAGTCAAAAATGTGCACTAGAGATCGTTGCTGGATTGGTTCGTGGCTCTAAGCATTGGGGTAGCGAAAAAGTAAGTGCTGCTTTGTCAACAATGGAAATTTCATATGTAAAACTACAAGATGAGCTTAATAAAATATTACTTCACAGGAGCAACATTTATGGTTGTTTTTAACTCCTCTGTTGCGGAAAGCATTCAATTCAATCTCCAGAGAAACGATAAATGATTGGTGTACTTTTGTTACAACAATCAGTGTATGGCATTAGTGATAATAGTTTTCTTTCTTAAATTACATCCTTTAAGATATCGCTAATTACGGTGATTGATGATGATATTATATTAATAAGTATTTATCATTTTTTCCATAGAAAAATCGAGATCCGAAACGACTACGCAGTCTGTTTTCTCTATTATTTAACGAAAATATATTTGCTGGCGAGCAAGCATCCTTCCTTGATGCTAGGTCTTTATGCTATTAAATCAATATAACTATAAAGATTCTAATTAAATTTTAAAATTCTAACGTAACGATAATTTATCGATTTTTTCTTAGTGCATTATCCTTGATTCGTATTTTCGTCTCCGACATGGAATGGAAAGGCTATGAGGTGCAAAATTTAGCTCTTAAGTTAGTAAGTCCCTGGCTTGATCACCAATACAAAGATGTTCGTTCATCGCTTGGCAGGTACCTTAAAATTATTTTCAGAACTTTTCTAAATTGCAATGTACATGTATAATTGAAGCTATCATCGATTTCCTTATAACTATTTAAAACAACATTTATAACTAATTTTATGTTCTTTCTACTATTAACAACACTTCCTTCAGCCTTTTGCGGGATATTTTCAAATTTGATGTGGCTATCTCAAAGAACTACGTCAGTAAAGGTCCTACCGCGACAAAATTTATCGAAAGCCTACTTCCGTCGCTATCGAAATTATTTACTGAAGACAAGCGGAGCGACGGCAATGTAGAACTTGTCGACCCTGAAGAAAAGCAAGCGACATTAAGACTAAGCGAAACCTGTAATAGATAATTTTACGGTTTCCGTCTGATAATTCTTTATTAATATGGTTTATTATTATAACGCATGAAAATATATAATAATTTAGTATTAGAATGGTTAATATCTTGCAACCGTCAAAACAGCAGAACGCCGCAGCCGTATTCAATTGCCACGTACAAGCTATTACCACTGGTAGGTCATGCCTTTTCTAGCAATATAGTACGATTAAAGATGATAAATTCGCTATCTTCTATAAATGTTTTGGCTAGTTAATCGGATTGGAAAATCAAGAAGATGATAAAGATCTGCAAATATTGTGTAAACTGGTTAGTTCGAAATGTGCTATCTTACATTTAGCTTTAGTTTAAAGCCCTTATGAACTAAAATACATCAATGGCACGATGTCTAGGCTTTCGGATATTTAGCTCAAGCACAGCTATCGGATGCTGCGGTTGATTCTGTTATGCTTGCTTTAACACAAGTAAGTTTTAGTCTATGCTGTTTTATTTTCTGCTGCATGTAATGACCAACTAATTTTTTAATGCGTAGGTAGTACAATCTAACTCATGGCATCACCGTTATAGTATGTTGTTATTTATTCAGGTATTAAATTCTCCTTAGTTCGTATCATATATCAAAAAATTTTTATATCTGAACTGTTTAATTTTCTAAATGCAGGTTATGACGTTTAGAAATCTCTTTCTATTATTTGAGCATACCACAGCGACCAGCACTATTGAAGACATTTTACTTAAGTTGATATTTGATGAGCAAATTGAGGTTAAAGACAATTTTGCTAGATTTTATCCTAAATTTCTGAGAAAATTAAGAGTCTTCGTGCATTAGGTTAGAGAAATGGCATCAACAACTTATAGTGGACTACTAAGATGTGGATTTTTAGAAGTAACAAGCGTGAAACTGGTATTACCATTTACTTAGATAATGTTGTCATAACTTCAATACATAGATGATGATGATATAAAAAAAAAATTGTAATTGACACCTTGTAGAATAAATATTAAATTTTCTTTAGTCCAAATTTAGAGATGTCGTAACAGAGACGAAAATCAAGCGTAGACATAATATACCATCGACTGAATGTAAAAATATTGTATAGAATATGCGTAGAGTATTCTCACATGAATTTAAGCTTCAATCTTTTATTTTTGGCTTTACAATATTAGTTAAGAAAGTGATTAGCCGGCGCCATTCTGCAATATTGGGTCTCGCTGCATGTATACAAGCCTTTCCATATGATGTTCCTCCTTGGTTACCGGAGATCTTAATATTTATCGGCGACCGATTAAATGATCCTCCTCCAATTAAGGTATTATTGCTATACATTAGGCTATCATGTAAGTTTTTGTTAAGGAATGAATAGTAAATAAAATCAGTTTTTAAATTTGTTGCCAATTCTATCGATATTAATATTAAGTCATTATTATTCTAAATGTTAGACTACTGTTAAATCCGTCGTTTCTGAATTCAAGCGTACTCATTTGGATAATTGGGAAGAGCATAAACAATATTTTACAGTCGACCAGCTGAGCGCTCTAAGTGATTTCTTAATATCTCCTAGCTATTACGCTTAATTAATAATAACCAATTGAAATTGTATACAAAATAGATCTTAAACGAACTTAGCTAAGTTCTTTATTTTTAATGATGGTGGGAATATCTATATATGTCTGCTTATTAGTATTATTTTACAAATATTGCACGTATGAATTGTTGTGATCAAAGGACGCACACAAAGAATATAATGAAGAAGTTACTTTAGTACTACTGTATACTTAATTGTGAGCCAACGTATCTAAAGTATATTACCGACTGTGGTTATTTAAACTTAATTATTATGAGATCCCAATTGAAATGAAGAACAGAGTCTAAGAACATCATATGATGTTCATAATGAAGTGGGAACTCATTTTATATTAAATCATGGCAAATTTAAATTGTCATTATTATTGGCTCTTAGCGCAACAAACATTGACAATAGGCAAGAATTGCTACTAAATTATAATTAATTCATTTATAATGAATATTAATTACAATTAGAATATACAACTGTTATATAGTTTAACAATTAGGTTATTAACGCTTGTTAAAATTGACAAATATCGAGCAATAATTAACATGATGTATATGGTTATTAAACAAACGTCTTTCCATCTTTCATTAATAAAACGAACAGACTGACATAAGGTAACGTCTGCTAACTGTGGTTGAATTAGAACAATTTAAACATTACATACCCAAGATTGTAATTTTAAAAATAGTTGAAGATATACATGATACATGATAAATATTAATGCTATCGAAAATAAGAAATTTATCGTCGAAAGGATCGTAAATATATGAACTTTATAGTTCGCTGACTATTTACACCGTGTCATCATTGGAATATGGTGCCGTGGATAATGATGGTAGTTTTAGTGAGCCATTACTGTATTGATTGCCTAATCCTAAAGTTGTATTTTGCGCAGTATTACTTTGCTTTGCTGTGCTATCATTACTATCGTTGAAATTTAAATTTTTTTCTGGAATTTGCGATGGCTTGGCTGATTTTGATTCCTGATGTCTATGGTTGTATTCTTCTTCTTCTTCTTCTCCTTCAGCAATTGTATCGAGAGCATTCGGTGGAGTTTCGCAGTGATCATCATTGGCTACTTCACATGATTGTATATTGTCATTTTTTAATCCAGTGTCTTCCTTAAGGGTGAAGTTGGATAACTGAGTAATATCTGATCGTGTATCTTCATCAATTGTAGCATCGGACGCTTTTCTATTAGCTTGCATTTGCATTTGTAGTTGAGCCATAGCTAAAGCGGTAATATCAACATCATTTCCTTCATCTACTTCTTCTTCTTCCTCTTCTTCAATAATATTCTCGTGAATTTTTGTCAAGCCATTGTAATTTGATTCAAAACTATACCCATAATTGAAGCTATGTGGGCTTGTTACAGCAGAATCAGGGGTATTTATTTCTTGTGATGACAGTTTATCGCTATGCGCATCATTTTGAATTTTCGCTTCATCAATTTTAATATTGCTGATGTTATTATTTACATCAGAATGGTGATTATCTGATTTAGGTACAGAATTACTATCTTGAACAGTTGAATGTGATGCAAAAGGTGATAAGGTTGATGATTCTTGTACATTAAGCTGTTGTTCAGCCTGTAGTGATTTAGAATCAATCGACAGAGCGGACGAACTTGTTATATTAACATCGGATTTTTGCTCAGTACTGTTGTTAACTTTGATGGAATCAGCTTCATGGCCATCTTGTGTATCTACTGTAGTTGAATTAGAGTTTGTTTCAGCTTCTTTTGAGTTTTCTTTCTCATGATCTTCTCCTCTATATTATTTAAATTGATCATGAAACCAGTTAGTATTTCTATAATTTCATGCACAGTCTACAACGTGGTAATCATTTAAAATATTTATAAAAATAAGATTGTTCTGGAATTTGTAATAATAACATTATAAGAGATCTATTTGATAGTTTATTTGTGGTTTCTTCATTGGTAATCATATGTTGCTCCTCATTCTAATAAGTGTGTAAGCGAAAATTAATATTATCTGATCATAAATAAGTAACACTCAGATATTAATCCGTTACCTACAGTATTATAGGTTTAAATAAAATTCATATGCTAATACTGCATAACCCATATACCATGATATTATAATTAATTAATGTAGGGAAAACTACTTTTCCTAAGTTCTCATGTAAATAAATATCGATTAAAGTCCTTTGATGGCAATATAATAGATAAGATAGGCTGCTAATGTTTATAATTTTAGTATGTTTTAAAATCAGTTGTTATATAAATAATTTAGATAATATTTGATGATAACATCGTTGATAAGATAGATTAGAAAAGCTTATCACTGCCAATACTATGATAGATCAATAACCTAAAGAGAGAGTGTTACTTGAACTTGATTTTTACGTAAACAGTTATTAATTACATTATTGCTGTGTTTCGTGATCATTTATCGTACTCAAAGTAATAGCATGGGATTAAGGTGCAGAATCTCGACTAATGTATAATATAGGCGAAATTTACAAGCTAGTAACGGATTATTTTTTGGTATTGTTGCTGTATCGAAGATTTTTTGTGAATATTTATATCATTTACATCGAAACTTACGTCTCTTCCTTAACACTATCCAATTGATTAGTGTCCATAACATCTTCGGTAATGTTTAAGTTATTTGACGAAATAAATTTCTTCATCCAGTCTGGCATTTCACCGGATTTACTTTCCTTCGCTTTTCTCATTTTCTCATTTCTGCGCTTCTCTTTAGCTTCAGCAGGCGACATACTAACCGATAATTCATTACTTGAATCTCTTTTCTCAGTCGGAGAATGTTCTTCAAGTGTCGGTGTTGGCGAATTAGCATGATCGATAGCGATAACAGGAGGAGCAACCTAATCCAATCACGCAAAGGCATTATAAATTTTAAAACGCGTATAGTCATGTATATTTTCAAGAGTAATAAATCTAAAACTAAATTGACTGATGTTCGTATTATTTTATGCTTTTTCGAGTTTTAAAGGTAATCCAAGATTATTATTGTAGTAGTATCATTGATTCATGAGTAACATTAATAGTATTACTTTGAACAATATATAAGCGAGAAAATAAACAATCTTGCGAGATTCTAATACCTGAGATGATGAATCGTCGGGTGATTCAACAGATGTATGCAGTGGATGCGTCTGCAGAAGTGGTTTTGGCCTTGTCGGTAAGCTATGGTGTTTTTGGGCTACTTCAGCTGTTGATTATTAAACAAGTATGTTAGTATTTATCAAAAGTTTCAGCAATTTTACTATATATTTAATTCTGGAACTTTGATGATACTATTCAATAAGAGTATAACCGATTCTCATCGATCAAACTAGCACAACTGGTAGCCGACTATAACGATAATGTTAGTGAGTCTGCTTAATACTGAGAACTAAAAGGGATATTTTTTTACTTACATCTATCAACGGATGATTGCCTACTATAGCAGATAGAGTTGAAGAAAGCATCGAGAAAAAATTAGATTAGCAAAATGACTCAAGATCATTGCTTAATTCTTAAAATTGTAATTGATTTAGGGTTACGGATTCGAGGATTGATATAAATCGATAATTTAAAGCCTAAATCCATGAGACACCTTCAATATAGATTGCTACATTCATTTTACTAACCTATTTAAAGAAGATCTTTTTGGCCTTCGTGGAACTTCTGCACTTGGAATATCGCTTGATGCCTGCGGTTGTATTGGAGATGTCGGTGATTGTTGCTGTTGTTGTTGTTGTTGTTGTTGTTGTTGTTCCTTTTGTTGCTAATTTCCAACATAAATGGTTTCATATTGATTAAATTGTTCAAGTTGCACAAGATACAGACGACATCCACGTAGTATTTTGCACGCTTAAGTACCTAGGAACGATTATTATTAATTATAACTTATAAAAATCAACTTACTTGACTTCTAAAGCTTCCACTTCGACTTCTCATTAAATCCGATTTCATGATTTTGTTGAGTTCTCGCATCTAAAAATTTCACAATTTAATGAAAGTCTTCTATAGAGTAGGTCTTAATATTCTATTTCTGAAATCACTATGCCTTAATTCTATTCGATATTAGTTATTCCTTGCTGCTGCAATACCTCTTCAGCATTCATCACAGTCATTTCTCCCAAAATATTTCTTCTCCAGTCCAGACCAGTTTTCCTTTTCATCTATCGAATACGTTATGTTTTTAATAAAAATGAAGTTTATATTGAAGATGGAGAGATTTTTCTATTATGAAAGATCAGCAGAAGTACGCTACAATAACTACGGCGTAAATCCATCTAATAATTAAACAGTATAGCTTACCTTGAGTTTATGTCCTGTACCTCTTGGCCCACTATTAATCATTTAAGAAAAACAGATTACAATATTAGAAATTATTATAGTGTATAGTTCTTAGGAAGATAAAATCATACCCTGATAGTAACATTGGATGACTAACCTATTTCCAAAGCTGTTACTTCTTTCTGTAGGAAGTGTGGCCATATTACCATTCTATCATGGTACATCATCAATTCATATTAGCCAACAAAGCATAGCAGTATAATTGATCATAATAAAATATGTTTACCGTATTTTGATCTTCAAGATCAGGTATAGCGTGAGGGCTATTTTCCCATGCAGTTTGATGTTGCTTAGGAGAATCTGGTCCTTGCTCATTTCGAGGGGAATCCGATTTACGGTTGTTAGTGATCAACTTACTATGATCTTGAGGTGGAGCAGCAGCCACATGAGATGCTAAACAGTAATATAAATGAACGATTAGAAAATGGGCGTACCATTAAATATCATTCGATACAAACTGCAATTCGACCGGCATTTTAGACAGTAGGAAAGACAAGTGAAGATTAGATAGCAGTTATTATTTATTTACGAAATTTTACTAGACCCAATTTTTTAACTTAAAATGGGTTACCTGGAAACCATCCCGTCCTTCCTCTGCACATTCCCTGCCACCAGTCATCTTGCTGTAATTAGATTGAACATTGACAACATTATAAAATGAAATCATATAAATACTATGATATAAAAGCTTATTTAAATTTAATAATGTAATGGCCATGTTCATCCATCATGAGTACGAGTTTATGCAAAATAATGGGCTATAGATTTTTATGAATCTTAGGATTTCAAAAGTAACAATCTACGGTAAAAGCTTGCCATTGGTTCGACTGAGATATTTCAGGAAGGTCTAAATGTGGATTTAAATTGACACTAAGACGCTATTAGAAATAAGTTAGCAAGTGTAATTGGATGCTTTGCTTATCACAAAAACAGTCCTAGATCATTTAACTTTGGCATTGGATGAACTCATCTCAAAATAAGACTACGTTGAACTCTCTTTAATTTAGGAATAAGGCGCTAGTAACAATTTATAAACTATATGCAAACCATCCATTAACGATCAACGAAAGCTATATAATCTGAAATTAAATCAAGTTTCCTTTTTTAATAATAGTTATTAGCAAGGTGTGAGTAAAGTGATATTCTGCTAGATGGTGATAGATGAAAGCTGCACAAGTTAATCTTGAAATAAGCGTACAATTGTTCTACAGTCTTCGTAAAGCGTAGTTGGCAAATAATAAACTATTCGTAAGTCTTCAATGTATGAAAACTACATCACATAAGTTTGATCTACATTGAGTTTCCTTTACGATCGTCGTCAATTAAATGGAACAAAGCAATTTGTAGGTATTCGATAAATAAATGTGATATTGCAGGTGCTGATCATGAAATAAAATTACTTTCTGTTTCATTTAATTTCTGTTAAACAATATGAATACATTTGGATTTAGCAATAATGGATAATTTATTTGAGTGCGTTTTTGCTAGTATTTACCTTAGCTAATATGACCACTTCGTCACCAACAGCCAAATCAAGATCAGTGTCTTTGGTAGCCTTAAAAGGTGTAATAGCTCGCATAATTTTCGATTGTTTACTGTGATTTTTCTTCTTTTGTTTCATCCTCTTTTTCAGCATACGTTCACGCTTGGTGAATAAATAAAAGATAAAATAGGAATTGGTTGCTGTGCGATCACTATAAATTGAAGATCTTATTTCTATTTGTTGTCCTATCAATGAATATTCACGACTAGAATTTATCTCAATATTATGCCGCTTCGGTAATAAACACCAACACGAGTTGATCAAGCTATTTTCCGGATGTGAAAGGCATTTATTGCAACTTTTATATGCATTTACCCGCTCTCGTAAGCTTAGATTTTTCACGTCGTCTTCATCCTCCTGTTTATAAAGATGGCAATTATATTTATGGTAGGGTTCAACTGAATAATGTACTAGCATTCAAATAAAATTTGGCTACGAAGAAACAGGATGCTCTGGAAAGTAAACGGCCAACAGGTAATCTTACCTCTGAACTTTCATCGATTTGGGGAGGAATGGTTGGCGAAGGTGATTTTACTTGTGGACTAATGCTTGGCTAATATTTAAATATGGACAAATTGGTAGGATCCATCAGTATTTATAGCATGATACTATCACACATTGGCATGCGATACTCTGATTCTCTAAACTACCTTTAAACTGGATCTCCTTCCAACCAACTTGCCAATTGGAGTAATAGATGGTCGCCGATCTCCAAAGCCGGGTCTTTGCATTTCTCTTGTGAAATCTCCCGACTCAGTTTGAATCTAAGCAGATACACATTGGTGGAAACCATTAATAAACAACAATATCAACATTCTAATTTGGATTTTTTAAAATCGATTTTAAATGAATGGACTGATGAGGCTTCTTACCGGTACCCTTGTACTAGCCATAACAGATACGAAAAAGCTGCCAATGTTTTGCGCTACGCTTTTCTGGTGCGGAAAATATGATTAGGAGGCAATAATTTTCAAAATGATGCTTAACATTTTTTCTAACATTTACTAATCAATCTTAATACGCTAAGTTATAAGTAATAACTCACTTCTACCACTCCACTAGCATTGACTTCATTTTGAGTTTGGTGGGCATTATTATCATCATCATCCTTGGTGAGTTTATTGAATGCTTCGATAGCAATGGCTACAAATAGGCTGAGAAATAAATTTTACAAATAGTTTCAGACTTCTATTTTCTTTTTAACAGCAATATATTGATCAAAGTACAATCTTAAATGCTTACTTCATTATCACAAGATTAAATATAAGTACGCAAAGTACAAAGTAAAGTGATGCCCAATAGCTAAACTCTATGATGGCCTAAAAATTGTTTACAAGAAACAACAAGTTCAATTTCAATATCGCGATTAATATGAATTATTAGATATTCATGCATTAATTGATTAGCCATTAATTTGAATATTATGGCAGTAAAATATCGAGAGTGATCATTTATTTTCTAATAAGGAAATTCGCAATGTCTCGCGATACAGTACAGTATAGCGCTTGTTAGGGCGTTTTAATAAAAATTTCAATACTTTAAGGTTTACATACTATATGTTTTTATGGATGGTCGGTAATAGTTACAGAGCAACTAGCGTAGCCTTTGATTCGTGTTAATTTTCGAAATCATGGAAAGTAGCATACTAAATTCTGTAGAATCATCATCTGTGAACGATTAAAGACATATAAAGTACCGTTTGATTAAAAACTAGATCTGATACTGACTGTTTAGTTACACTTTTATAAATCAAACTGCTTTACTTTCCGATCTATTCCTATTGCAAGCTGAAGATGAGCGATTCAGTAATTGCTTAACAGCTCGTAAGGAATATAATAAAATTCTCTAGACTACCGGCATGTGCTCTTATTAATAATTATAACCTAATATGCAGTTGTACAGTAGTTCGGCGGTAAATACTGTATCTTAGTTGCCCATTCTTAATCATATTCCTCAACCATATGTCGGAATATAATTGACTCTAAGAACAATTATTTCGCCGATATTTCATACCTCAGATGTTGTAATTTAAATCAAACAATCATATACAGATTTAACTATGATCTAGGCTATGATTTCTGTATATTCTATTCAAAATCGAATATCGTAGTTATAAAATCAGAAAATCTACCGAATTCATGATTTCGTGCCAGTTGCTAGTGGTTAAAATTTGAAAAACGGATAATAGGGAACATCTAAGGAAACAAACAGCAAGCAATTATCGCTATGCTATGCGATGTTAGATAGAAATATGACAGGATTAGGAACATCTGGTTTGCATTATTTAATGTCAAGATATTTTAATTTCTCCATGTCATGATCATTACTAGTTTAAGAGTGCGATATTGAAAGAGAGAGAAAGTACAGTATACCCGAAAGTGTTGAATCCTACACCGCAATTGGTTGAGTTCTTATCTATACTATAGCCATGCCGTAACTGATCCAGCCGAAATATTTCCATTCCAATAGTAGCAAAAACACACCTGTGAATTGGTAGCGTTGAAAAGTGAAGAATTAATAATCAGAATTAATTTAATATTCGCTATGTATATTATCAAGCAAATTCTCTGTCAGCAGAAATCCATAGAATAAATTATACTGAATAGGTAACAAAGTTCAAGTATACGCAATATGTGAAGCTAAATACGCATCGGCACTAAATCAAATTGAGTTTTGTATGCAACAATGGTATTAGTAGCAAGGAATTTTAAGCCATTTAATTTGGAGTTATGAACTCTACACAGATTAACTACTAAAAACTATATCAATGATCGATAATCGTAAATCAGGTCGCAAAATTAACTTATAGCATCCAGGTAGTTAGTGTGTCTAGTATTTGCACTGTTGTGATAGAATTGTTATGATAATTGTAAAATTACTCCTGTTTACAACGATTGGATTTCACTATATCCAATACATCGATAGATAGAAATCTGCGTTTAGGTCTCAAGGGATTCAATACTTACAATATAATTGCTACCAGCTGGATCAAATCAAACATAACCGGATAGATCTTGATAAAGAGTGAGACAGCTCGATTTGTCTATAAGACACGATCATGATAAGTGCAATATAAGGAATACATAGATCTCATATGGATAGATAGAATTAAATAAATAAGGCTCTACCTTTACTTACATGAACTGAATTAAATGCCAATCGGATAATAATTGCCACAGATGAAATAGCAATACAAACACCTCGGCCATATTCATCACGCATGAAATACCAGAGAATGTTGGTTACAATGCTGGTTATATTCTATATGGTAACCAAAAAAGTAGAATACGTGGTATAGCAATAAAATCGCACTAATAATGCTATAACTGATCCGAGGATCAATTTTCATACATTTCTCGTCAAGAATTTAAAGAATCATCAACGATTAAAAGCTACATATTGGTATCAACTCACACAAACAATATCTAAAATTTCCATTGGTTCCAAGAGATTTTTTCCTTCTGCCAAAACCCTGAGGATTAATTCAATCTAATCACACATAGAGAGAATTATCTAGTTAACTTTCACTACCTTTATAATACTCATTTAGATTAATTAAGTCAAAATTACCAAAAGAATGCCAATAATACCGCTTCGAATATCTATGGAAAAATGATAGAGTTATGAAATTAGTGTACAAAATCTTATCATCTATATCAACTTGAAACTATATGTTAAGACACTAAAGTACAGTATATAAAATATCTTGATTATGGAGTATTAGCAGTTTTATAGATTTGAATACCAAGATATATATAAAAGGCTGGAAATAAATATCCATTTAATAGTTTATCTGTTTAATAAAAGAGTCTACATTGATAGAATACGCAAAAATTTGATGAATCGTCAATTTTACATACTACTAGCCACGCTAGCTAATCCCATTAAATTGGTGAGCTAGCAATGTAAACCAGAAGGGCGATCATAAAGCTAAGACGCATTACTCATACGTCAGAATACTTACACTGGACAATATCTATAGCCAAGGAGCTCATATCACGCCAATGGACACCAAACAGTACACTAGAAGCAACCAATCAATTTTAAATTATAAACTAATCATCTTTTTAATTTAGTGTATATATCTAGGGAAGTAAAATTAGGTTGCATTAATCAAAATTTTAAGTTAAAATTACCAATGCAAAAATATTAAGGAAAGCGTTGCATAGGAAAAGTACGACGAGCGAACAATAAGTCGCATCAAGCGAAAGGCTTTCTGAGGGCAATTTGGTAAATCATTCTATAGGAAAGACAGAAAAATGATTTTAATCATTTTTTGCATCATGATGCTATTCATTTCCGTATGAAAAAAATATATAATAGTCTATTATGAGCTAAAAAATAATATTGAAAAATTAATGTTAACTTACGAGTTCATCAATTTGACTTTCTCGTTCAAATTCAAAACTTAATGCCTATCCATTGTCACAATAAATAGATTAATCATAGCAGAATCATTAGAATCATTAGAAAATCAGATATTAAAATTCCAAATCTTCCTATTGCTAACTTACATCTCTTAATCTCGTCGTCCATGAATAAGAGTCAATCATATCTTCCTGACCTCTTTCAGCAACATAATCAATCAGCTCTAAATTTTCATCGTCGGTGTTCTGGAAATAGACAGGTAAATTCGTTAAAAGTTTTAGTTCCATACATATTTTATGGGAAACGTAATTTACAAATTCTTGCTAATCGCATTTTTTGGCATAGATAAATTAAAATTCGAAATTTCATTTGCTTTTAGTTGCTGGTTTTATTCATGAAGATTCTAAAATAGTAAAGAGAATAGATTTTATTGACGACTTACTTTAGGTTTTAATAATTTAAATAGGTCAGTAAAGATTTGATCGCTAGCCGGTAAAGCTCCTATAATTAATTAATCATAGAAAAAGTTTATTGGATAAGTTAATCGATTTAATATCATAAGTAATAAACTCCAATCCAGCCTGATGGGATATCTATTCCAATTTGTACGAGACTAAGAAATCTTGCAATATACCTTGACCAAGAGGATCAATCAAATTCCACGCTTTAGCTAATTCTGCCCTTTCTCGAGTTCTTTCCTTTTTCACATGCTTCTTGGAAAATTCCCTGTCATTATTGAACGACGTTGTTAGTATCTGACAACCAGTGCTTACAAAGATGAATTACGACACTATTGTAGTAGCACTTTAGTAAAATTATTTATCAAATGATTACACAAGGTATTGCACTTAATTTTTACAAATTTTGTAACTATATCTCACCAATAGCTATCAACGATAATAGCTAACAGGATAGCGGTCAAGAAGAATACTCCCAGAATGACGAAAATCCAAAAATAGGCAACATGTATAGCACTAACATCGTATGCTGGGATCATTATATCCTATAGTTATAATTTCAGGTGATGTATTAAGAGATGGATCGAGGCAATTATTGTAGGGTACCGTAACAAGTAATCTAACAGTAAATAGGGCGGTGTCACGGTACGAACTACCGTGAAGAAATAGCTATCTAAATTTAGTTAATATAATATAGTGATAATATATTACAACTAGTTACTTACAATACGAATTACTCTAATTATAAATGTGTTAAAGTAAATTAAATGCTGTGCTGTAATATGCTCTGAAATGATTCTGTGAATGGACATATTGTAGTCCGACTGTAAAAAATTAGTTAGTAGATGTTCTCACCTAAGTATTTTTATAAGATGACTCGTGAATGTTAACTGCTGTAGAAGGGTATATAAGCCCGTCAGATAGTTGAATAAAGTAGTTCTCAATTGTATAGTTGTTTTAATGTAGAATCAAAGGCGTCTAAATTCTTGTGAGGTAGTTAAGGGATACTGAATCCCGGAGACTATAGTAATTTAGAGATTTGTTTTACGTTATCTTGTCACGAAGCTGGTTTGTGACAGGCGGACAACTTACTGGATAGTTTTCCGTTGTTAGTAATACGAAGAGGCGAAGAAAAGCTATGGCAATGTTATCGAAAGCTCTATTTAATAATTAAAAAAAATAATATAATTACGTTGAACCTATAATTTTGTAAATAAAGGTATTGAATAGATACATTATTAAAATTGATTTTATGTTCAATTAATTTTTCATAGCATTAGTTCCATTATACTATTAGTTGGCCATGATGCATATATTATTTACCCTATGTAGATTCCATTATTAAACGAGCCCACGGAACAGTTAGTCAAAGCAGATACATTCATACCAGCGGTGCTGTTAAGTCTAGGACAGAATTACAAAATTAGCGAAAAAATATTAGAAAAATACTCCATTTAATAAGCTACCCTGTATAAATATTAATACATATCTAAAAAAATAAAACATACAATAATAAGATGATAGAATTTCTTATATATGACATATATTTAAGTGAAGATAGATATCCTCTATAAAATTTAATTTACATATTTGATATCGCAGAAATCCTACGTAAAGCATAATTTAACTAATTGAAAGCAAATGAATAGTATACGTACCATATAAACAGATATCATGTTTCTATACGATATTTAAATTATACATTTTACAGTATCAAAACTATTTATTGGATGTATGATATTATTAGTCATGGCCATATATTTACATTGTACACTGATAATCACATAAATCATTTGCGATATAAATTTTATTTAATGTAGTTTTAAGACTCCCATAAAGGAAATCACCCTATTTCAAATCGCAAGTAATCTGTACCATATATTTGATATTATAGAAACTATGCGTGTTAAGCTTTAGCAATCTTTAATATATCTTTGTACGAAAAAATCATGTAATGTTAGAATCTTACCCTGGACAATGATAAAATCCAGAAAGCGTATGAATTCCAATAGCCGCAAATATTAAGATGAAGAAGAATGTCGTGACAAATACCTACGCACAAAATTGAATGTTATTTCACTTTATGATGAAAAGTGTTCTTTTGAATCATTTCTGACTTATTTTATAATCTATTTAAGCCAAGTAAAGTGAACTATTTAAATTTAAACTTACACTTCCGAGCTTTTTCAGAATAGATAGTAAAACCTAGATTTCGAATAGATGACGTACGTCGATTAGCTATAGATTGTAATGTTTTGTCGATCTCTAATTTGTATTAAAAATTATGGCCAAACAATCTGAAATACCTCTAAGATATGGGAAACATTATGTGATTTGCAAATCAATCCCAAACTTCGGAGGCATCGAAATACTTGTGGAACATACTGTTAATTGGAAATCAATAAAATTTATAAAATGCGACGACTTGTTGCATGAATATGCTAGTTAAAAAGTAAATCATTTAATATTGAACACTGGCTGTTTTTTTATATTAAATCAGGTAATGTTATCGATATTAAAGAATAAGAGAATGGTTATTTAATATATATTCCTAAGACGAAGCTAGGCTAATGAATCGTTTACTTTTCATGCGGAGATTGCTTCGATTTCCTTTCAAAAGTTGCATCTAACTAAAGAAACTATGATTTTTAATTTACGATGGTAATTGAATGATATACGAGTATATCACTAATTCTTATTTTTACATAGTATAATACTTCAAACTAGATCGTTATATACTTAAAAAACTGTATTTATATTAGAAAGAACTCCTTTGCCGCAAATAGGGATTACGTATATTTCTTGTGGATGTATGCATATAGAATTGAAAATTGTTTCTGGATATAGCAGTAATTTCAGCCAGCTAGGGATATTGAATCTTGTAATGTTAATTTAAAATTTCTATGGACCAAATGATCTCAAAAACTAATAGTAGTGGCTACTAATATAGTAATGCAAAAATACAGCCGGGGGTTGCGTTAATACTTCATTACTTCGCGACTCAAACCCAATAATTGATGTTGTGATTGTTTATGAATTAATAGTAAATTAATCTGTTAGGCGATTAAACGAAACATGTTGGTTTGCGGTGTTCTGAGTTACATAATTAATTTTTAGCCATCTTATGGCTTAAATGATCAATTAGCGCATGATAAATTAGCGTACTGCATTATTCACTCATTTTTAAATTAATTTTCTATTTAGTATCGGATCGTCAAGATACTTACTGCTTCGGTATGCACGTTGATATTGAGGCAAATAAAATCAATTGTAAACAAGACCGTGAAGACAAATTCCACTCTGTAGAATTAAAAAAATCATAGTGTTATAACAATTGGTAAAATTGATATTAGCAAAACGAAAGTTTATCTATCACTAACGAATGAAATCATATATAAAGCAATTAGAATTTTAATTTACCGTCTCCAAAATATTTCATCTAACTGCCAAAATACGTGTGGCGTATAAAATACTATTTGCAGTGAAACATCCACGACATAGATGAGGATACATACTGCATTTAAAGCGATAACTACAGGATAGGTCTCCCTAATAAAATGTCATTAATAAAGCATTAAATAAGCATAACAATGCCAAAAGAAATACTAGATTGCAAATTGCAATGGGACAATCGGTGAAAATAGAAGAAATAATAGATACATATTAAAGATTAATTATATCAGGCTTACTTCACTGATGGCGGCTCAGCAAACTGCAATGCCGTATGTAGTATGATATTGACATACACAAGAAATAAAAACCATTTACTAGTAAAGATTTCAAAGCACAGTCTAGCTGTTTTAGGTTTAAACATAGCTCTAGCTTTGCCATAGCGACCTCTATTCGCATTTAAGTGATAAATAGAGAAAACAGGTAATTAGCTCCATTAATTGGTTAGTTAAACGCAATATGATTTTTAACGAATGAATACCGATCGTTGTAGGTAAAAAATACCTGTTGAATATAAGCTATCAAGTTATCAACTACAGCTACTATGTCTTAATATTGCTTCTAGAATTGTTAAACCCAATCTTGAAAGCAACTACTTATACAACGATTGTGCAATAATAGCTTAAATGTGATCTTACAATAGTAATCGTATATTTTATCTTATCCGCTACCTTAGATTTAAGGCATCGTCAATATGTGCCGCCGCTAATTTGAGTTGACGTTCTTCATTTTGTAATAAGTCAAATTTTCTAGTAAATTCATCTTTCTAAAATAATTTAATCGAATACCATTCCGATGTAAAAAGAAAAAAGAATTTCCAAATTAAATTGGACAATATTAGCGATAATCGCTTAAAAAAATTTGGACTATGGCAATATTAATTCATCTTCTAGGTCCGACGGAAACTATTCGTTAGTAGTGAGATACTCCATAGCATTTATCGATATTAACTCGATCTAGTATTGATATTAAAGATAATTTTAATTTTTATAACTTTACTGCGAAGATGGACTAACCGACTCTAAATGCTGATAATATTGAAGTACTTCAAAAATCGTATATGATATCTATACCGAAACATTGTCTATGGGAATTTCGTAAACGATAACAGTATTCCATGTTTTACCCGATTTCATAGCAAGATAATTCGCAAGATATTAAAGCTTGTAGGTTATAGCTATGATACGGTCGTTTAATGATTACAATCGACTTATTACTAGAACGAACTATAAATGTTAAAAAATGCATGACGGTTAAACATAATTGTACTGGAGATAAAGAGTTTATCCACTATCAGATCTTCCTTTACTCGATGTTTCTAAGAAGGTAATTGGATTTAACAAAGGCACGTTTTAAGTTTGTTTCCAATTCACTATTTTCACTAAGTAAGTTCTTTAAATAAGAGATCTGGCCTGTTAATCAATTAATAGTCTATAGCCTCCATACAGATATCAGAATTAGTGAAAAAGCTAGTGATATTGCTTTAAGATACGAAATTATCAAACTACTAACTCCTGAATTTCTATCCTTATGTAACCGATTATGCGTAATGATTATTTCCATATGGTGTTATTGAACAGTTAAGTTGAGGTAATATCATAACTAGCCCAGTGATTCTTTTCGATTGATATGAATTATCCAATCAATTTGGATAGATTTCTAATATTAGTATAAGAATAAAGGTAATCTAATGATTAGCAGTATTTGATTATTAATGATGAATGCCATGCGACTGACTTCCTCTACAGGTATAAAACTTAATGAAGAAGCCATGAAATTGTTATCACCTTTTAGCCCTAGAATAATGTTATTTTAAAGATAATTCAATACTCTGTTTATGATATGGTGTTGTGTTCTCGTTAAATCCTAATGAATGATGTGTTACTGAAGAAAAATCATCTTATCGAAGTGGATGATTCATTTATAGAATAGAGTATTTTAGTCTCTACAGGCGGTAACGTTGTATACTGTTTATGCTGTGTTTGACTAAGTACGCTTTATTCGATTATGGTATGATATTGCAGCCAGATGTAAAAAAAAAATTATTAATTTAAAGTGATATCAGACTACTTACACCGTCTGCTTTAGGCACTAATGCTAAAGCAGGTACAATAAATCCAATACGTCCAAAATTTTCGATAGATGGGCGACGTTCGAAACTTCTATTAGGAAATAAATGCTTATCTTGATTAAGTCCTAGCCAAGACGCAATACTATTACGATTGCTAACTGGCTCGGAAATTGTAGATTTTTTCCGTTTATGATTGGAGACATTATTTTTTCTGCCGATACAGTTAGCTTCGATATCGTGAACGCTGTTTCTTGGCATTTTATACCTACAAGCCTGAATTGAATGCAATGGAAATAGACAGTAATTACTTTGCTAATCAGTACTATTTATAATATCGACAAAATACAAGGCGATGATGTAGTTGATCGAACCTTCGCAGTTTGATTCTATTTTCATACAAGATTTTGTTTATAACACAATCTTGATACTCTACAGTTAGTTCCGACGAGCTAACGGAAGTTTCAAGTTAGAAATAAATAATGCAGTATCTGGCGTAGACTTGGAATCTGTGATGAATTCAATTTCGTTTATCAGAATGCAATATTAAAGAAAAAAACTTGCAGTACTGTAATCAAGGAAAATTATAGGAATAAACTAGAAAATAATTTGGCTTAATTTATAGGATATATTTAGTAAATGGAATATTCATAGTCATAAATAAACAGTAAGATCTCTCTTATCGCATATTAAAGCTGTAATCGACAACTGCTTGCATCAATGTCGAAAGCTGATCACATTTATAAAGGTAAGCAATGGTTGCCTTTAAGTCTAGATAAATTTAATCGGAAAATCAAAAAGGTTTCTGCATATACGTAAAGGCGATGATTAAATATTTTAGGAACCTTAACTATAGTCTATAGATAAGATGTGCTATAAGTTTCATCTCATATTATATTTAGCAGCAAATTTAATTTTGTATTCGATAACATATTAGAAAAAGATGTTAAATATCGATGATATAACACTGGATTCTTGAACTACTGTAGACTTAGTTTAATTTTCTGTTATTTAAAGCAACCTGTATGAATGTTATAATGGAGCTAATCGATGGCTAAATGCATACGCTTATTATCAGATATAGAAAGAATCAACCCTTACACCTATTCTATTAATTGATCAATCTTTACATTTGCAGAAAAAAACTTACTCGATGTCGTTGTCGTTGATTGAATATTGATAACAAATTTAGAAATAGAATAATAGAAAAATTTTAGGATACCAATTAATAATATTTCGTCGTTAGTTATGTCTTGTTGCAAAATAATTGTTTTACTGCTTTTTAGGCTATTTTGCCCATTTTCATTACTTGTACTAAATCATATACTATATGTGTCCACATAAATGTAGACAGTGTTTTCTATACAGCCAGCGACTAGTACAAAGGATATAAGATAAAATACGGGAGAAAGAGTGAAGAAAAAATACAAAGTTGCTTAATATTCCATGCATAAATTATTTATCAGTTAAATGACAATGACTTTAAAGACAAAGCATTGTCTTATCTAACGTGATCATAATAAATTATTTTATTTGTTATTTTTCTATTGTCTCTATATCTGCAATTGTTATAACCTATCGTATGAGTAAGATTACTTCTAATGGAAATCCAACCGATTTGGTTGCTAAGCGACTGTTATTCTTTATTTGATTGAATAATTCTCTATAGCTACGGTGTTGCACAGTGCCATACTGTTAAAAATATGCAACTTTTAATTGTGTTTCAATCCAGTCCACCCTTCACTTGCATTAATTTTGACGTTTCTACTATAACATCCTTCAACTATTGCCGCAACTTAGGCATCAAGCATAGTTGTGTTTAGAATAGTCATACTATGCCGATGATTAGGCAGTTATGCTACATTATTCAAGGTATCTTATAATAACAAATAAGACAATAGTGTTTTTGGCTAGGCTACTCATCATTAGATTTCGTTTACTACGCTACGGAGGTGTGATAAATATTGCCGTTAAGTCGTTAAGAGTATGTTATCATCATGATAAAGGTATGATCATCAAGGCATAGGATACATGCGATGTCTCACAAACTATTTATGAATAATTATGTGCAATAATAACGCATAGTTATAATACAGACGGCTAATTAGGATAGCGGTAATATCTTAAAGTTTAGCTATTACAATTATTTCTAAAAAAGAATAATACAGCTTCTAGATATTAGTTAAAATACCAGTTATTATCATTACTTAACGTATGCATTATAGTGGTAATCATGCAAATGGAAAAGCTAAAGTGGTTGGCAGAAGCTTAACTACTAGAAAGGCGATAAATTTGAGGCCTTGAAATCAGTTGATGATAGTAAGGATATATAAATATTCATTCATATAGTGGTAGATAAATACATGCCTACCCATACAGTATATTGTCATAATATCGTGAAAAACTTAGTTTCCACAATTCGCCTATGTCAGGATCGTATTATATTATGAAGAGTGCCAATAAAATATCAGTAATTATTATTTTACATTCGTATAGCTGTAGTCATTATCCAAATAGAAAAATCTTAAAGTTTAAAAAATTGATAATGGTATCAATATTATAAAGATTTAATTATTAATAATCGAAATATTCATACATGTGATAACCAAGAACAATGATGCAATTACGTAGAAATATCGCAATGGCCACTTATTTTTCTTTACCGACCACATATTTATCGCCATAACATATAGTACACTTGACCTTGATACATGTACAATATAAACTTCCCAGAAATGCGTTTTAAAAATTTATGATGCCCTCTCGGAGTAACAATAACAGTTTCGTAATCTGTACATATCATGTACGTAAATATAATATTACAGAACTAAATCGCATTTAGTAACGAACAGGAACAAAACAGCAAAAGTACTTGTAACTGATATATCAATAGCAACCTTTATCAGTGTATAAAATACCTAAAACAGGCTTACCCTGATACTGAGCAGCAGTTGCTGATTCAATTATCTACATATAAGTATATTCGTACCTTGATATTTTATCTAACCAGACATAATAGCGAATTTGCTTACTATTACTATCTTGAAAATATGTAATACAAGCTTTCACTAAGCAAATCCAATGCTGTGACTGATACTTCGTTGGATATGATCATTTTGTATCTAACAGCAACCATGTAAAATTATGTCTGGTGTTACGATCAGTATTCCTATCTGTGCAAGTATGATCGGTCACCATGCGCATTGAAACCGTATTCATGAGTGTTAAGAGCTAGGTAATAGCCCTAACCTGCAACAAGGATTGAGAGCTTAATTTCTATCCTGTACTACTGCTATTTGGAATAGCAATCAATTGATATTCCAAGGCAAATATCCTATTAAATTTACTGTATCAATTTTTAAAATAATCAAAGCTTTAATCTTAGTTTAACAGATACATACAAAGCTATCCTACTAAGATATTTCCTCTAAACTTAGAAATTGTAGTTTGAGCCTTGAGAACTTTGGAGGTGATAGATACAACAATCTAGTTTAACTGGTTGGCGATTACTACTTTAGTCTACGTAATCCTAAATTAAGGATATCGACTGTTAACCACTATAGTTACAATTAAGGAGACCGTAAAACATTTCTGAGATATAAACATATATAGAACGTAACATAGAAATAAAGTATACGTCCCGAAGATTACTTTCGTGACAATGAGATACAGAAGTTAAGCGGCTGCTTCTCTGCCTTAACACCGACAGATCGAAAATTCAGAACTGTTTACTGAAATTACTTTCATGGCATGATTAATACATCCAATTCTCTTTGAATAATCCAATAGATTCAAGAAAATCTTTAAATGAATTATTTCATTCAGGAATTCGTATATTTTATTGAGCCACTTAAATTGAGAAATCATAGGTACATTAGGGGCGTACAATGTCAAAACTATCACGCTATTCGACAACATACGCACGCATTCAGAACAATTTACTGTATTACGCAGTAAGTGAATAAGATGGTTAAGATAATTACTACAGTTAGTATTGAGTCTACGATGAAACAGCCATTTCATTACAATATGATGATGACTAGATAATATAAAGCTATCGAAGTTGAGCCAGTACACGACACTTTATAGATATCTACCTAAGTAAGCTTTTAAGTGGCTAGAAATAGGGAAGACCGTTACACCAAAGAATAGCTTTAGCTATGCTATATGCCTTCATAAATCAGCAATGAAAATGTTAGGACTTCACCTTTACCTTGAATTTTAACGGCTAGTTAACAAAACATGTCAAAGTACCATTAATTGGCTTCCATTATAGATTATCAAATTATCATAACACGAGTTAAAGTTTAGAAACTGAAGGCGCCTTCACCATAGTTTGATCCTGCGAAGGTTGTTCATTACCCATGAAACCTTTCATGAATTCAATGGGCAATGGGAATATAATTGTTGAGTTCTTTTCCGATGCAATCTGGGATAATGTTTGCATATAACGTAACTGAAGGGCAGCAGGCGATGCAGATATTACATCAGCAGCTTCCTTAAATGCTCTTGAAGCGTTTTGTTCACCTTCAGCCGCAATAACCTAAACGCAAACAAGTCGATGAGCATTACTATTTTTTGTACTTTCATTTGTGAAATTATAATAGCATACAGTACCTTAGCTCTAGCCTCTCGTGTAGCTTCCGCCTCGGCGGCCATAGCGCGTTGGAGTTGTACTGGAAGGCGGACATCCTTTACTTCTACACGTTCGACTTTTACTCCCCAAACATCGGTAGCTGAATCTAATGTAGTCTTTTTGTCAAATAAAATAGCAATGTTAAAAACCAATCGACAAGTCAATTCATAATTTCTTATCTTCTAGTTTTAGACATATTGGCCAAAGATGGACTACCAGACGAAAATATTAATTTAACTACAAATACACTCAACAGTAAGTAGATCTTCTAAGAAAATAAATATTTTCTTACCTGCATATAATGACTAATTTGTTCTCTGTCAGCTAAAACTTCAGTCAAATTTTTAGTACCCAAAACATTTCTTAGGGTTGTTTGTGCTAATAATTTCGTGGAACGATCTGCATCGGCAACGTTAGTAACAGACATCGTCGGATCAAAGATTCGGAAATAAACGACTGCGTCCACAGCAACAGTTACGCTGTCTTTTGACAGTATCTACATTTTACAAAGTCCATAGATTCCATTATTATGAAGTATAATCTCGGTTAATAAACGTACCATATCGATAACTACCGTAGTACCAATGCACGTTTTACTGCTGCGTTCTGTTGTATATGGTAATCAATAGAGAGCACTATAGTTTACCTCTTGCGGTGGAACATCGAAGGACACGGTACGCAAGTCGACTTTAATGTAGGTGTCTGTGCATGGAAGAATAAAAAACAACCCTACAAATGTAAAACGATCAGGCTTAGTATCAGCAAATATAATGTGTTACAAACTTTGAATACAAAGGTTACTGCGATCGTAGGTTTGTACATGAGTAGAAATCAGGCATAATATGTAAATTCACTTATAATGCTTTACCAGGTCCTTTAGCCCCTCCTTGCATAAGGCGACCCAATCTAAAAATAACAGCTCTTTCGTATTCTTGTACGACCTAAAGAGTTATGGAATTAGACAATCAGGTAATGTCCGATCACTTAATACTTGGATTTTAACGACTCTAATAAATAGACGTGTAGTTTGTCATCTTTCAAAATATTGTGTACATAAGATCTAGCTAGCCGCATATGTTACATTTTGAGCAGAATTAACGCCTGTTTGAAACATTTTCGTATAATAAAAAAAATTTTAGAGTCGTGAGGTTACAGCAACTGAGGTTATTAGTTATTCAATGAGAAATATGTCATCTTCAAACAAACTGTTGTACAGAAAATTATAAATTGCTAGCCTATTATGCGTGTAAACGTAATGGTGATTGTGATAATAATTTTATAAAGATCCTCCATTACAGGATACTGTTAAATCATCCGCTATCTCCATTAGGAATAATACGTACCTTGATACACATGAAAATCGAGACTGGTAAGGTTGCTAACATTACCAGGAAGGAAATCGCCATTAGGATAATTCCACAGCAACCATATCCTTCCTCAGTCGAAGGAGCTATAAAATTAAATATTTTAATGCATTTTAATTATCAAAGTTGTTCAAGTGACACGATTGCGAATAGTATTACCATAGTCACTAGTCGTTTAAATGTTGAGGATACAGTGCTCGCTCAACAAACTATGACGCTATAACATTAAGTTTAAATAAGTATCACCCAACTTAGAATAGTCTAACATGCACATCTAACCATTATCAATTGTCTACTTGCAGTCGACTCAATGACGGGTAGGAATAATTCAGAGAACAAAATACCGTACAAATGACATTATGAAATACGATAATTAGTAGAATTGAAGCGTGTAAAATGGTCGTTCGACTCGTTAATGAGCACCAGTCGATATACGGATACTCTTTATTGATATTAATTTACAGTTCTACTAAGCTATAGTATACTGTACAGTAAACATAAGAACCAAAAGTGTAAGTATTTAGTTTACGCTACTTTCCGTAAGTCTAGTACAATATAGTGTCGAAGTGGATTGTGCAACCATCGAGTAAATCTACTGGTATTGAGACTTGCGCAGTACGAAAATATAGTAATCTTTACTACAAATAATTGGCAGTACAGTAATCTTAGATTGCAGGGCTTCCATGGGGTTGGACTGGATTAATTAATTAATATTAAATATGCTAATTAATAAATTTTCTTCCATAGCAACGGCCGCTATCCTATACAGACGTCACTGTCAAAATCACTCCAATCGATCTGGTTTAACTATTCATATTTATTTTCTTGTCGGGACTTTATATTGCATTGACATATAGTCAAGACAAAAAAGTATTTTACCTATTGACTCTAACATTCCCAATTCCGTAATACCAAGTGGCAGGATCACTATTTACTGCTACGAGTAGACTGGTGAAGAAAATGAACACCGATGCCCTGGTAGAGGGGTATTACTGTACCCATAAATATACAATACGTAGAAAGAGACTCGCGTACACCGAATACAATAATAATTATAATTAGCATACCGTAACAGAAATTTGCTTTACTTCTTGTTTCTTAAATTAATAAGTACAGGTCAATTTTTCTTAATTACTCAACTGCTGCTGCATGATGTTCTTAATGTGAGCATTTCTTCACATGCATCCAGTACGTTCTTCGACTACGATTGTTTCACAAGAGGTAGAACATAATTGTATTACAATTAAGTGACTTTCAAAATTAAAAAACAAGATGTCCTCATAAGCTCGACTACAGTAGTTGAGGAATATGATTGCCTTTACGGTAGGTTGTGCAGTGATGCCTAACTACAGTGTTCTACCAGATAAGATAGAGCGTAACAGAGTTGAGAAGTGATGATTGCTTGTTATACGCATGTTTCGACACTTGATAACTTGACACCTTTCACGTCCAGATACGTTTAAAATTTGGATAAATCAAAATATCTATGATATAAATTAGGGCAAGTGAATTTAAAATAGCCGCGTCCTATCGTGCTTGATTTCGACTTCATTCTTGAATATTTCAATAAATATATCTTGCCACCGGGTTGAATTATATGTAGCTAATGTACACCAAGTAATACTGTAGGAAGAACTTTGATTACGTTACATTTTCAGCAGGGTTTCATCAAAATAACTATCTACACAATCTTGTCAATAGCACATTAAGTTAGTATTTAATAATAACGGTAATCCTGTCCATACTAACTACGATATAATATAGGCACAGTTGATTTGGTATATCTATTTTGTTCTAAAAGTCTGTAGCATCTTTTTTTGATGACATAGTAATTTTTTGGAAGAAGAAACAATCAGATTCCAACTGCTGTATGATGAGTAGCTCGTATTTTCACATCTACTTGAGTTGACTGTAGGCTATAAAATACTAATTAATTACGGGTGAATAAGATTTCGATTTTTTACAGATCTCTATGGTACAGTGAAAGAATGACTACACTTTTTAATTGATTGTGGAGTACAGCTAGGGATCTAAAAGTAGGGATATTTGCCGGCATTGGCTTTGACGGTCTTTCTGTAACTCACTATTACTACAGGCTATTATCATGGCCATTGGACAGGTACAGCAGCTGACTAGACGATACTAGTTGATATGGTAATGTAAGTCGTCTCTGCTGCAAAGTACTGCAGAGTAGCTTATGAAAGTAAATGAACCAATCTCTAAACGAGTAAAATGAAATTGTGAAGGATTTGGAGCAATTTGCAATATCCTTAATGTGCAGCATTGGCCACTCATCCTATGGCAGTACCGGGGACTTCTTGTAATAATAATTATTATTACTATTCTGCAGTATCTTAGTGGGAGTGCCTGACAGTCGAGTCCTTGCAACAGCGGAGAAGGCCACCGTTACGTTTCCACTCTTAGTCGATCGTGATTAAGGGTTAAGATTGCTTTTTCTGTGTTCGACTACTGCCACTCTATTAAGAGATAATCATTGAACGACGGTTGATTGACTTGATTCATCAATATCGTACTGTATATACTATACTGTATCCACAATTCAAGCAATGCAATATGCAATTTCCATATGTCTCCCACTAGCGAAATTGGGTCAGCTTGGAATGCGCTCATTGCCATATATTGTCTAATGTTATCGACGCTTCCAAACTACAGCAGTACTACCAAGAATTGAATTCATTGCGCTAACTCTCAGCATATAGTATTTAATGAATTCATATGATAGCGCCATGAATAATATAATTTACTTATCCTGGTGTGTACCTATCGTCCACACAGGCTCAACCTATCGTGATGGAACCGACTTGGGGTATTATGAGTGTCAACAATGTACAGCTTAGTTTGCGCCATTTCTTTCCCCCTCTTTTCTTATTTTGGATACAAAAAAAATAACTTACGTCGAGTGAAGCCAACACTTTCACTTCTAGGGTTTATTTCGCGCTGAGATATTTCTCCTTTATCAGCCATTTTACTATTTCCCAGCGAGTTTCCAAGGAAGATTTCAAAGTGGGTAAGCAAGCGAAGGAAAAACTTGGTGCACTAATGAAAGCCAAGTGTGAACTGTTACGCTACTGTCTATACACTGTAGAACTGGCTATCCAAGTACTGTATACACGGTACAGTACTGAATGATACGGTAATGGCGACGGACAGACAAAATACGGCAATTGACCCTTATTATTCTTGAAGCAGGAGTCACGGTAGTGGTTGGGAAGGTGAACTGTTTTGAAGACGAACTTCTCCTTTGTCAGTCTATGGTAACAATACTACTTGACAGTGTACAATGCAATGCAGTACGTGACAGTAGAATCTCTCTTTGGATGACAATCATCGCTGCTTCAAGCTTGGCTTTTATAGAGTTCTTCATGAGGTCATGTGACGCCTACAGTGTTATTTTTAGAATAGTAGCCCATCCTAAAACTGTATTGGACTGTACGAACGATACGGAAGGCTTCACAGTATGGCTTGTGTTTCATTGCATAGCAAAATGCACGCTGTACTATCAGTGTACAGCGTACTGTACTGTACAGTGCAGCAGTGACAAGTGCAGTGTACTGTACTGTTATGTAAAAATGTACTGTAGTGTATACCGTACCGAAAGTACAGTAGAAGGTGTTTTAAGCTTTCGCTTAACGTTACGGTTCATTACGGTACGATACCGTAATACAATGACGTCATGTAGTCCCTTCCTTCGCCTGCCAAACTAAAATGGCTTAGTCACATGACTTAAAAACAATAGTACTAGTAACTCTACAGTACACTACTTAGCAAAGCGAGTTTCCAAGCCAAGTGGAAATCCTGCTTTGCACGCTTGGAAAGTGAACAAGAAATTGAACCTATTTCAATCTGAATCATTCTATCATCTGATTGTGGGATATTGCTGCAAAATAGAGAAATTGAAGATAGATTAGGAGAGTGAACCTGACGTTCACTGCAAAACGGCCAAAACTCATGAGCTATGAATGATGATAGCTATCCATTGGTAAGCGAGGTGATCTCGTCTGCAATAGATTGTATTTCAATCCATCTAAACTGCACTACCATCATGCTTGATCATTTCCTTCACACTTTTATCGTTATTGATGAGCGAGTTCAAGTAGCACATTCAATGGAGGAGGTGGATCCGAGCTGTTACAGTAGTTAATATCATGACATAAGGATGCGTGGAGATTGACAATTACCAATTGAGCAACCGGCATATTGCCATGCTGTGCTGCCGTATGCAACCGTTGTTAATCAATACTATAAGAGTAAATGATAGTCTGTCCAAGTGCGCAAGTACTGTGTCTTGTTTTCATTTATTTTACCATCGCGACCAGAGTAGGAGTAGGATAGACAGTAATAGTCCAGCGATTGCAATCGTCCACCCAGACATTGAACGAGTATTCCTACAGGACACATTAACACTAGACTACAGGAGAGCACAGTAGTAATACCAACTGGATTGATTGATTGAATAGTCTATTGTATCATTAGTCTACAGTAACCAACAGTATTTCCATGTTGAAGCTTTGTATACAGTAGGTTTGCCTGAATAGTAAGGGAAAAATTTTGAAATCACTTTATCTTTCTTTTCAAGTAGAAGATAAACAGATCCAATCGTTTAGTATAGACTAGAGTGACTATTAGAATAGACAGCCATTGAATTGTAGATATTTGGATACAAGTTGTAAGCCCGATTAACGTGGCAAAGCGCTCAATCCAGCCCGTGTAGTACTGTAGAATTGAGAGGTAAGGTACAACATGCAGTAGGTAGATTCGTTATTGCTAAATTAAATCCAACAACAAAAACATGGCTTTAGATCAACGCCTTTCATGTGCTATTTCTATGTTGAAGGACAACCTATGTAGGACGGATGAACTAATTGATTTTACTTTATCATCCATCATTTGAGATCGCTACTGCAATAGAAAATAGTCATTAAAATGCAGTTGTTATGAATTCTTACCTATAGAGAAGTTGATACAAGTTGCTAGCTATCGAGTGATCAAGTTGAAATGTTTATCAATATTCGTATGTAGTTTAGTTTACGCTAGCAAGTTGATTTGGCCGACTTTGGAAATCAATTTTGAAACGACCTCTTGCATAGGATTAATATAATTTAATTCTATTCTCCACTACTTTAGATTAGTAGCGGAATGGCTGCTAAAGAAGAAATTGGATTCCGTGAACTTCCTATACGCTCAGAGCAGGCAGTATTTAATCGAGGTAAAACATATCTATATCTAACCTTACAGGAATCCATTCGATTAAACTTTTAATCGAATTGATCCTCTTCGTCAACTTTCGTAGACAGTATTTACTGACAGTGATACAGTAATTAGGTTCATCATCATTTGTACAATTTTTGGATGTATGTCGAACAGGTAACTTTAATACAACTCGTACTACTGTATCATACATCATCACCAGTTTATTCCACAATCATGCTTTGCTAACAATGATTGAAAAAAGTGATTTTCTTAAAAATGAGATCCCAAGTGATTGATACACCACAAAATTCATACTATCGCTAACATCTCTGATTAATTGTTCACAAATTGCCGATCGATAGAAACAGCGATGATGTTGTTGTACTGTACACATCTTGAAGTTCTTGAAAGTTATTAAATACGCAAAAACGATATATGGCATAGTATATCTTATATATAGGCAGCAAGGGTCTTATTGGCACCTTGCTGAATTTTCATCGCTCAAGCCAAATTATGATGAAACATTGAATATGTACAACAACAAATTATAAAGTTCATACGATAGATACTCTTAAAAATACAGTGTGTCAATACTTCACTGACAAGATTTTCGCTGAATATTTGGAAACACTTGACTTCCATAACAACGTAGATGATTAACTATAATACTTTGAAACTTATTTCGTTACAATGCCATCTTGCTGTTACAGTAACATTTCTGCACTCATAAGTCATTCCAAGATGTACATGATACACACTGTATAATATCGTCCAAATTTATCTTGCTCTAGATGGTCCATCTCTTTAAATAAGCCATGTACCGATAAGCACTCTTGTCAATTTTTCCCTTTTCTAATACAATACTTAACTTGAAAAATAATTTTTACCGTTTAGATGCTGAAGCTCAATCTAACTACGGAGTTTGTGGAAATATAATTCTGATTATCTCCTACATATTTCTCATAATCACTTTTCCAATCATGATCTTCCATTGCATTAAGGTAGGAAATGTTTTATGTCCTGTTGATGACACGCTACTCAATATATTAAACCGTTTAAATCAAATCAAACCATAATCAGGTGTATAAATAGATAAATTGTATTCGGTGTGCTATTTCTAAACTAGCAAAGTTACCGTTCGATTTTTAATTTAACACATGCCGTTTACACACACATGATCTAATGCACATTCAGTTCGCAATGGTCGTGATGCCAGATGGAATATATCATGGCAAAATTTCTTGATTCATCTTATTGCCGTTATACTGTAGTTAGGCCGTTTGTTTGCTGTTACAATTCTACAGTATAAATCGTTGTAGCTTACTGTACACTTCAGCAAGGGGTTTTTTGTAGAAATTTTTAGTAATGTCCTCACAATCATCGGATGAAGTACTTTAGAGGCTCTGCTTTTCAGTACAGTAATAAGGCCCCATTAATAGTGGATATTGGATATAAAATTGTAGTGATGCTGAAATTTTTGGAGGTTAGGTTCGTTATTTTTTAACGGTATCTTTTGTCAACAATAATTGACTATGTAAAATATCGGTCAGCCAGATGGTGTAATTGCTAATTTTAGTATGCTACATACCAGTAAAACATATTTAATTTCTCTCATGCGATAGTAAGCAAACAAATTACATTTTAAATCATTTAATCATTCGTTACAATCCTGGATAAAATACGGAAAGCTATGCTATCGCCAACCATGTCTATGTAAGGACACTTAGTCATGTTATTTCCGATTATGGGCTTGTTGGCTAATTTTAACGTAACAAAGACTTCTCGATTGGATCTTGGCCAGCCTATTGTTCATTGTACTCTTCTAACGTTCTACAGTGAACAGTTGCTAAGCTAGACATTGCAATACATGCTGAAATGAATAATTATATTTACCTCTCACATTTAATCTCTTTTCGAAATGGTTTTCTGCCATAATACGTCCTTACCATTAGTCAGCACTGTTTCATTGATGCAAGCTTTGTCGTAATGTTTTTTTCTTAGATTGTACAAGAATATGAAAGGGCAGTAATGTTTCGATTAGGCAGGTTGCTTTCTGGTGGTGCCAGAGGACCAGGTATAAGATTTGATTGCTATTTAATTTAACAAACTATCCTGATAATCTAAAAATTGAAGTAAATTAAAGTTATTGACAATTGCTTTCAACTGCAATACGTACGATACCAAGCAAAGCACATTAGTTATCGGTTACCCTCTCCGCGTAGTGTACAACTCTTGATTGTTACTGAAAAGTCATAAGTTGCAAATGAAGGATTCTCTTTCTATCTTATAGAAATTTCAGTAAGTAGTGCCCCGTCTCTACATATAGATTAACACAATTTTTGTACGAGCGGCTAGCGTATATTGAGATTCGTTCAAATTTTGTCGTTTTTTAGCTGTACTGTACTTGAGAAGTTTGGTGAATCAGGCGTCACGTAATTGGATAAATATTTTGCTATGACTCAATTTATGTCTTAGATTTGACTCCCATGATCACGTTAATGCTACTTCATTATCAATTAGCACCAATAGCTGCAAATTACTAAATTTATGGCGTCTATTCTAATATGACTTGCTTGATATTAACGTAGTTTTAGTAAGATCCTACCTATTTCATGTTGTCTAATTAGGATTATTTTGGATAAATCCTTGTACTGATAAATATCACAAAATCGACTTGCGTACTGTCGCCTTTGATATTCCGCCTCAAGAAGTAAGTCCGATAGAAATCGTAATTATTATTGATAATTGCCTTTGTGGGTAATACTCTGGATGCAATTTTGTATCTTGAATTATACATATTACAATCACATTGGTAGAGAAATAATTGTTTTTATGGAACTATTGGAAAATTTTATGCAAAGATTGATTAAATGATTTTATTTGCAATATATGTCAGATTTTGTCTAGAGATAGCGTGACAGTTGCAGTTGATGCAGTTGTCTATTATCGCGTTTGTGATCCTACTATGGCTGTAATGAATATTGAAAATTTCGATGTATCAACGCGCCTACTTGCTCAAACTACTCTTAGAAATGTTTTGGGTACCAAAAACATGTCTGAAATATTATTAGATCGAGAAACGACTAGTCATCAAATGCAGGTATGCTGCAAGTTATGAAGCGTAATAACTTCGCAATGTTAATCATATGGCAGATTTAAATTGGAAGATTCTTGTTTTTCTTATTATATAACTCAATTTCATATGCAGTCAGTTTTGGACGATGCTACTGATGCCTGGGGAATTAAAGTTGAACGAGTCGAAGTGAAAGATGTTCGCTTGCCTGTGCAATTACAACGTGCTATGGCTGCGGAAGCTGAAGCCTCTCGTGAAGCTAGAGCTAAGGTATCAAATATCTTTATATGAACGACCTAGATATATTATTGGTAGATTCCTAATAGTGTCGACGATTTAACGAAATGATTACACTGTTTTGTAATTAAAATTTGGCGTTGATTCGTAGGTTATCTCGGCTGAAGGAGAGCAAAACGCTTCAAGAGCACTAAAGGAGGCTGGCGATGTTATTGCTGCTTCTCCAGCGGCATTGCAATTAAGATATATGCAAACTTTAACGCAAATCTCAAGTGAAAAGAATTCAACCATTATTTTCCCAATTCCAATAGATTTAATCAGGGGCTTTATGGGTAGGGGTACTACACCGAAAGCAAAGAGCTACAAGCCAGAACCCAGATTTGCAACCACTGCTAGTATTGGATCCACTGAGTCAGTAAGATCTCCTCCTATTCCGGATATGTAATAAAATCTTTAATACGTATTTCTGGTCGTCAAGCACTGGCTTATCGTATGACGATTTATAACTGTAGCTGCTGTATAGTACAAAGTCATGTGGGTCTTTTTATCTACGTAAATGACAAAAGTCAGCATACTAATTGAAAGTTAACACTCTCGAAACTGATGACTTAAACTATGCTGTTTTTTATCTTAAAGTTTGCTATTAATGTTATCATCTCTTTGCCATTGAAAAATTTATCTATGGAATTTTCTATCGATAAAATTATTAAGCAATTTAATGCCTGGTCATGGTGAAGTCATGATCAGTAGAATTAGTCATTATCTATTATAGAAATTGCCAAATAAATGAAAATAGAAATTTAACATGAGCCTCAAGCAGAATTTGAGTGATAATCCAGTACAGTCGATTGTTGGCCTTTAAGCAGTTAATTGAAATGTATTACTTTTCAAACTGTGATTAGTCTAGGAAATTAATAACTTATATTTTATACGCTTATTAAGGAAATAACGATAAAGGATATATTATTAGAGAGAACGATTCGATACAACATCTACCAGTAGTTAACACGTTCATTAGCATGGATCGGTGGGTCATTTGTTTTGAATCGAGAAATTTATAAATTAGATACTCTAGTATGCATACTGTTGTTTACCTGAATTAATTAAAGCAATGAGCGGATAATGCTTGCGTCAATAAAATACTCGTATGCAGGAACAGCCTCGCTATTTCCGTATTAATTGAGGGATAATTTATAGTCCGAGTTTTCTATATTATGACTCGTATTCCAAAAATGCTTCTGATGTCAATCATTTACGTTGTAACTTGGATTTAAACTTAGCTTGTAGAATGATTTATGGTGAAGTTTCAGTGAGTCACAAGATGCTTAACTAAGATTGAAGATCTTAACCACGATTGTTACTTTATTAATGAATTAGCTAAGTATTACTATAATATTCAAGGTAGATTTGGTGCCATGTTTACCTTATTTTTTACCATACTAGATCTATTAGTCCTAATGCCTAATCTAGCTATCTTCTTGTTCATTATTTTGGAAACACTTTATCACTAGTAGCTTTTAGTAAATAGTTTTACATACTAATTAGGAATTTACTCTAGTCTTACCAGAGCTTGTTCCTCAGCTCCATTACCTCAGTGATACTGATTTATCCTAGTACAAACCTGCTTGTAAATACTAAAACATTATCATTAAGCACATACTCGTATCACTATGAGCTCAGTAAATTTTTAAACACGGCGTCAACTTAATCTAGTCAAAGCTTGTTATTTACTTAAATTATACTCGAAGCATTCAAGAGCCAAAACGTAAGAATTTACTATAAAGCTAAGGATCATAGCTATAAAATTGATATTTCACCGCTATATTAACTAAATTTCGACCAATTACGGTAAAGATACGGACAGAAGTCCTATGAGCATCTATTAAATATTATACAAGAGATAATATAGAAGTAGCGATAACTTGCTACAAAATTGAGCCTAGAGAATTGTTCTACTACATTTACTATGCTTAAAAATTTTAAGCAAACAATATGGTAGCTAGTTAAAATATAAGCGTTAAAACTATGCCCATAATAAATACATACTTGTATACATGAACACACAAACACATACTCACTCAAGAGCAATCAAAATTAGTAAGTTTAGCTAAAAATAAATAAGACAAAAGTACTTGGAGTTACAATGTTCTTATGATAGCCACAAGAACTGCAGTATAATTATTTATATTCTTAGTAAGAAATAAGGACACCACTACATTTTTCCGAAGCATGCACGAAATTACTTACAGTCCTTCTTATTCTTTGCTATTTCAAGACAACAAACTTATAGTAAATATTATTTCTTAATGCGGATTAAATATTCTTCTCTGTCGGCATAGAACAAACTGTTTCTGATGTTACTGTATTTTGATATAATATGGCTTGTAAAGCTACTATGCTCATGTTAAAGTTAAAATTGTACAACAGCGGTCAATATCTGCTAATATCCATATCAAATACAATTCATTCATTAGCTTTGAAATGCTATCAATCACGTTACTTTTATGAATCTCGACGTAATTTGCTATGAACACAATTCCAATACGCTTTACAATCTTTATGAAAAGATTTGCTAAAGAAAGTATATAAAAAAGGATTCATGCAGGAGTTTAGCGGAAAAATAAAGACCATAAGGAACTTTGCCTTGCTAACTGAAATTAATTTCAGGCCAAAAACAGCACTTAAGCCAAAAACGGCGATGGGAGCCCAACATAAGAAATCAACGAAAATCAATATTAACATTCTACGAGCAATAATTAAATCCGTTCGATTTGCGGTATTTCTAGTAATAGCGCTATTGGAATAGTGGACAACGTAAAAGATGTGTAAATAGCAACCCATAACTAGAATGGTAGCCATTCCATTTAATGTTAAAATCACGGCCATATATAATTTACCAACAAGCGTATCGATATCAGATGGTAGGCAAATACATGTCTTAGAATAGCTGTTCACATGGAGTAGTGGTAGAGTGGCCAAGGTAAGACCAAATATCCATCCGATCAGCATGGCTATGCATGCACCCCGCAATTTTAAATGGCGCTTGTAATACATTGCATTAGTCACCACCATATAGCGTTCGATGGTAATCATAAGCAAGGTATAAACTGATAATTCCGTAGAAAAGACTGCAATAAATCCTGCTAACTTACAACCAGCGCTAAGTTGCCAAGCAATTGCAAAGTTGGCGTAATTATCAGCAAAGATAGCATCGATTGTCGCCATGGTACCTAAGTAGAATCCCATGCACAAATCGGCGATGGCTAAATTACAAATAAGAAACTTAGTAATAGTAAATTTTAATGGGCTTCCATAGATAACGATGAGAACCAGGATGTTACCAATTGTAGCTGCAATAAACATGAACCATTCTGGTATTCTTAAATACCAATCACCTAAAATATTTTCACACGGCGTAAATTCATTGGGTTGTGGCCTACAAATGACAGGTGATTGACCACCATAACCACCTCCAAGATTCATTAAGTCAGTGTAGTTAATTAATGATAGATTTTGATTGTACTGGATTAAATTGATTACATCTTTATTCAAGGTAGTTTTATTACCGACAAAACCTCCACCACCTTGATTAACTAGATCTGTTTTAGAAGTAGGCGGTAAAATAGACGGAAAGAAAAAGCCTGGTGGATCTGTATTAGTCTTGTTTCCGTTAGGTTTCCAGGGGTTGTCGCTCCATGGCCATGAATATGTTATTGCATCATTGAATGTATTCGACATATTTTCCAGCCCTATATATTCTCTATAACTTCTAGTCTCAGTCCCATTAATAGACTGATTGTGCTGCAGACGCAGTTTGGTAAGTTCACTTTGAAATATACAGCAAAGATACGGATGATGGACTTGAATATTACGGATGAGTGGCACTTTTAATGGCTTTGGCAAACGAATAAAAGACCGAGAATCTGCATCTAATGAGCGCAAACTGATTAGACCATTATCAGCTCGATTTACATCTGAAGGAAAGTTTAAATGGGTAATATAGGTACCAGAAATATTTCTGTAAAAGAATAAAAAGTCCATTGAGTGATTTGTTAATAGTTTGTATTTCGAAATTGAATGGTAAAATCTAATAAATCAATTCAAATATTGTAAGTAACTCTTGAGGAAAATTCTAGAAACGAATTTATACCTAGAGGCCGATGCATACGTAAACATTCACGCCTAATACCTTTACCAAACATGGTTTTTATGTAGCTACGATAAGTTGCTATTTACAGTCCTCTCACTAAAAATTAAACACTATAGACTGCTTTAACTAAGATGCATTTACGATGACAGCTCGATCAAATGAATACTTACAGCTTCAACATAGCAGGAGTAGCAGGATAGAAGTGTTCAAATGCATTAGAATGAAGTGAATTCAATGGATTTCTGCTTAAATCTCTGTAAATAATAACGTAAATCTGTTCAGAGTTTATATAAGAATTATTCATGAAATCATTGTCGATGGCATAGAACTAGAAATGAAGCATATAAATACTGCTAAAGTTGCTCGTTCTGTATCTAATTTAATACAAAATCTTTATTAGCAATTGCAAGTAAATTTCTATCCAGAATGATAAACAAAATCGAGCTCCATTAAAATTCTCTTCAATTGCTAAAAAGTTCTAAGATGAGGCTCTTGTTAAAAAATAATTCACAATACGTTGCACGTAGTTACATGATAATTTAAAGATTACCGTAATTGCAGAATTTCTGCATATAATTTTTAACCAGATTTTCTCGGAATAGAATTAAAATAAAAATTATTTGAAAAATCATCAATCCTTAAAACTATATTTAAGTTCCTTTGATTATAATAATTATTGTCGGACCATGAAATTACTGGATAGGATCTTTATTTCATTCACTGATCATTTTACTTTAAGAGTAGTATTTTCTTACATTGATATGCCAAGATGACTTCCGGCGTTTGCAAAAACATGTTCCTGTATGCTTACGATCTTGTTGTCTGATAAATCACTTATCAAAATAACCGCGAATAATTAGAAGAGCAAAAAAATAATGTTGAACTAATACGGTGTTTTGAGATATTATTAATGTTTAGTTGATGATGCTATATATCACGCTCTTACATGATTTGTAACTGGTTCAATCCATGAAAGGCATTTTCAGGTATTCTCGAAATATTAGAATGACGTATAATCCTATATATCAATGGGCATTCAAACTGCATTAGATTTTATAATATTTGCTATTTCTCGATTTGCGGTAAATGCAATAATTAGATGAGCAGACAGATATCGAATTCATAATTGGATATCATGCAAATAGAAGAGATTTCTTCCTCCTTCAATAAATAATCGAAAAAAGTACAATGATTTGATACTACTGCATTATTTACAATTAATATCGAGCTTACACTTTTTTGGCATTAAATAATCTAGATAACCTCGGGAAATGAGTCAAATAAATACAATCAATTAAGGCTCTGAAAATAATGAAAATCATCTTATCGATTAGCTTGTGCGTTGAATAATTATCAAAACTACTTAATTTGCGATATTATACTCAATAAATAGTTCAAGTGAGTTATAATACCAAATTGAAACTTCGTGAAAAAGCAATCTTTACGGAACGGAACATATCCATTACTAATGATATATAAAATTCACTAGTTTACTCTACCTTTGCTTGTAGCATTTCGATATCTGGGGTATATTACGTACTACTATTATACCCTCTAACTTAGTTTGTGAAAGTAAAACTTAATAGCTGTTGTTGAATATCAAACTTACATTTCTTGTAATTGAGACAAACGATAAAAAGCTTTACTATTAATAACTTGCATGGAATCAGAAATAATTTGCCTATAAGCGATCAATTGCAAAGAGTGCATAGTTGGTTATGGCTTACAGCAGATACTTTAATATTGCTATCAAGAGAACATGAAAAGTCAACAAAATAATTAAATGCCACTCTCCTTTCTATTATTACTACAGTTTTGAAATCGATATAACCTTAGTAACTTAATTAGTACATTTTTTCTGTAACTTACAACATCTGAAGATTGGTAAAATTTTGAAAGGAATATTTAGGCAAGGTATCGATTCCAGAATAATAATTAGATTGAGCATAAGTGTTCATAACTATTCTGCTTATTAAAAAATGACGAAAGAACAGCGCAAAGGAAATATTTTAATTATTTATTTTATAAAAAGCTAAGCAATTAACAAGACGATAATCAGTGTGCTGAAAACATATAAGAAAATGACTCTAGTAAATAAGTAATGTATTACAGTGTAATGGTAGAGTATAAATTTTTTCAAATATTTCTGTCTGCCTCCTTTACATATATTGAATTAATTATTCGAATGAAAAACATATCAAGAGTTTACGTCAAAATGCAACAACACTTATAACTGACGTCTGAAGTACTCGGTTCATTATTAATGTGTAGGCTTCTATGTAAAGAATTTGAAATTACTTATGATAAATATACGTCTTTAGTAAAATATTCCAACATTATTTTATTTAAATTGAATGAAGTGTACTGTATTTAAATTATAGATATGCAATGGCAATAAAATTGAAATAATTAATAATTAATAGGGAATCGATTTGTGATTTGTGTATCTTTAGGATAATTCTTTCTGTTCAAGGTTTCAATACTTGAAGGCTGCTCAGAGACAGTATAAATATAAGATTATTTAGCGCATAAATGTTGATTTCGACACATTCTGCATTAATTAGTTGATCTCATTAAGCAGTTAAGACAAGAAAGAGCTACTCAAATATTACTTAATTATACATTCATGAATCTAAGTTACTTATATCGCTATCATGACAATTTTATAGATTAAAAATAATAAAAAACGTTTAAGGATAATATAAACAAAGACTTTATTGGCTTATTTTCTAAGTCCTACTCTAAAATATTCATGAATTAAGCTTCGGATCTAAATGTCACTAAAACAAACTAAAATTTTACTTTCAAAAAATTCTAATTGCAAAAGTGATTCGCTTACTCATTACCAACTGATTCAGTCCAAGAAATTTATTAGCACGATTGTTAATTTTGTGGATGTTTACGAATAACATTGTAACCGTGGGCAATTGTACAAAACAAGAGAATAAATTATTGCTCGCTTATTTCCTAAATTTGCGAAAATTAATGCTGCTTAAATACACAGAGTCACACAGTATTATTATAAATTTATGTCAACTTTACGCTATGTAGTGCTAGATTACATAAAACGTAACATAAAATTTTCTAAAAAATATTGAAACTGTTTCAAATAATAGAATTACGAATAAAAATTCAATGTCTCATGTTTTTAGACATTACTAGTATATTTGGGTGATACATAAGTACGACCAATTTTCTGGTGCTTTGTGCTACTTGTATGATACGCTATTGTATAATATTTACTTCAGTTATTGCGATTAAATAGGAAAAAAAGCCTCAGGATAAACGATGTTTCGATGCATTTAACTTCGATGATAAGCAAAGAATGATTCAGATGCTTCGTCGTCATATTGCTATAGTTGTACATTGTCACAAAGTAACTTTCGCAATCGATCTTAAACTCTTCTATCTATTCTATTTGATCTCCGACTAACTCTAGGGAACCTCAGCAAGGAAAACTAACTTATTTTAATGCTATTCTTACGGGCAAATTGATAGAATTTTAGGCTCTGAATACTGCTTGAATAAAACTGTAAGTACCTGCTTATGCTTGTTTCTTAGTCATAACAATCTAACAATGACAGAATTATAAGGTAATAAAATGCCAACCTAATATCACACTTCATCAATTACGTAAATTATTGATTTAAACATCTATAATTTAAAGATATTCTTATAACTGCTATTCAAAACGATAATAAAGCTTGCTTGATCAATTATTTAAACGTATCGAGTAACACAGTTGCATAGTCTATTATTGAAGCTTAATTATTAGCCTTAGGCAATATAATTATGTGACTACAGCAATTGCAGTAAATAAAAATTTGCATCATATATTCGTGACAATTCTGCACACAATATATTTACTGTTACGACTGCCAGTTCATATCAAGTGAGATAAAATAATTTTTAATCAAGTCGTGATCAAAGCATACTACAAATTATTAATCAAAAAACTTGCGTTATAAAGCAGATCATCCGTTAATAATAATAATCTCGTGCAGAACTCCAAATGAAATGAAGGAACTTATCATCTAAATTCATCTAAATAAATGATGATACTGTCTGTTGATGATGAGGTTAGCGACGCTACGTTGAATCAGTATAAACTTACAGCGATTTTGTCTCTTGACTTGATGCTTGAGCAATCCACGGTAAAGGGACATTTTGACAATGAATCTCTGCATTATTCGTACACCAACACTTTCGGCACAGTTTATTACCATTGACTACGACTATTTGGTTGATTAAGTACAGTAGCAATAATTTTTTAATCCAAAAAGTAGCTAAAATATTGAAATTACTTAAATTTCTTGTCATTTTCATTTTAAAG